TGTCCTCCAGACCTCCTATCCTTCCATCCTGTTTTCCTGTAGAAGTATTACCTTGCAGTGGAAACTCTCCTGAGCATTTCCTGCATTCCTCTGGAACTCTCCTGCGCTCCTCCGGACATTTCACGTGCTCCTCCGGAAGTCCTCCCGCACTCTCCACCAGAGTGGCCAGCCTCCAGAAGTCCTCTGGACTTCCTTAGACCATCATCTGACTTCCTCTGAAATGAAGGGCACATACTCAGGTAAGGGGCACAGCGTACGAGCTGAGGCCAAGCCCCTCTGAGTCAGTCTCTCTCTCCTTTGAGCATGGTTCTTAACACTCTCTTGGTTTCATTCGCTGCGAAGCTGATTATGCAGTCTTTATCTTCAACCACATCAATGGTGAAGGAGTGTGCATGGTCTGTATCATTGCCTGGCACGTTGACAACAGACTCATGGGTTCAAATAACAGACATTTCCTCGACCAGATAAAGGAGGCAATTGCAAAGCGGTTTGGCATTTCAGATCTCAGACCAGTTACTAAATACTTGGGGATTCAGTTCATTTGAGACCACAAGATGTGAGAATTGTGGATGCATCAACAGGATTACATCATTTTCCTCCTTGGAGAACATGGTATGACTCACTGCAATCCTGTTGCATTGCCCATGGATCCAAACTTCCCATTTGGCCATCCCACCGATGTCTACCCTCATATCGACAATCTCGACTCCAAATATCGGAAACTCATTGGTGAGCTGCTATACTTAGCCATGTATACCCGTCTGGATATCGCCCACACTGTCATGAAGCTCGCACAATACAATGCCTCTCCCAAATCATGCCATTATTCTGCAGCTAAACATGTCCTTCAATATCTGGCTGGTACCATAGACATTCGCACTCACTATGGTGGACCTGGTATCAATCCTGCCTTGCATGGCTTCAGCGACTCAGACTGGGCTTCATGCACCGAGGATCGCATCTCCATGACTGGTTACATCTGGTTTTTCAATGGCAGGCCCATCTCACACTCAGCAAAGAAACAAGCGACTCACGCCTTGTCATCCACCGAGGCTGAGTATATGGCCCTCACAGCTGTGATCCAAGACAGCCTATGGTTGCAGTCTTTCTTCACTTGCACCAAGATCCCCATCTCCCTTCCTCTTCAGCTCTTCGCTGACAATGCTGGTGCTATTGCCCTGTCGAAGGAAGCAGCTAATCATTTCTGTACCAAACACATTGATCTTCATTACCACTTCATATGCTGGCATATTGAGGAAGGCACTTTCTTACCCATCTGGCTCTCAACACACAAAAACATTACTGACATATTCACTAAGTCTCTTCTGCGACCTCTCTTCATTCATCATTGCTCTGGCCTGGCTCTTGTCTCTCGGTGATGGGGGTGCTTCGCACCATTTCACTGTCTCGTTGTGGGGGTGTGTTGGCATCCAACATTGACATTCCATTTCTCTTTTCTACATCATCACAGACTCTATAGTGTAGCACTACATATACTCGTTGTTTCTTGTTATTTGTACCTCAGCTGGTCTTTCACCAATGCTGAGGTATAGTCTATGTTCCCTTTTGCACGCCGTCTCTCACTTACATTATTTCATCTTCAGACTTCGTTCCTAGGTACAGTGGCTCAAAAAACTGTCCATATGTTTTGACATTTTTCACTATCTATGATATTGTGTGAGAACTCACAAATGCCTCAAGGACATGGTTATACCACATTGTAGTATGGCTTCAGGGCTTTCATTTGAGCCCTACACCGTGGGAATCGGTGGAGATATGGTGGAGATGCAAGGCTCACAAAATGGTGACTCATGCGAACAGTTTTTTGACTCAAGTATTTTACAATAATAACCAGGTATTCTAGTATTTTGTATGACCTCCCTTGGCTTTAATTACTGCCTCTATCCTTCTAGGCATACTCTCAATTAATTTCTGGCAATCCTCAGCTGTGATCTTCCCCCATTCCACTGCTACTCTCTCCCAAAGCTCCCATACTCCTTTAGGGGGGTTTTCATAGGCTTGAAGCTTTTTCTTGAGTGTTTCCCAGAGATGTTCAATGACATTGACATCAGGAGACTGTGCTGGCCAGTCAAGAACATTGATGTTATGTTCCTCAAACCATTCCTTAGCTCTTCTGGATGTGTGCTTGGGATCATTATCCTGTTGGAAAATGATATCTTCTTCATCAATCCCTGATTCTGCCAAGCTAGGCAGCAAGTGGTCATTTAAAATGTCCACATACTGCTCAGCATTCATCTTCCCCTCAACCTCAGCAAGTATTCCCACACTATTCCATCCCATACAGCCCCATACCATTAAAGAACCTCTTCCAAACTTGACAGTCCCATTAACCTCTCTGTCTGTTAGGCCATCTCCCTTCTTTTTCCATACATATACCTTCCCATCTGACCCAATCCTATTGATTTTGGTCTCATCTGACCATATAACATGCTTCCAGTCCTCTACAGTCCAGTGTTGATGAGCTAAGGCAAAGGCTAGTCTTCTCTGCCTATGTTTGATGGAGAGAAGAGGTTTTTTCTTCTTTGTTACTGCCTTGAGATGAGCTGCCTTGAGAACATTCCTCACAGTTTGTGAAGAGACAGGGGTAGTGATGGTGGAATTGATATAATGGGTGGCTTGGACAGCATTATCAGCCTTTCCTGTAGTGATATGTTGGATAATAGCCCTTTTGTCAGTAGAGGTAAGCTTGGATGGACGTCCTCCACAAGAGTTTTCCTTGTCTGGGTGGCTTTCTTTGATAAACTTGGCCACAGTGGACTTGGATACTCCAGTTCTAGAGGAAATTTGGCGAGCAGAGAGGCCAGCATAAGACAGAGAGAGGATATTATCTCTTTGAGCAGAGGAGATGGCTTTCATGGTGATTATGACTATGATACATGAGATATTCTGGTTTATATAGTTAGATATAGTCATAAAATAACATAATGACACCACTTCATAATTTATATAATAGTGGCATGATTTTTGTGGTGTCATAAATAATGATTTATATAGTTTTAATATACACTCAAAAAACTGTCCACATGAGTCATCATTTTATAAGCCTTATGTCTCCACCATATCTCCACCGATTCCCACGGTGTAGGGCTCAAATGAAAGCCCTGAAGCCATACTACAATGTGGTATAACCATATCCTTGAGCCATTTGTTCATTCTCACACAATATCATAGATAGTGAAAAATGTCAAAACATGCAGACAGTTTTTTGAGCCACTGTATATTCAATGTATAAGCTGGTCTTTCACCAACGCTGAGACTTCATTCCTAGTCCTTTAAGATAAATCAGCCAATGCTGATAGGAGAACCATGTTGGGAGATAGCTAGTAGCTTGCTGGCGGTCAGTGCACCTGTGTGTCACCACCAGATTTATCTCCAAATGAAGAATACATAGACAACAATATTTAGAATTTGAAAGGAAACCTTTGTTTTAGCACCAGATCCATGCTCATATTGAAATTATGACAATAATATTTTGTATGTGCAGATCCAGATTGTATTATTCTGAATTTGTTCAATGACTGACCAATAAGAAAGCTCCATACCAAATATGTATAGGGTTCATATTTAAAATTTGTAATTAAAATTGATCAGCCACCACATTCATGCTTAAATTCTATATATGGTACATATCTCAGAGTAAAACAGATTTTATTTCACAGTTTGGATACAAGATGCCATCAGATTTAGGATATTGTCCCCCCAATTTGCCCAAATGTCATATCACAAACATATGTAAAATTTGATATCCAATATCATTACAGTACAGATTCTATCACAAATGTAAAATATTTCTGTGGATATGATGTGAATCTGTCCCACAGGCAGATCCCATCCTGCCTCAGGTGTAAGAATCTGACTTTGCGGGATTGTGGTTTAAAAATAGTGTTGTTGTCAAGGTGAGTTCAAATTGAGTTAAACTCAACTCGCTTTGAAAATGACCAAATTCATTTCAACTCAAACCTACCAAGCTAAATCAAGTTGTAACTCATTGAACTCGCAAGTTAGAATTGAGTTGATGTATGTCATATCCACATATCTGGATCTCAGATCTGACCCTTATCTCATCTCAGATCCACATCTTATCTCCAATCCTATCCACATCTTATCTCCCTCCAACATCTCGTCATTCAATCTGTCCACTCATCTGGTCCAGTCCACAACTCATCCGAATCCACAACCAGCACTCGTCTCCTTTCAGTAACCCCCTAACTCTGGTATTTCAGTTATCTGTATATCCATCCTGCTCCCTTATCTGCTACCTATGTTTCATTTCTGTTTCATGATTTGTGATCTGTTTCTACTTACCAATAGACTATCCACATGCTTCATACATAGCCTCGGACTCTGCTGATTGATCATTCCATTAGATACCTATAGTATATAACCTCCTGTAACTTTCTGTAGTACCTCAGTTCGAATATCATCTTAGTTCTACTCATTCCTGTCCTCCGGACTTGAGTACCTCTACTCTTGTCACCCTCCGAGACTTAGGATTGATTCCTATAGTCTATCTGTATCTGCCTCTGTCTCCGACAGTCCATTACTGTTAGTTTCTAGTCTGGACTTGTCCAGATTAGCCTTACGATACTTATCCCTCATCTGGAAGTCATCTGGATCCGTTACGCTACTCATCCAACCTTCTGGATGCACTAGTCTTGCCTTCCTGAAATAAGGGGCAACACTTGGGTAAGGGGCACAGCACACGAGCTGAGGCCAAAGCCCTTCAGATCCAGTTATCCTTTGAGTATGACCTTAACAATGTAGTTCACTTCCATACATCATAATCCCCTGTGAATGGCCAATATCATTATATCTCACTGCAATTGGCATGAGCTGCAACAGACTGGTAGCTGCCCCTCCAACATTCAAAAGGATTTGGAATTTTCTAGATGATCAATCTTGGCTATTGAACCCTGACTGAACCCATTTAATACTCAAATATCATGTAGCATGGAACTGTGAGCAACATTTTTGGCACCATGTCATTGCAGCAGAATGCTGGGCCATGGTCATTTTCTTTGAGTCATCTCAGTCTAGAACACTTGAATTCTCACCAAAACACACTGTCTCCACTTCAGACTCCAAGTGGATCCTTTCAATCACTCCAGAACATTTCACCTGGTCCAACAACTCAGTCTTCTGCCCCAAGTGCAAATGGTGAAGAAGGCTTCTCACATTATTATCATGTACTGCAAATTCCACCTGCACAAGATCTTCATTCATCACACAGTGGGCTGTACACTACTTTGATGCAAGCAATGCCTCCACAGAATTTTCATATGCTCTGCACAATGTGGGGACCGCCTCAGTACAACCCTACTAATGCATCATCACCTTTGCATTTACCTGTGGCCGGGCTTAGACAACCCCAGGATATGATGCCACAAAGTGCTATGAATGCACCCTGTCAGAATACAACTGGCAAGGTGGTCAACACAGGTGTAGCAGAGAAGAGAAGCCGGAAATGCAAAAATATGACCCCAGCTAGCAGAACAGCACCTGCTCAAAAGCGACAGAAGGCAGATGCCAGTACAGCTGCTACCACACCAGCAACAGCAGCTGCTGTATGTGGAGTTGGGCCTGTGTCAACACCATCCTCCAACACTGTGCTGATTAGTGAACCTTCAATTGCAGCAGCAGGCAACATGGCTATTCCAACTGGCTCAGGACCAGTTCCTCAGGCAAGACAGCCTCCACGTGATACAAAGGTTGCTGCTTCTGATGTGTGGTATTTCATGTGGGCAGTGAATTCCCCCGAAAAACCAGACAAAATACCAGAGAATCAGCCAAGGTTAATGAAAAAGCCCAACTCACCATATGTTGCCTGTTGACTCTGTGGGTGAGTATCACTTCATCAGGAAAAACTGTATCTCTATAGAAGACCTTCCTCTATATAGCCTCTATAGTACACCATAGCTCTATACAGTCTATGACTAGCTATAACAGTATATAGACTGCTATAGAAATCATGTAATTCTATAGATTGCCATAAAGTACAAATTTGGTTTTCATCAGAATTTTTCCCACAGTCAAGGTGCTTTCTTGAACCATCTACTTTTTTGAGTATTTTGCTTATATTTCACTAGGATCTTAACCTATTGATGTCATAAGACTATGGATAGACTCTCCTTGACAAGAACTACAGCTTTGGTTTTCATTGGAAAAGTTCCCATGGTCAAGGTGCTTTCTTGAACTGTCCACTTTCGAGTATTTTGCTTATAACTTACTAGGATTTTAATCTATTGACATCATAAGACTACAGATAGACTCTCCTTGACAAGGGCTACAACTTGGATTTTCATTGGAAAAAGTTCCCATAGTCAAGTAAGCAAAAATGCGAAAATTCACTCAATCAAAATTCACCAAGTCTTGTGTTGTGATTTTATTTGGCACAGCTTATATAAGCAAAAGTGCGGTCAACCACAAATCTTTTCCCATTTTTTCCTTTCCTTCTCTTTCCTTCCCTCCTCCTCATTCTCCTTCCACTCAATAATTTTCGCATTTTTGACTATCTGGTAAGTCTTTCTTCTGCTTTCTCTCTTCTCCTCCTTCCCTCTCTGACCTCTCCTTCTTCTAGCTCCGCATTTTTGACTATTAGGTAGTAAGTCTTTCTGTCTCTCTTTTTCTTCCTTCCCTCCTTCCATTCAATCATTTTCGCATTTTTGACTATTTGGTAAGTCTTTCTCTCTTCTTCTCCTTCCTCTCTGACCCTTTCCTTCTTCTAGCTCTTTTCCCTCCTCCCCCTCAATAATTTTCGCATTTTTGATTATTTGGCAAGTCTTTCTTGTGTTTTCACCTTTCTTTTCTGATTCTTCTTTCTAGCTATCTTACCTCTGCCTCCTATAATTTTCGCATTTTTGCCTCCTTGGTAGTTAGTAGTTTACATGTGTTGTAGTAGTTACTTGAAATATAATTTGAAATTTTCGCTTTTTTTTTGGTTTTGAGAGCTACAATGGCAACAAAGTAGCTACCAAGATAGCTTGAAATGGGTCTGATGTTGGTCATCTATATAGTAGGATATAGTTACCATACTATTGTATGGTACTATAGCACACTATAGCACATTATATATTGCTGTAACTAGCCTACACAATTGAGCACTTGGTTATATGAGCTATGGCTCTATGGCCCCTATATAGCATCTTATAGTGCTATAGATTGCTATATAGCCATATCACATTTTCCTGATGTTGGTTTAATTAATATTGGTCAGACACTCACAATGTTCAGGGATGACAAGGAGAACTCATGATGGAAAGTTTACAAAGTTGGTGATGGAATGACAGTAACCTGCCGAATCCACTTGTTAAAGCACAGCCAATGGTACAAAGAAATCTGCACAATTGTGGGACTCAAAAACGGTGAGGAAGACCCTGGGAAACAAATTCAACGCTTGCCATTTACAATTGAGATGTTCTATCATCTGCTCATGAAGTGGATAGTTGTAAATGATCAGGTGAAGATATTTTAATGTTCATGAGCTTATCTAACAGATGTACTCAGAATACCACAGTCCTTCAATGTTATTGAATGTCCTGAATTTCGGGATCTGCTTTTGTACCTTGGAGAAGGCAAAATACAGGACAAGAACCTCCCACATTGCATGAAGCTGACAGAAATGATTCTCAAGGAGTTTTGGACAGAGTACTGCAAAATTAAAGATGATCTCAAGGTATGACACAACAGATTTCATATGCGTTCACATTACAACACTCATCCATTTGTCAGAATTCTCTCAGTCGCATTTCTCATACCACTGATCTTTGGAGTGATCAGAACCTGGATAGTTACATGGCACTAACAGCACATTTCATGACATGCTATGATGATCATACCAGTGCTAGGCGTGTATGATCAATAGCACAGTTCTTCTCACCTTCAGGAAAGGAGATAAAGCACGGATCATTAAATCCATATATATTGACCCATCCACTCTTACTCCAGTCCAGTCCTAGGAATCCACCCTCCCATGTCCTATCCATGTCCACCTATCTCCACTGGTGCATTAATTTTCCCAAATGTCATTGCTAAACGAGCTGCAGGTCTTATTACATGGCTACTCACGATCCACAGTGCATGATGTCTTATTACCTATAGACTCATCATGCGCTTGCTAACTATGCTACAATTCTCGCCTACACATTCCAGACATTCACGCACTATGATATAAACAACCGCAGTACATACAATTGAGTAGTTCCCTTCCCCCTGGACTCAGCTCTATAGGAGAGTCATTCTCATGTTATTTTTGTAGACCTTGCACAATCCATCTATTTTGCTCTTTCTTGGCAATCCTGCACATTTCAACTGCTCTGAAGTTCTGTACTGCTAGGATCTTACCCTTAAGCTCTTGCAAGAATACCTGACCCATGACCAGTAGTTTAGCACAGTTCTTCATTCACACTATATCCCTTGTGACCAGCTGCTCCATAGAGCGCAGTCAATTTTGTGTGCATTACATCTGCCGCACCAGCATCTGACATCCAATACACTTGCTCGTATCTTCTAATGGTTCATCCCACTCTTGTGATACTAACATCAGTTGATTTTTGCCCGCATTCATGGTCGATTCCTTGGCATAGAAATTCAAAGGTATACATATGGTCTGCACTCAAGTTTCTTAGGCCAACATAGGTTATAACTCCTTCGCTCACTTACTTCCCTCACACATAATTGAAGGAAGTGCTTCAATAGCAGTCCTCTCAGGCTGATCAATTAACTTACGCTTCTTAGGATAAGTAGTGCTAGTTGCTAACCGCCTAGTACCAATTTCTTCTTCACAGCATGATGGGAAAGGCTACTTAGTTTTTAAAGCACATCTCATTGCATTTCACTTTATTGAGGGGGCTCATACTGGTGCACACCTTGGTCAAGAATTCCTTAAAATCACTGATGAGCTCGAAATTAGCAACAAGGTACAGGTTGTTCCCCTTGTCACATTCAATGTTCATACTCACATTGCACAGCTTGGTCAGATCACTATGGACAATGCATCCAACAATAACACATTCATGGTAGAGATCAAAGGTGAACTCAGGTGAAGAAATATTCCTTTTGATCATGACAGAAATTGTCTATGGTAAGCCAAGGTTGAAGCTTGAAAATTTCACTGACCAATCATTATCAGGTGCTTTCCGCATGTGGTTAACCTTGCAGTGCAAGCAATCCTTGCAGAATTAAAGAAGAACCCTTGCTTTCCTGTTCTTGCAACCTCAACTGATCCTGCCAGCCAACAAGCACTTCAAGCATGTATTAGAACACTTGAGTGAGACCCAATTGGACAATGTCACAGAATAGTTTCAGCTTGTCATTTATCTGGCCAGCACCATCATTGTCTCCAGACTGTGATCCAAGAAGGGAATGAAAATGGGTACTGGAGAGGTAAACTTCCTGATGGAAAGACCACACTCCCGACATTACAGCTACTGCATGACTGTACAACTAGGTGGTCTTCAACATTCAAGATGATTGATAGAGTGCTATTGCTAAACCCTGTACATACTTGTGTCAATGCCAGAGCTCACACTAACATGTTCTTTGCTGAAGGCAATCTAATCCTTCTTATTGGAGACACAGAATGTTGACATCACAGACCTCTCCATGGATGTGAAGGATACTGATGTTCTTTGTGACATACATCAAATCATCAAGGTTCCTCATGTAGCACAGGAACTCCTTTCTTTGGAGTGGACACCAACTCTATCAATGGCCCTACCAGCTTATGAAGTACTCAGTTGTCAGTGGACCCAATTATGAAGCACGATATGGGAGTTGTCCCACTATATTGATGTCAGTCTTGATAAACTGAGGCAGTACATAAACAAAGGAAGGAAAACATGCATATATGCACTTTCAATGAGTGTGTTTCTATTTCTTTCACTTGTCGATCCATTATTAATGATGTCTGGACTCCTTTAACTCCTTTTCATATGTGGAACAAAAGTTGTCAACCCAAGCATCAAGCTCAAGTGGTTGAAGGAACACTGGGAGGCTCAGGACATCCAAAATGCTCGAGAATGGATACTACAGGCAGTACATTTTTTTTGTGCATTCTGGACGAGTCATGACTTTCAGTGTCCGGATGACTTCATTTTGTATGTCCATCAGAGTTGGCCAGGCCCAAACCCGATTGGAACCATCCGCACACTCAGTATCACAGCAGGAGCTCACCAATTCAACAGTGATTGCTTCTCAGTCTTTGTCCACTGGATACAGATGCATGAACAATCTCAATGTAACCGTTTGGCACTCAGCATCCACTACTAGCACCAGCACTACTCCTCCAACTCCCACCATCATCATCTCTGAACCAATGATGCACTCACTAGCACCGGAAACCACAGAGGAATGCATTCACAAGGAACTCGAACAGGACAGGAAAAATGTTGAGTGCGAGTTTTCTTGTTATGAAGATGCAGGTCTACTACTCAAAATGGCTGAGCACATAACAGATATAGTTCATTTCTGGGAGATATGCCATACAATTCCTTCATTAATTTCATAGGATTAACAATTGCTATATAGCAAAAAGAGCACATATTCCTGCTTTTATTTCGTGTTGCTATGGATGTCCTACCTGCTCAAGCTTCATCTGTGCCTTCCAAGCATATTTTTTCAGCCAGCGAAGAGAACTGCACTCTGTGGCACAGCAACCTATCTCTGATCACACTCAAAGCACTACAAGTTCTGAAGTTCGTCTACAAGCAAGACCACCTTGATTTTACAATGGACCTAGTGGCTAACAAGCAAGACTACACAATATGTGGACCTGTAACTCCAAGAGCAGTTGATGAGCTGATGGCTACTGGGAATCTTTGAGAGCTCGATCAGTTGCTCATGAATGCAAGGGAAATTGATTGTAATTAGTTCTGTCTGCTTTTTGTGTAGCTACTTGCAAATAATTGTCGTTGGTGGTATGAGCTTCACTGGCTTCTCATTGGCTGGACTATCAGTCCATATCACTCCCAAACTTGTTACCAACTTGCAAGTCAAACGAGGCACAATTTATTACAACTCATAAGTGCTGAGTTGTGTTGAGTTGCTGCAATTTCCCACCTCAATTTAATTCAATTCGCCTTGGTGGCAACACTATTTAAAAGTCTTGCAACACTTTCCATTTTGGTTAGGCTAAAATCTATCCTGTAAATACCTGGTTTTGGTTATGTTTGAACCCTGACTCAAGTTTCACAAAATTTAATTGAGATTATCAATGCAATGCAAGATTATCATTGTGTTAGTGTGTTATCTATCTGAAGCCAGTGTAATATAGTATCTACAAGGGTGTTTGTGTCAGTCCAACTATCAACACATAGCACAAAAATCTTTCAAATTCTGCTAGTTTGTCACCCATCAAGTTGTTCATGGTGCTCAGAATGGCAAGAAACTTTCAATTGCATGCCATCTCCCAAAAATGATCAATTTGCATGTTGTCTTCAGATTGTTTGTCCAAGCTGCAAAATGTGGCAGTGTCAGTGAGTGCCCTGATATACTTCAAGTTTTTAAGTTGTTCTTCTTCAGTCTCACCAAGGAAATCTTGGCACAGGCCGAACCAAATGAATTGGATGACATTGCACATTACAAACAGGTGTTGAAATTTTGCTTTAATTTCAACCTTCCCATCCTGAAATAATTGAGTGAAGTCTCTGGGCAATGGATGAAAATGACAATGTACCTGACCAAAAGTGTAGATGTGCATGAAAACCAGACTGTTGGCATCCATTATGACCTTTTGGATCACTCATTTGCAATAAATGATAGGTGGTGTAGCACTGTGGAGAGGAGGGAATAGGTGATACACATTGAAGATGCCTTGCACATGAATTTAACAAATTTCCTGTACATTACTGACAACACATTTGCAACATCTTTGTAGTGTTGACTGGTTATAAAATGTTTGAATGTAACTAGGGATATGCACAGGTTTTGGAAACCTATGTGGGTCACAGGTGTGGGTACACCCTGGGTATGGGTGGGGGTCTGGTCCCAGCCCACCTGTACCCTTACCTGTACCCTTGCCTTGGGTTGACACATGAAACCATGTAGACTTACAAAACCAAACTCTGCTACTGTACAGTTGTCAAACCTTAATGATACTCACTATGTAGATTTACAAATGAAAGTTAGTGCACCCTACAGCCTACACACCATGTTACAGTAACATCTGCTCATTTAGCCCCTATTCATTTTCCTCACTCATGCCCTCACTGGACTCCTTCCTCTTTGGGTAATTGCCCCCTTTCTCTTTCTCAATTATTCTATCTCTTTCTCTTGATTGTTCTACTGACCATTCTGTCAGTTGTACCCTATCTTTGGTTCGTCCAATGACTCACTGACCATATGCCCTTACTGTCCAACTGGTCCTTCTTACTTACTATGGTATTCTGACTCATTATGACTCACTATGACTCATGTCTCCTTTACCCTTACCACTCAACTAGTACTTACTACTTACTTTGGTATCTTGACTCATTGTGACTCATTCACCCTCTACCCTTACCACTAATACAGCAGACCTGTCCTTATCCCTTCCAATGGTATATACTTTGTGGGTAGCACTTGTATTATCTAACTTGAATCTACTTGGTTCATACTGTTTACTCTTTGAGCCCTAAGCAAGCTCTCCTCTTATCAAGTACTTTCATTGGAGCTCATTACTGCCAACATCCTTAGCCTTGAAAGAGAACAATTGATGACTTTGCTGTCATAATCATTGATAATCAATCATAGCCCTTGTAGCTAGATTGATTGCTGTGAACTCATACCTATGAACACTTGCTGGTTGCAGCAGGCTTGGTGCAAGCCCCAATCCAAGTTCTATGTTACTCACTTGCTTCATCCATGTGTTGCAGACTTAGCCTGATTGTAACACACCATACAGCTCAACTTGCTTTTGAAAACTGCTAAATGAGTCACCAAATTGACTGACAAGGCTGGAGCTACTATTGAAGAGAAGCTTGATGGTGCCTTGACCAAGAAAAGGAAGAACCACACAAGCAGAGAAAGCACAACAGCCATAAGTGCTGTCCAAATATGAATAAAATAATCCTAAGGGTGTATTTTATTCTAATCATATTTTATTCTCTATCTGCCCCAAGATATTTAATGATAGCATTACTGTATTCATATTGTATTCATAGGTATTCATATCTAATCATATTTAATGGATAGAAACACCATTGAGATACTGAATTCCATCACCAAGGCCAAGCTTCAACAATTCCTTTGTAATGATGGCAGTGGAAGCAGTCTCTACAGTCATTGAAGAGCATGAATCAGAAAGTGTGTTTGCTACTAGAAAACAGGTGCTCAATGGCAACACTGACAGCAGGAATAGCAAGGACATCATGAGCAATGTGCAACAGGATAGGAAATGTTGTCTCATGTTGCTGCAAAGACAATAGTTAGACATTTTTGATGGGAATTATGTGAGAAGGTCACTCACCTTCCACCACTGAAGTGAATTGGTCATTTGTTCAGGTGGACAAGGGTAGAGACCACCTAAATAGATATCTACCTCATTCTGCACTGCAGAGGAACCACCACTAGACATGGTTAAAGCTGCAATGAGGGCAGACTTTGATGGTGAGATTGGGGCTGATGCAGGAGTGGTGGCTGACATAGTGCTGTTGTCAATGTCATAAGTCTTGTAAAGGTGTTTGAGCAGGATCTGACCATGACTGCTGAGATTCCCAGTAGGCCATAAGTTCTGGTCTTTGAAGTATGCAACTCATATACATGGATGCAAAACTAGTACACAACATAGTACTATGAGCTTGGTGACCCATAAGACAATAAAAACACTTACAGTGGCTCAAAAAACTGTCCACATATTTTTGCATTTTTTACTATTTACAATATTGTATGAGAATACATAAAGACCTCAGTGACATGCTGACACCATATTGTAGTGCTGCTTCAGGGCTTTGGATTGAGCACCACATCGCGGGAATCAGAGGAGATATGGTGGAGATACAAGGCTTACAAAATCATGACTCATGTGGACAGTTTTTTGAACACATATTAAAACTATATAAATCATCATTTATGACACCATAACAATCATGCCACCATTAAATAAATTATAAAGTGGTGTCATTATGTCATTTTAAAACCATATCTAACTATACAAACCAAAAATTTCCATATGTCATGGTTATATTCACCATGAAAGCCACCCCCCCTGCTCAAAGGGATAATATCCTCTCTCTTTCCTATTCTGGCCTCTCTGCTTGTCAAATTTCCTCTAGAACTGGAGTATCCAAGTCCACTGTGGCCAAGTTCATCAAAGAAAGTCACACAGACAAGGAAAACTTCTGTGAAGGGCATCCATCCAAGCTCACCTCTACTGATAGGAGGGCTATTATTCAACATATCACTACAGGAAAGGCTGATAATGCTGTCCAGGTCACCTATTACATCAATTCCACCATCACATTCCCTGTCTCTTCACACACTGTGAGAAACATTCTCAAGACAGCTCATCTCAGGTCAGTAACAAGGAAGAAAAGGCTCTCCTCTCTATCACACATATGCAGAGAGGACTAGCACCCTTCTTTTTTCACATATATACCTTGCCATCTGACCCAATCCTGTTTATTGTGGTCTTATATGATCATATAACATGCTTCCAGTCCATGTAATCCAATTCTGATGGGCTAAGGCAAAGGTTAGTCATCTCTGTTTATGTGTGATAGAGAGGAGAGCCTTTTCTTCCTTGTTACTGACCTGAGATGAGCTGTCTTGAGAATGTTTCTCACAGTGTGTGAAGAGACAGGGAATGTGATGGTGGAATTGATGTAATAGGTGACCTGGACAGCATTATCAGCCTTTCCTGTAGTGATATGTTGAATAATAGCCCTCCTATCAGTAGAGGTGAGCTTGGATGGATGCCCTTCACAGAAGTTTTCCTTGTCTGTGTGACTTTCTTTGATGAACTTGGCCACAGTGGACTTGGATACTCCAGTTCTAGAGGAAATTTGACAAGCAGAGAGGCCAGAATAGGAAAGAGAGAGGATATTATCCCTTTGAGCAGGGGGGGTGGCTTTCATGGTGAATATAACCATGACATATGGAAATTTTTGGTTTGTATAGTTAGATATGGTTTTAAAATGACATAATGACACCACTTTATAATTTATTTAATGGTGGCATGATTGTTATGGTGTCATAAATGATGATTTATATAGTTTTAATATGTGTTCAAAAAACTGTCCACATGAGTCATGATTTTGTAAGCCTTGTATCTCCACCATATCTCCTCTGATTCTCATGATGTGGTGCTCAATCCAAAGCCCTGAAGCAGCACTACAATATGGTATCAGCATGTCACTGAGGTCTTTATGTATTCTCACATAATATTGTAAATAGTAAAAAATGCAAAAACATGTGGACAGTTTTTTGAGCCACTGTACCAGCACCTAGCAAAGGATAATTGGATTCTAAGGCTTTGTTCATGTGGTGCTGAAGCTTATCAAGGCCAGCTTGCAAAGCCTGTGTCAGTCCATACACTCACCACTTCTTTGGAACTTGCTTCAGGTGCATCTCAAGATATTTCTCCATTTGTATGTAGAGTGGGAGTGTTTGGCAGATTGTAGGAATGCCTTTCTTCTGCAAAAATAGTGTTGAAGTATGAAATACCTTTGAGATCATGAGCACATGGAGTACACAGTCAAAAAAAAATACCTCAAGGATATCAGATTACTGGCCCCAAAACTCCCAGTCAAGCAAGCTGAGACACCATTTCTTTTTCTTTTGTGCTGCCATGTCCTTTTTCTTTCCAGTGAGACCATCATCAAGACATTCAACCCAAAGGTTAATTGCCTGCACAACACATGAAAACCACAAGTAAACAAATACAAGCCAATGTGCACACCAGTTTGAGTTTGATAGACTGCTCAATCTCTGCATGAGTTGTGTTCCAACATATGGGCATGCTACAAATAGGAATGAGATGACACATCTGTTTATGATGGACTTCAGATGCAAGGAAATCAACAACAATGGCATGAAGCTGTGCATGCCCACATTATGAGTCAATAGCCAATGGACGAGGTATGACATACCTTGTCAATAACACTGAATTTCTTTGTCTTCTTGCAAGCAATATTTGACATCTTCTTGCTTTAGAGCCTGGCCCTGTGTGAAATCCAGTCTCAGGAACATTAACCTCTGCTTGATCTAAATCTGTGTCATCTCTATCCTGTCCATCATCAGTCTCAGATTCTGTGTCACTTGCACCGGAGACAGCATCAACATTAGTATCTGATCCCTCTGCCTGAACTCCCTTTGCTCATTCCTCTTTCATCTTTGCTGTTTCTTCCTGGACTTTGGGGTCATTGTCAGGGTCAGAGGTGAGTGGGAACTGATGGGCAACCAAGTAGAGATCATCTTCATCAGGGTCTGGTATGCAGCTGAGCTTATGGTGCATAGCTCTAATGAATAGCATATTTGGTGAGCTACATTCCAGAGTATTTTTTGCCACTCACTGCATGTCAAGGTTGATGACATGGGCAGCATACCCAATTTGCACATTAATTTGATTCAAGAACACATTTTCATTTCCCAGCTGCTTGACAAGATTCTCATTCAAGACTGTATTACTGGCTGTATTATTGGTAGCATGAGCAACTATGCAGATTGTGAGAGTAGAATGGTATGGCATGATTTTTATATGTACTGAGTTTGTGTGTCACTTTACATGCCTGCAATGCCTTGAAAAGAGCACATCCTGTTGCCTTACCAGAGTAATTTCCATCAAGTGGGAGTAGTTCAATTGGACAAGTATGTAGGTCCCAGTTGTTGTCAATCCAGAATGCGACAGATCCAACAAAGGCATGCACAGAATTTTTGCTTGTCCAGACATCACTTGAAAAGCCAATCTAAGATGAGTTTTCCTGAAAGTGAATCAATGAGACTTGGCACAGACAAACATAAGGCTTGGAAGGCACAACCTGGAGTATCTTGTTAATCTTCTCATTCATCTTGAGTTCTAGCCAGTCAAGATCACACCAAATGGTCTGATGAGATGGAATTTTGTACCTGCAAGGTAAAATATATGTCAAGGTTTTCATCATACCCACTCGTTCACCTAATGAAAAAGGCAGATCATCTTCTAAGATGCCCTTGATGAAGTGTTCTCTCCAACCCCTCTGTGTCACTTGCTGGGCTGGGTTCTCAAAACCTCACTTTGTGTATGCCTGGATGAAATCTTGCTGGGCAGTGGACCCCAATGTGGTGGTGGTGCAGGAACTATTATTACCATTCTGCCATTCTACCCATGCTTCATAGGAGTGGTCAGCAGAGATGTTTTTACAGCCATGAGAAGGATGGGAAATGAAGTTACTTGTCATTGGCAGCTTGATGGTCTTATTGGCATAAGATTTGCATTTTAATGTTTGAGGGGATGTTCAGATTGTGCTGCAACACTTTAGTTGCAATATTAATATATTATTTAGCAAGGATAGCCCTCACCTGCACCAGCAACAGTGCCATTTCCAGATCAGCCTCCCATCATGTATGGCAAGCTTTGGTTCATCATGTTGCTCTAAGGCCCACTTTAATTTTGTTGGGGCTCGACCAGATTTGACCTTCACATCCTCCATCTCTTCATCTACAGATGTATCACCATCTTTCATTGTAGTACACTATGAACATGTTAGCAAACCATGATCCAATATTGTCACACTCACATTATCTTCTTTTTTGCCACTTGTTCTTTTCCAGGCTGCAGATTTCATCACTATTAGTACTAAGTATAAGCATGATTTTATAAATAACTTACTACTACATCTTCATCAATTGAAATATCAATGTCTGAGGTCAGATGTGTTAAGGTTGCATGCTCAAGGGGGGTCAGATCACAAGGGCTTGGCCTCAGCTCATACACTGTGCCCCTTTCCTGAGTATGTGCCCTCAATTTCTGGGGGCTGAACAGTCTTCTGGAGTTTCCAGGTTTTGACTAGGGTGGACAATGGACATCTAGGTATGAAATGTGAGATAAATCTGGTGGACATTCCAGATATTGATTGGGCAAGGAGATAAGGCTAATCTGGACAAAGTCCAGACTAGAAACTGACAGAGGATAGACTACCCTAAGGTAGAGCTGGAGATATAGTCTAGGATACAATCCTAAGACTCAGATGATGACAAGAGACTTAAATCAAGTCCAGAGTGTTACAGTGCCCCACTCTTTTTCTCATCATCACTGTGGACTCCTATATGGCTGTACTTCTAACGCTTCCTTTTCACTGTGCTGTTCCCTCATGGTCTCCCTTATCTTTGACTCATACCTTGTTTTCCCATGAACCTTCTTTTCTCAGTAGTCGCTACCCTTTGACCAGCCTGGTCTGTGCACAATTCCCTTACGTATATAAACCCTAGTTACCACTTGTATTCTCTCTAACTTGAATCTACTCAGTTCTCTTTGATACTCAAACTCTAGATCCTGTGGGAGTCTAGACAATTGCTCCTGAGGGAGGCACTTGACTCGATAAGGCTTAGTCCTTGATCAACCCTGATCCTTGATTCCTTTATTGGAATGACGCTCTATCCAAGTTCGTAACACAGAGGACACAGGAATGAGCAGGAACTAAAATGATATTTGAACTGAAGTATTTCTGAGAGTTACAGGAGGTTTATATACTGTAGGTATCATATAGGAATCAGTCAGCAAACACAAAGGCTATGTATGAAGCATGTGCAAAGTCTATTAGTAAGTAGGACAGATCACTAATAATGAATACTGGAAATGAAATGTATGTAACGGATCAGTAATCAGAAGGGAAACATAGTTAACCAGAGTCCAGAGACAGGGGAAGTCTAAATGGGGTTGGGTGCTGATATAAGGTTTTGGATTCCAGAAGGAAGATAAAGATAGAACAGATCATTGGAGATCCAGATTTAGAGTTGAGAGTCTGGAATGGCATATGACAGGATGATTCTTTGGAGGGTGATAGTCATGGTCATCCTTGTCAGTGTCTAGAAAACAATTGAATAAACTGACACTAGACAAACAATACTAATGGACATACCTTCTTGTCAAGGTCTCATAATCTGGAGTACAAGTTTCTCAGCAGTCACAGTACCTTTGTTTTGGACTGGGCCTTTTGCTAATTGGGTTTGCACACTGCTGGCAGCTATAATAGCAGTCTTCTGAAGTGTTAAAACCCTGATAGGACAACTATAAGTGATCCAGTCGAAGTGAATAATGGTAGTAAACATACACTTTATAGATTAGACTTGACAATGCTTCCACCCGAGCTTGTATGAGAGTCAGGCCATTGTTTGCTTCAATCCCAGGAACTCAAGTAAAATGTGATGTAAAGCCGTGGGCAAGTTGTAGACCATACTTGCCATGTACAATGAGTTTCTTTTTCTCATCATTATTACATTGTTCCCATGAGCGATTGAAAGAGTAAAATGGCCCCTCTTCCTCATCAACTTTAAAATCACAAAGATGCATAGTGAGAGGGCCATCTTCTGTTCCTTCTGGCATAGTCATTGGCAGGTTTGTGATCACATTTTGAAGGTCAATAAATAACCATGAAAGCTGATCCATGCTGCCAGATATGGCCATGTTTGTGATTTGAAGCACTTAACTGATTCTACTTGCAGATTTTGGTGGGTGGGAAATTTAGAGATAAACTGTACAGTTTATAATATATATTCTATGCATCATTTCATTCATGTTCCTGGTCAGGCCAACCTGGGTCCTAAATGTTGGTACCATATTCAGAATATGAATAAATACAGCGACCATAATGTATTGTAACCTATCTGCTCGTATTCCTCAAGACCGAGAATATGGGGCCAAGGTATTATATCCAGGGTATTCAAATATATTCACAATAATATTCAATCACATCCTACATATACTTTCTTTGACCCAAAACTGTGCTGAAGGAATCAACTACTAAGCTATGGCACTACAAGGAATACCAAGTCAGAGTATATGTGTGGTCATCTCTGCTCTGCCTAGACTGCTATACTTTGCAAAGGCAAGTGCATTCAACCCAAGGGGAAGCGAGTGCAACACATCCACAGGTTGTGTGAAGCATGGGAAAGTCACACACACGGAGGCAAAGGCATGCACAGAGAGTGGTAGGGTACACAAAGCACAGGAAAGTTGCACACTAATAGGCAAAAGTGTGCAGAGGGCTAGGAATGTGATGGGGACTAAGGGAAGATGATGACTGATACTGATGGGCATGAGAACGACAAATGTGATGATGATAGAGTGTGATTGCCAAAATGCTACTGACTATGGCTCAAAAAAGTGTGCACTATGCTGAGGGATGCTAAGGGATACTAACTGCCCACTAAGTGATAGCTAACTAACTGATAAAAATGCAAATGCTAATGTGCAAAAGCCAACTAAGCACATTCCCACAATATGGAGCCAACACGAGTAAGGTGCGGGAACAAAGAAGGTATATGTAAGTAAGGGTCCATGATGGAATATGGTGTCATGATAAGAATAAATGCAAAAAACATACCAGTAGGACTTGCTGGACAATGGATGGATGCTCCTGGATGATGGGTGATGAAGCGTGGGAAAGCGCGTGGGATGTGCATGGGAATGTGTCACAAGTTGCACAATGCACTATAGGCTGAGTGAAGGAATGATATAGGGAATGATGCCACAAGTTCGTGCTGTGAACTGTATGCAGATACATTGCAATATAGGGCTCTATGGGCATACAGAGGCGCAAGTCTCTACAGTGCATCATTGAGAATGATGATCAGTGGGCACATGAGTTCAAGTGTAGTGCGCAAGGATGCAAGACCACCATCTGACAGTATTTGGACAAAAAAGATGCCCAGTCCACTGGAAACATGCAGAAGCATGTCAAATTGTGTTGGTGTGGTGCAGTACTGCAAGCTGCTGATGACACAAAGGATGCCAGCAAGGTCTGCACCAAAATCATTCCAGGAATCCTGTGAGACAGATCAATAACAGCATCTGTTACAAACTAGGATGGTCATAACAACAGCAGCTCGATAAGAGCGATGGCTGAAGTTATAGTCAAGACCTTTGCAAATGCAAAGGTTGTAAGACAAGATGAAGAGAGTGTCTTCGGCTTGAATATCGGTTCAGATGACTTAGGATTGGAGGTCCTAAGCAAGAGAAGTTTCTGGGTGAAAACCTAGTAAGATTAAAGTGAAGTTCTACTAGGTACATGACCAGGTTTATATAGGACATAAGTACTTTAGGGCAAGTACTATGAGTCAGAGATAAGAGACGCGTCATAGATAAGAGACAAGTCACAGATAAGCGATGAGTCATCTAATGACAGTGATGGCAATTGCAATGTAATACAAGTATAGAAACAGATGAGTCAATGATGGCATGGCGTGGCGCAGTCATGACGTAATACAACTGTAAGTGAGGGAAAATAAGTAGGGGCAGGCATAACTGTAACAGCATCCTTTGAATGCAAGGGGAAGGGGAAGGTGACATACTCCTACTGTCAACACACCTGTGCTGAGACCAAGTAAGTCTTTGATACTATGCAGCCAGACAAATTTAACATGACACGGAGCTGAGCTTGTGTGTTAGGTCTCCAAAAGCCTGCAACTATTCAAGATAGTCAAAGACCGAGGATTTCAATCATTAATGAAAACAGGCTGACCGGAATACTTCTTACCTTCCCCAATCACTATCTCATGTGACGTACAGCTTGTTTTTGCATGCACTCAATGTCGCATTGCTAAAATGTTGAGAGTTAGTGACTTCATGCTCAATATGAATGAAACTGACTTGACTTACCAGGAATATGATGGCAAGATAAATTTTACTATGGACACTTGGACATCCACCAACCATAGAGCCTTTGTGGCAGTATTGGTCCATCTCAAACACAATGGAATCCCACTGAGTCTGCCATTAGATATTGTTGAGGTGGCAAAGGTATGTGAAAGACTTATGACTTGGAGGTGCCCACACACAATGACATGACAACTTGACCAGTCCCATACCAGTGTGGAACTTGCTGCAGTATTTGCAAAGATGCTACAAGAATTTGGAATATCAGACAAGGTACAAGGTGTTTAGGAGAAAAAGGAGAAAAAACTTACTTGCTAACTTGTCCCACAGATACTGAGTGTAACATATGATAACACCTCAAACAATGATGTCATGGTTGATGGGCTCAAGGACTTGCTTCCTGACTTTGGGAGGGCAGCAAGTCACACACAGTGCTTCTTCCACACTGTAAATCTGATTGCCAAGTCCCTGCTTGGTGAGTTCAACATAACAAAGAAGGCCAAGGCTGGAAGAGAAACAGACAATGATGTTGCAAGTGATACAAGTGATATGGAGCTTGCTGATCTGAGCAATGAAGTTCAGAGTGAAGATGCCAGTGCCAATGTTGGAGATGAGGAGTTGCCAGATAATGAGGATGGTTGGGTGGATGAGGTAGCACTGTTGGACCAGGATGAACAAATTGAGCTGCAAAGAAATATCCAACCAGTAAAGTTAGTGCTTTTGAAGGTAAGACAAAAAAAATGCAAGCACACCTTGATATTGACTGCTCCCTCTAGTTGTGCAAGCTTTCTTACAAACTGATCAATTCCATGACCATCTTGCTTCCTGCCTGGCACAAAATCCTCCTCAACCTTCAAATGACTCCAATGAATATGCCATGGGACATTTGCACCCACTGGAACTCAACCTTCAATATGCTGGATTATGCTGTCATCCATCAGGAAGCAATTGACACAGTCACTCAGTGGCATGACCTAGGATTGTGCAAGTTTGAACTTGTCAACAGTGATTGGGAGATAGTCAGCCAGTTGCAGGATGTATTGAAGGTAGGTGTGGGTCACTTACTGGAAATTGCTTACTAAACATGTCTTTCAAGATTCTCAAGGACACCACATTGTTTTTCTCACAGGGGACACCTAACCTTGCAAGGGTTATTCCCACAATGGATTTGATTGACAAGCAACTCACCACCTGCTCACACAACAAAAAATATTCTGCTTCTATTTGTGTGGTTGTTTGCCTTGCAAAACAAACACTCAACCAGTACTACCAGTTGATGGACAAGTCTGAGGTATACTGGATTGCTATGGGTGAGTCTTGTTTTGATTTAAATAATAATATGATACTGACCTTTGTTTATTTATTACTACAGTACTGCATCCACACCATAAATTGGCCTATTTCAAGAACACACAGTGGGAGGATACCTGGATTGGGACTGCAGCCACACTTGTCCATGATGAGTTTGAATGGTCATACCTTGAGGTGGGGATTCAAGAGAACAGTGATGATATTGAGATGTTGAATACTATGGCTCATGAGGTATGTGTTTTTCTTTATGTTTGCATAGCTCAATATCATTAACTGCAACTTGACCTTTGAGAATTTTTTTGACAATATGCCAGCACTGGTGCCACCCAAGTTGAGTGACCTGGGGGATGAACTGGAGCACTACCTCAACACCAATATCAAGGATGTCCCTGATCCTATTGCCTGGTGGTACAAGTACTGTGCAGTATATCCCCACCTTTCTCATATGGCCTTAGACTACTTAACAATACCTGGTGAGTCCATGCCCACCCTCCTTTATGGGTTCATTCTGACATATTTTTGTCACACATTTTTCATAGCTACATCTGTTGATGTCAAATGTCTGTTCAGCCAGGGATGCCTCATTCTGTCTCATGTGCATTCATGTCTGATGGCTCAGTCTACTCAAGCGCTCCTATGCCTCAGTTATTGGAGCTGCCTCAACCTCATCAAGATGGAAGACATTGTCAAGATTAGTTCCCTACCTGATGTTGAAGATACTAATGAGAAAGAGCTCAAGGATGGCTGGGACTGCATTGAATAGCTACATAGTACATTTTTTGTATCATTTCATTATAGTATTCTATACCCACAGGGTATACCCACCATGGGTGGTACCCTGGGGTGTTATATCCTCCTACCCATCACTACACCCATACCCTCAGTGTGGGTATGGGTACATCTCAGGGTAAGGGTACAGGTGGCACCTGTGATACCCTGGGGTTTACCCATGCACATTCCTAGACATGACAGATGCATTGTTTGCCAGACCACCAAATGCAGTAATTCTCCCCCTAGATCTTTGGTGTAAAAATTATATCACCTCCTGCAGCCACTTCTTCATGAACAAGTATTCCTCATGCTTGTCAAAATATGTTCATTTATACTATAGAAAGATATCCTCTTACAGCTGATTCCAAAACTATGCGGAATCGCAAAATCAAAACTTGAGCGTCAGAAACAGCTGAACAAGGACCCCATAAGCATACTGTGAGATTTGCGCTGCACAGTGTCTGTGTCATTCATTAATGCCACCACACACTGTTTCGAACAATCTAGAGGCTCAAATCCCTGTTCTCCATCAATGTGGGCACTCCATTAAACATATCTGCCATCTACTTGGAGTAAAAAAGACTCTGGTGTACAAGGTTTTACAGCTCTGTCCCTTGACTTGGAGTTTACAGCACTCTCGTATCCACAGCAAGCATACAGGCCAGTGTTGCACCCTCACCATTGATGACATTGCCTTCATCACTGCCATTCTTCATCACCACCCTACTATTTATCTCGATGAGCTACAGCATGAATTGCACTCTCACTGTGGTGTGCTTGTGTCTCTGCAAACACTTCTTCACACATTTTTGCAGTTGCATTTCAAGCACAAATGCATTTCCACTTATGCTCTCGAATGGAACAAAGAAAAACATGCTATTTTTATGAATAGTATTGCTAACATTGCACCTGACCCTGAAATGTTGATGTTTGGTGACGAGGCTGCGAAAGATGAGAGAACCCTCATTCGATGCTATGGCAGATCAAGGATTGGAATGAGGTATGTCAAATTTTACTGTGATTGACATGCAATGACCAGTCTAAATCAGATGCATCCAGATAAGTTTAATTTCTATGATTAATACAAAGATCACTTGCCCACAAGAGTTTCCAAGGAGGTACTTGAAAGTATATTTTTTCCTCTCAGTGATCCTATAGTGTGATTTGTCATGTTTCATGAGAATTGTTGTCAGAAATTTGATGTAGTTGGACTCAGAGACTTGAAAGACCAGTTCCTTGACTTTTGTAGATTTCACTTCCTTGGTTTTTGCTTTGCCATTATTTTCAGTAGTAGTCTTGGTGTATGTATCAAGGTAAATAATGAATGTTGCCATGAATCCAGGTGTCTCTGGGGAGGAATCTGATGGTGATGACATTGTCTTTCAGTGAATTGCATATACTACACTAGCGCTACTACAAATCTCGCAGTCATGTGCTTACAGGGTCCTTGTTCGGCCATTTCTGATGCTCAAGTTTTGATTTTGCGATTCCACATAGTTTTGGAATCAGCTGTAATACATCATGTTCAAACATACGAAGAACAAAAAGATAGACAAAAAGTCAAATCTGAGACCCTGAAAGTGAACAAACAAGTGCAACTAGGTAGGTTGGTGTTCAAATTCATTAGAGTCCATTCAGGAGGTCAGATTTAGGCCAACTTAGCTAACTTTTTCGAACTTCAAATCACATCAAGTAAGCTGGAGCTTGAATTCAAGTCACGCTGTTATCTCTGATACATACTACCATGTTGCTTCACCTGTTGCACCATAGCAGTGACCCTGACTCAGATCCACCATCCCATGATACTAGAAGTGATGAAGTCTCGGAAGATTACTTGAACTCTTGGGGTGATGATGAGGTGAATGAAGGGGATGAGGAGGACAATGAAGATGATGTAGAGCGGGCACATAAGAAGACTCTTCAAGTGGTCATAGGCCTATTCCACCAAATAGTCACATCAGGTTCTGAAACTCTTGCCATCGCGATGGACACCTTCAACTCCTACACAAATACCCACTACAACAAGACACCCTACCATACCTCAGCACTATGAGGGATTGGCTGGGTTACTGAACTTATCGATGGTCACACTGAACATATCCGATGTGAGCTGGGCATTCACTGCCATGTATTTATTGTATTACTCAATGTACTTCAGGAAGGTGGGATCAATGATTCAAAGCATGTAAAGCTGGAGGAGCAATTGGCAATTTTTCTGTATGCTTGTGTCACCAGTCTTTCTGTATGCCACATTGGCAAGCATTTCCAATGCTCTAATGACACTATATCAAGGTATGTTTTCACTGACTCTCACATCCTAATGAAGCTAATTTCTTTCCAGATATTTCAAGCGAATCCTTATCGCATTCTCCTCCCATCCTATCTACCCTGCCTATGTTCAGCTTCCTGAGGCAGATGCTCCAACCCCCCCTAAAATCCTCAACAGTCCTAAATTTTACCCTTACTTTGCAAATGTCATTGGTGCCATTGATGACACACACATCACTTGCCACCCATCAGCCACTGATCGCCAATCTTCCCATGACTGCAAGGGAAACTTATTGCAAAACTGTCTTGCTGCCTGTGGCTTCAACATGCAATTCACCTACATGTTGAGTGGGTTCCAAGGGTCTGTGGTGGATGCTCATGTCTACCATGTGGCTCATTTGTCAGACTTCATGATCCCTCTGGGAAAATTGTATCTCACTGACACTGGATTCACGGCATGCAATGAGTTACTTGTACCATATTGTGGTGTTCACTACCACCTTGCTGAATGGGACCGTGTGGGCCTCTTGTATGTTGGCTCCCAACTTACCACACTCTAGTACTTACATACATGGCTTGTAGACCCTGCAACCGCCAGGAACTCTTTAATCTATGTCATGCAACACTCTGCAATGTTGTTGAGCAAATTTTCAGTGTCATCAAGAAGTGCTTCCGCATCATTCAGCTCCCTCCTGAGTACAGCTCAGATATTCAATCCCACATCCCTCCAGTGCTATGTCTAGTTCACAACATCATACGTATTCACGACCCAGATGATTTATTAGACTACCACCATGTGGAATCAGACGAGTGGAGCACTCCTTACTATAGCAGTACACTTTCTGATGGGCCTCCAACTGAAGCAGCACGCACTCATGCACATCCACTATGTGATCAAATTGCACAGGACATGTGGGAGGATTATTTGGCAGAAAGAGTTCATCGAGGGCTGCCAATGCCGCCTGGTGTAGAAGAATAGTCAATCTCACATTATCACTCTCAAATGTAGCACAGCTGGTTGAATTGATGAACTTTGGATATGCTAATACATCGAAAACCTAGTTACTGCTGCTCACATGAGCCTGTAGGTAGTCTGCTAAGAACAATTTGCAGACACCAACTCATGTGATGTTAAGGTAAGAATCAGCAACTATAACATCAGATTGAAACACTTTGATCATCTTGAGAACCTCATGATCATCAAGATCAGGCTCCTCTTGCACCAGGCAGATGGCCCTTTGCTTGCAGACTGGGGGCGGCTCATGACCTGCAGCGACTTCCTTAAGCACAACAGTTGCAGTGTCAATGCTGCTCTTCACCTGTCCGCCCAACTCCTCCAATGCATTCAGCAAAGTGCACTGGGATTTTGATGACCCTCCTGCACTCTTGCCAGACTTCAAAGAGTGAGGAGGGTGAGATTCCTGGCATGAGGTATCATTGTCCATAGTCTTGTGTTTGATGGCCATTGAAGAAGCTGGTGTGGAATTGGACACCAATGAGGGTGCGGAGGGTATGAGGAAGCGCGGCAAGCGTGGCGCTGTATTGGAGGATTGGGCCACTGAGATGAGCTGAGGTTGGACAGTGGAAGATGGGGTGGGGGGGTCTTTGGGGACAGGCATCATCTCAGTGTTGGTGTTCTTGTGGAACTTGATGTTTTCGAGCAAGTTCTCTAGTGACTTCATTATGATGTCACTAGCACTTGTGCTGTCGGTGGGCATTGATGTGTTGGCGTTGATGTCGAGGCTTGTGTGGAAACCAGTCCAGGTACTGGTGTGAGATGGGAGGATTTTGGCGAGGGCCTTGTAGTGTTCCCAGCCCGAGGATTTGATGGACTTTACTTGAGGATCTGCTTATGAAAATTGTGAGCACAGCGGTGAAGAGATGGCTGAAAAACACATACCTTAAGTAAATCCACCCAAATTGTCTCAGATTCAGTGGTGATATTCACACCCTTCTCACGAGTGTAGGATATACCGGATGAGTTGGCTATCTTGTCAACAACTTTGAAGAACTTGTGCAGCTATAAGAGTAGTGGTATCAGTAATCATAGTGCCACTGGAGATGAATAGAATACTTACCTGCCCCCACTTCTGATGGCATGCATCAGGGCTTTTAGGGGCACCCACCCCTGGAGTGCCCTTATTAGCCATCTCTGCAGCTGCGGCAACCCAGAACGATTTGTCGAAGTTCATCCCATCACCACCCTTGGCTCGATGGGTGGCGATGTATGTGATGAGGGCACTCTCATCCACCTGGGTCCAGATGCAATGGGATTCTTTTTCAACCATTTCGTTGGTTTGGGCAGATCTCCTCTTTGCCTTGACCATAGTGGTCCTAGTATGTACACGGAGGTGTTGGGATGAAGCTCGGGTTGCAGGCATGATTGATCATTGATAGGATAAGTAATTGTGTGACATGTGTTGGTCACATCGACCAGCAGTTCGGCAAGCTTACTTAATGTGGTTTGAAGTTCGAAAAAGTTAGCTAAGTTGGCCTAAATCTGACCTCCCGAACGGACTCTCAGTCTCGCAGCGCTGGTCGCATGCCCGAGAGAAAACGACCCTCCAAGTTTTCTCAAGAACTTGAAGATAAAATTCAACATGCCTGCTCTATTCTACATGCTTCTCCTTCTCCTAATATTCGTGCCATTGCAACAGAGCACAAAGTCCCATATGACACCCTTCATCGCATCCAGAACTCAAGAACAACAAATGCTTTGCAGGCCTTTTTACTGGCCGCTCTCGTGCTGGACAAAAACGGACCTTTAATGAAGGTCCATCTGACGAAAATGATCAGAATGTTCAACCCCCTGCCATGCGCCCTTGTCTCGATACTACTCCTTCCAATTCAACTGGTGCACACTATTTTTCAACTTACTCGACTGCCGCTAGTCAACAGGCATCCCCTCTAATTTTTCCTGCAGCATACTATACATAATTTCATATATTGTACCTACCTAGGTAATACCTTACAGTACTGTATATACCCATACTTACTTGAAACCCAAGCCTCAGCGCTGTATTACTCGTCAACCAGTGTGAGGTTCATCAACGGCGTCGGAGAGTCAAAACGGCAGTGTGATGTTGTGTGACACCATGCCTTCTGTACGGGTGAGAATTTTTGCAACTTTGTGCTCAAACACTGTTTTGCACCGGCTTCTCTCTGGCAATGTAGCTTTGACATATTTCTTTATTTTTTAAACATAGCATTAAAGCAGGTACTGAATACTACCTGCTCCTGTTTTCGCCTTATTTCAATGTTGTGTAGTTGTTGCGTTATGAAAACCAGGTCGAAAAGTTTTGCAACTCTGGGCCAGAGATAGCACCCCCCTGTAGTGACGAGCCAAAAACAATGCAGTTACACAAATGATGAGATAGGGTAGCGAGGAGATGAAAGCAACAGACAGGATTACTGAATGAAATGCGAGAACACGGATGAAACTAGACACCTATGTGAACAAATACAATTTGCTGTTCTAATGAAATCTTCTTGCGCAACGATTTCATGGCCTTGTGCAATGCTACCGCAGCCTGTGTGCAGCACAATCTCCCCGAACTATCAACCAGGTGGCCATAAAAAGCTGACACAACCTGGCGTGCAACATCGTCATCAACAGACCACATGGAACCTATGACACTGCGAAATCCGCTGAATTGCATAGCCGCAGCAAGATGGATCGACTCATCGGGACTGTCCTCATCGCCCACGGTAGTGTGGCAAGCTGATAAGAATGCAAATTCTGGATTCTGCCAGTCTGATCGGATGATGTCCTTGATCATCAATGGCCCGTCACGCATGGCGAAGGAAGACTCGAAAGGTTGTATCCGATTTGGCATTCCGTGGCAGGCAAGATGGAGCCACTGATTACGGTTTAGTGCATCAAGTGCACCCTGCACTGTTGCGTCGCTGTCCTCGAGCAATGTGAAGGACGACACGACAGGCTCGAGACATTGAGCTACGACAGTTAGTTCGGGAGCGACACATTTGAGCTCCTTCCCTCCCTCCGGGTTTCCTTGACCAATGGCAACAAAATGTTGTGGGGACACGTCCCGAAAAACCCGCCGTCTCGCCCGAACGAGCGTTGTCAAAGTGGGAGTATAAGAGGAGATGTAAATGTCAGACAAACTGTCTCTGTGCTTCTCATATGGTCCTGCTGCATGTAGAGGAAGCAGCGTGAACTCGGCAGTGGGACACCACCAGATATGCGAACCAGGACAAACATCTGACTCCCTAAGAGCTTGGACCACGGGGTCAACAATATCATTCCAAAGCTTGCGAAGGATGCCAACAAGCTTGTGTTGACGATCAGAAGAACCAAACAGCTTTGCGAGTGACTGGAACTCGGAGGACAACTCGGACACTTCGGCTTGTGTAGTGTCAAGCGGAACATGGACAGGACCTTGCCCACTCAAGATAATCAAGGCGTCGCAGCTGTACCGACTAGCATTGACAATGATGACCGGACCTTCTTCAGCCACCTTCTGTAGGTCAGAGAAAAGGGGAGGTAGGAGAAACCGAGAAAAGTCAGGAAGTATGCGGATGCGCAAGACGACGTCGTCCCATTGCATGGTCAGTTGCCGGATTTGCGGAGACTTGTCTTCAGTAGCCTGATCGAACATGTTACGAAGGCAAAAGCTCAACCGCTTGAACTCTTCTGCCAAAGCCATGCCAGTGTCACCTGACACAGAAAGTTCATCGAGTAGTGTGCTGAAGCGTGCCAACTGGGTCCAGAATACCGCACGACCTTGCTCAACCAGCTCCACCGCAGTCGTCAGGGCACCATGACGAACACTGCATGAAAAAGTATCTGTGGCAAGGGAAGAGACAGCCTCCCTGATGACGTCGAAATGATGCGAAGAGGACGACAAGAGAGCAACTTGCTGATCTAGGAATTTCAATGCAGTCTTATAGGCAAGCAATGCAGAGTCGTGATTGAGGGTGTGGGCAGAGGCCGCCCACGACTTGGCAACACCAAGATCTGCGCGAGATGCTGCATGTGATAGGTGGGAGAGTTGCGAATACAGGCTAAACGCTTCATCAAGGTCAGGCTGGACGTTCTGCTGCCGGAATCTGTGTGCTAGACTGAGGGCAAGATTGTCGAGAAACACAGATCGATTAGAATGACATGAGGGGAGGAGCTCCAGTGCAGCTCGATGGTGCTCGATGGCCTCATCAAGGTCAGACATGATGCCACGCTGCCGGAATCTTTCTTCAAGGCTAACAGCAAGATTATTCAGAGACTTGGATCGTTCTGAATGACGGGAGGGATGGAGGAATAATGCAGCGCGATGGAGCTCGATGGCCTCGTCAAGATCAGATATAATGCACCGCTGCTGGAATCTGTCCTGAAGGCTGAGTGCAAGATTGTTCAGAGAGATGGATCGTTCAGAATGACCAAGGGGACGGAGGTGTAATGCATCCCGATGGAGCTCGATGGCCTCATCAAGGTCAGACATGATTCCGCGCTGCCTGAATCTCTCTCCAAGGCAGATAGCAAGATTGCTGAGAGACATGGATCGATATGGGTGATACGGGGGGAGGAGCTCAAACACAGCCCGATGGTGCTCGATGGCCTCATCAAGGTCAGACATGATGCCATGCTGCTGGAACCTGTCTCCAAGGCTGACAGCAAGATTGTTCAAAGACATGGGTCGCTCAGAATGACCATGGGGATGGAGGAGTAATGCAGTCCGATAGAGCTCGATGGCCCCATCGAGGTCAGACATGATGCTACGTTGTAAGAATCTGTCTCGCAGGGTGGCAGCAAGATTGTTCAGAGATATGGATCGTCCAGAATGACCAGGGGGACGGAGGAGTAATGCATCCTGATGGAGTTCGATGGCCTCATCAAGGTCAGACATGATTCCACACTGCTGGAATCTGTCTCGAAGGCTGAGTCCAAGATTGTTCAGTGACGCAGATCGATTTGAATGATGTGGGGGGCAGAGCTCCAGCGCAGTCCGACAGAACTCGATGGCCTCATCAAGGTCAGACATGATTCCACGTTGCAGGAATCTGTCTCGAAGGCTGAGTGCAAGATTGTTGAGAAACGTGGATCGACCTGGATGACCTGAGGAATGGAGTAATGCATCCCGATGGAACTCAATGGCCTCATCAAGGTCGGACATGATTCCACGCTGCTGGAATCTATCTCGAAGACTGAGAGCAAGATTGTTCAAAGACGTGGATTGTTCAGGGTGACCAGGGGGATGGAGGAGTAATGCAGTCCGATTAAGCTCGATGGCCTCATCGAGGTCGGACATGATTCTATGCAGCTGGAATCTGTCTCGAAGACTGAGAGCAAGATTGTTCAAAGACGTGGATCGTTCAGGATGACCAGGGGAGCGGAGGAGTAACGCAGTCCGATTGAGTTCGATGGCCTCATCGAGGTCAGACATGATGCTACATTGCAGGAATCTGTCTCGAAGGCTGAGAGCAAGATTGCTCAGAGACGTGGATCGTTCAGAATGACCAGGGGAACGAAGCAGTAATGCAGCCCGATGGATCTCGATGGCCTCATCAAGGTCAGACATGATACTACCCTGCTCGAATCTGTCTTGAAGGCAGACAGCGAGATTGTTCAGAGATGCGGATCGATCTGAATGGCCGGCAGGACAGAGGGGCAATGCAGCCCGATGGAGCTCGATGGCCTCATCAAGGTCAGATATGATGCCACCCTGCCGGAATCTGTGGCGAAGGCAGGCAGCAAGATTGCTCAGAGACGCAGACCGATCTGAATGACCGGGGGGATGAAGGAGTAGTGCATCGCGATGAAGCTCGATGACTTCATCAAGATCAGACATGGTGCCCCAGTGCTTGAATCTCTCTCGAAGGCTGACAACTAACCTGTTCAGAGACAAGGATTGATCTGGATGACCGGGGGAACGGAGGAATAATGCAACTCGATGGAGCTTGACAGCCACATGGTTTGCTAGGTTAGTGAGGCAAGATGACCACTGCCCCATCTCGCTGTGAAATTTAGGTCTCCCACTGAGTCCAAAATGGAGTGAGATCAGAATGAATACACACTTGGGGGAGCTGAAACTGCAGCACTGGCGCACCAAAGACCCACCAGTGCAAGGGAAACGATACAGTGAGTACTCGACGATCCCTGGAATTTAACGGCGAGCTGCAAGGAAGGACCTCATACCCGTTCCCGCGCGGGTGCCGAGCCAACCATAGGTACCCGCGAGTCGCGAGGGCCCGGAGCTCAGGAAAAGGCATCCAAAAATATCCGAGTCCTTCACTGCCAGCTGAAGAATGTGCGCCAGTTAAACGTTGACGTGCTTCAAAGGGAGTCCAGAGAGGAGGAAAGAAAATAATCATTGGTTGATGTAGCTAGTAGTACATCCCTAACGTAGAACACTGGCGCATCAGTACCAAGAAAATAGTCGTTACACTCTCTTCCGAAACTCTTGAATCACATGTTTGTGGCGGTTCAAAAATAGTGAAAATAGTGGGATTCAAAGTAGAATTTGGGATAATATTTTGGATTTCGCACGAGACACTGACAAAATTTGAAGTTATGTACCCAGATTTATGTCAATTTAAATTTCAAAAATATTCTTTGCATTCTGTACAACATCAAAACCTATCTTAAATATCTCTAGCGCCGCTGTGTCATGTCAGCGGGTTTGCCCATGGTCGTCCAATGTTGCAGGATACAACCTAGTGCTTCTTGCCAATAGTACAAATCCTAAGTGCGCATGTACAAGTCACTATTTCGTGTTCAAGATCCTACAACCCTTCCTTGTAATGAGCCATCGCGCCTCTCAGAGATTCCTCATCCCCAAATCGCGGCTGAAAACGCGCAGTGAACGGTTTGGGGTGTGCAACCACGCCGTCCACGAAGCCCATGTCATCAATTGGGTTCTCTGGGTCCTGAGTGATCTTGAACGACCACAGAAGGAGCGCGATGTTGATAAAGACCGAACGATCCGCTATGTGCCGCCCGGGGCAGATTCTGCAGGTTGTTTTTCAACAAGGTTCTACTCGGTCCGATATCAGGCAAGGCCGTACCTGCGTCCAAAGCCATATGAAGGGAACTTGATGTCGTCCCGAATTTTGCCTTCGCTGTTGAGCCACCTCTCAGGATCGAACTTGTCAGGGTTGGAGTAAACAATCGGATCACGTGAGATTGCCCTGTTGAAGGGTGAGCAGCACATTCTTTAACCAGAATGCATATCAATCTGTACCAATGATTGCCAAAAACGATAGCGCCCTTTGGGATACACATGCCTTTCTGCTCGAGCAGCCATAAGAATCGGAAAATCATGCCAAGGAAATGGAAACGTACATAAACGATATCGGTCGATGCGCAGTGAGCAAATCCAAGGGTTACCACAGGCCTCCAGCGAAGACACTCCAGCATGAACGCCTCTATCTGCGGGAGCGAATTGTAGTCATCGAACGTGGGAGCTGTAACGACCGGGTTGAGATTCGTTCACTAAGATGAGCTTTGACACACTTCTGTCACGACCAACGACGATGTCCAGCTGCTCTTGCACTGTCTCCTGCGCCTTGGGATAACATGCTGAAGCCATCACGACATACATAATCGCCACAGCTGTCGTGTCTGAACCAGCGCCAAAGAGTGATCCAGCGAGATAGGCCATTTCTTCTTGCGAAAGCTTGTGCGAGGACCGGTTCTCAAGGAGGTACCGAGCAAATGAAGGACCAGCTTTTCCAGTCGCCTACGAAGAACTGGTCAGAAGGTGTTTAAGAAAGACATCGAATGAACAAACCAATTCTCTTGAAACGCGATTGAGTTGGTCATGGAAGACTTGACTCTCTTCTCTTCTCCATTCCTCCAACTCGGTCGTGTATCCTGGGACGTATTTTAGGATTGGGAAGCGCTCTATCAGGAATGCCCCAGGTCGCATGAGCATCTGGAAGCGCTTGAGCATTTTGTGGACGACGATGATCTCGGGAGCATTCGTGGCGGTGGGCGTGGACTTCCCATACATGACACGCAAGATGACCGAGGCGGCATAGCTTGCGTTGGATGCGTTAAGTGGTCATAGAACAAGGCACGAAGAGTCACACACCGATTCGCAGCTGCTTGATGTCCTTTAGGGTTATCAAGGATGTCAAGGATGACATCACGGGCGGCGTCCATCTGGATTGGCGCATAGGATTCTGCAGCCTTCACTTGAAGATGAGTGTGTGCTGCCCTAATGAAACAACTTTAGCCAAAAAGTTCGGCAAGAGAAGATATCAACACAACTTGCGAAGTCTCCGGAACTGCTCTCCTGCGGGTGAAAGGATCATACGTAGCCCACGAGACAAGATCTCTCCTGCTGCAACCGCACGAGGGCGGTCCGCTAACTGACCACCTTCCTTCTCCATTATGTCATTCGATTCCTGCGCAGGTGAGTATGAAAGTGCACGCTGACTAGTATTTGAACAATCTTACCTGATATCTGCCAATAATGACCATGACCTTGCCAGGCCCAACCCGAAGCGAGATGATGGGCCCATAGGTATTGATCCATTCAGCAAACTGTTGAGATTGGCTGTAATGCGTTTACTGTCAGCGTCCGCGTAGACCCAGAGCGTCCTCTATTTATGTTCTCACTTGACTTTTGGTAGAGGGTTTCGGAATAGCCAATATCCAGGAGGACCTGGGGGAAGAGGCAGGCGTGACCTTGATCGTATTTTAGCGCGGAGGACATTGGCTGCCAGAACGAGAGCGACCAATGCTGCTAGAGCCTTGAGCCCAAATGACAAGCAGAGCATTGTCTGATAGTCTATCAGCACAAATATGATAACTTCAAGGGAAGCAGGGGAGGAATGAAGGAAGGTGAACACGCGGCGCACCAGCCCCCATTTTATTAATATCCTAGATGAGCTGATATGGGGGAACCCTATTAGGAGATAGGTGGTGGCTCGCTAGCGGTTAGTGCGGTTTCGGGAGGATCTACATGATCAGTATCGAAAGACCTTTAAGTTTACTGGCATCGTGCCGAGGCTCACGTTTAGTTGATCAGGCTTTTGAAAGCCAAGAGGAAATCTAGCTATGTGTCCCCAGTGACCTTGATAGAAGAAATCGTTCCTTCTTTGTCAAGAGTGAGGTCGTCCATGTCTGACATGCAGGCTCGAGCTTAGCATCAACGGAAAAACTTGAAGCTTTGTATTGCAGCAATATATTTCAAACCCATGGATTTAGCGGATATCTATGATGGGTCGAACGTACCACTTGATCTCTCTGAGTGAAAATCTACCTAGTGAGATCACGAAGAACACACCTGCATGCAGCTTCTTGGCTGACCAAACTAGTCCAACTCCTTCCTGACGAAGTTTGATCATATGATCATGTATCCTAGCTATCACCGCCGGCCATAGCATTATTATCTGCAAAATCATGATCAGAGGGAGTCTAACACATTGATAGATGTAATTCACGCACTTGATGTTCCAAGTCCATTGTCCATTGTCGAACATCAAATTCACAAACGTCGCAGTGGCGAAAACAAGTGAAAATGTGCTTACTAACCTGTTTGTCAAGGTACTTACTACTTGGCCAGAAACGAGAAAGCGAAGACCACCGAAATACGGTGCCGAAAGGACGAGCCTCACTTCGGCGGGCTAAAACTAGTCATATGTCATTGCAACGTTCTCCATAGAAAGTGTGAACTTCTGGATCATGATCAAACCATGCTTGCTCCTCATGTTGCACAAGCCATCCCCAAGTCTGCGACACTTTGACTTGCGGATTTACAGGCGCAGAGCTCGTTAGCTTCGATCTGTCAGGATGCTATGCTGGATTGGTGGCCGCAGTGGACACGTGCAACCTCTTGTAGTTGCTCATTCCTCTCACAGGTTTCTACAACTTCATTGCTCGGATTTCTACTAATGTGCGTACGCATTGCGATTCAAGCTTATCTACCTGGATTTTGTGCTGATGAAATGCGGATAACATGACAGTGTCCTCAGTTTCGTCTTCGCCCACTTGCGCTCCTGATCTTCATCCTCCTCCGAGTCGTGTTCCTGACAGTCCTAACTTAATTGTGGTACCATAGCATGGCAGATGATGTAGAACAATGTCGAGCGGCCTTGAAGAGATGTGCCCCTGTATTCTCTTCGATCACAATCTCTCAGCAATCTCGCTAACAGCCTTCGAGACAGATTCAAGCAGCAGGGCGTCCAGTCTAACCTTGATGAGTCCGTCGAGCTCCACCGGGCTGCACTACTCCTTCGTCCCCTCGGTCATTCTGATCGACCATGGTCTCTCAACGATCTCGCCGTCGGCCTGGGCGACAGATTCATGGAGCAGGGCGTGCTGTCTGATCTTGAGGAGTCCATCGAGCTCCTTTGTGCTGCACTGCTCTTTCACCCCCCCGGTCATCTTGCTCGATCGTTGTCTTTCAACAATCCCGCCCCCACCCTTCAAGAAAGATTCAGGCTGCAAGGCGCCCCATCTGACCTTGATGGGTGCATTGAGTTCAATCGGGCTGCACTACTCCTTCGACCCCCCAGTCATTCTGATCGACCACCAATCTCACCTTCAGCCTTGGAGACAGATTCAGGCAGCGGGGTGTCCCGTCTGATTTTGATGATTGCATCAAGCTCCTTCGGGCAGCACTACTCCTTCACCCCCCTGGTCATTATTATCAACCATTTTCTCTCAACAATCTCGCCCTCGGCTTTGTAGATAGATTCAGGCAGCAGGGCGACCCATCTGACCACGATGAAGCATTTAGCCTGTTCTTGCAACTCTCCCACACATCCCATGCAGTCTCTCGTAGCGATCTTACTGCTGCTAAGTCATGGGCCACCTCTCCCGAGGAGACAAATCATAGTTATGCATTGGTTGCATATCAAACTACATTGAAAGTCCTAGATCAGCATGTCGCCCTTTTGTCGTCTTCCTCACGTCATTTCGATGTCGTAAGGATGGCCTCGGGTTCGCTTGCTGCAAACGCTTTCTTGTGCAGCATTCATCATGGCGCGCTGAAAACTGCTGTGGAACTGGTGGTGCAAGGTCGCGCAGTGTTCTGGACCCAGTTGGCACGCTTAAGCTCGCCGTTCGATGGACTTTCCCTACCCAGTTACACTGGTGCAGCCTTGGAGGAGGAGTTCAAGCAGCTGATCTTTCGCCTTCGCATCGCATTCGATCAGTCCACTGAAGACCAGTCCCCACACATCCGATGACTGACCATGCAATGGAACAATTCCGTCTCCCGCATCCGCATGCTTCCCGATTTGTCTCCGTTTCTCCTGTACCCCCTGTTCTCCGACCTACAGAAGGCCGCTGAAGAAGGTCTTGTCATCGTCGTCAATGCTAGTCAGTACAGCTGCGATGCCTTGATTGTCCACCGTGACCACAATCCTGTCCACATTTCAATTGGTATCACGCGGATCGAAGTCTCTGAGTTGTCCTCCGAATTTTAGTCCGTCGCAGAGCAATTTGGTTGTTCCGATCGTCAGAACAAGCTTGTGTGCATCCTCCGCAAGCTTTGGTATGATATCATTGACCCCATGGTCTGAGCCCTTAAGATGTCGAATGTTCACCCTAGCTCGCGTATCTAGTGGTGTCCCACCGCTGAATTCACTTTACTTCCTTTACATGCAGCAGGACCCTATGAGAAGGGGGGAGACAGCTTGTCACAGATTTACATCTCCTCTTGTACCCCCACGTTGGCGATACTCGTTCGTGCAAGACAGCGCGCTTCTCCATATACATCTACTCAATATTTTGTTGCAATTGGTCAAGGAAACCCGGACAGTGGGAATGAACTGCGATGTGTCGCTCCCGAGTTAGCCGACATAGCTCAGCGTCTCGTACCCATCGTGTCGTCCTTCACATCGCTCGAGGAGAGCGATGCAACAGTGCAGGGTGTTCTCGAAGCAATAAACCATAACCAGTGGCTTCACCTGGCCTGCCACGGAATGCCGAATCGACAATGACCATTTGAATCTTCCTTCGCCATGCGTGATGGGCCGTTGATGATCAAGGACATCATCCGATCCAACTGGGAGAATCCGGAGTTTGCATTCTTATCGGCTTGCCACACTACCGTTGGCGATGAGAAGAGTCCTGACGAGTCGATCCATCTCGCCGCGGCGATGCAATTTTCTGGATTTCGCAGTGTCATAGGTTCTATGTGATCCGTCGACGACGAGGTTGCACGGCAGGTTGTGTCTGCTTTCTACGATAAGCTGGTTGATGATTCGGGGGGATTGGACTGCACGCGGGCTGCGATGGCGTTGCACAAGGCAGTGAAGAAATTGCGGCGCAATAAGATTTCACTGGAACAGCAGATCGCCTTTGTTCATATAGGTATCTAGTTCGAGGCTCATTCGCTATTTTCTATGATCCTGATCTCTTTCATTCCCCACTGTCTCAATAATATCTCAGTCATTTGGATCATGTCTGCGCAATACTTTTTTGTACATTAATCATGGCTTGCTCCTATATATTCCTTTCTGCAAACATGTCTTAATCATGAACGTTGAACGTTTGAACAATGAAACACAAGACGTGGTACACTCCGCCTTTACCTTTACCAGATTGGTGTATTCACCTTGTGCATGACTCTTCTTCGATGCGTCCCTCTGTTACCGTGTGTTCGTGTCGCATAGAATGCAGAAATCATTGAGCACCCCCTCTGCATGAGTAAAAGGGAACGAGCCACAACCTCGCTGCCCATTAACAAGGTCATAAATACAACAAGCATGTCGCATAAAGATAGAGAGAAAAAGCATATCGAAAGTGTGTGATTACGATAAAATGATCTTGAAAGGATCCGATCCACCCCAGCTATCGTCGCCCGGCACACCGCATCAAGCCTCCGACTATTGAGATGCAAGAAATCATCATACAGCTTGTACCTCGAATCCGCAATGATGTTGGCAAGCTCCAATGCACGCTTCACATTCCTGTCCAAGATGTATTAGAACTACAGGCACTGCATACAAAGATATGCTTACTTTGTGACATCCAGCCGCAGTGTAAGCTCAGGAACGTATATCTGCCGAACGGGAGTTACACAGCTCACAGGAACAGCGATCTCCTGTCTCGTCCAGCATCATCCAATCCAAGGTGAGTAGTTTCACAACGGCATCGTAAGCCTAGTTGATAAGTCCCTTGTAGTCGCTTAACCAAGTAGCTCTGGTGTCCCGGTTCATTGTCGACACCTCTAGACTCCAGCACTCAACAACGTAGTCAAGACTGTCCCAGATCGTGAAGAACTGCCTGTAGTGAAGGTATTACGTGGCTCGTTCCTCAAACTGGTGGATGGTCCAAGGCAAGTTCACAGGGAAGCACCTCCACGAGGTTCTTGGCAAGTGAAACCCTCTCGTCATCTGAAGCCACGGATTAAGCCGTGATAGTAGAACCTCCACAAAAAGCTTACTTATGGAGTACCGCAAAACAGCGGTACCGGCTTGTTCCAGCGCAGCATGATATGTTCCACCCTTAGACGTCATCCACTCTATGGAACGAAGTAGCAGGAGCTCGATGATGGGAGGAGTGACCTGCAACACAATGACAGAAGGGAGGCGTCCCTCCATTTGGGGTAGGAGCTGCAAGTAGCACTCAGAGCATGAGTTTCGTGGGGTGCGAGTCTCATTCAAACCACCTCTAGAGTCGACCGATTGATAACCCGAAACGGCCAGCGATGGCCCGGACGCTAAATTACATAATGCGGCAACAAACAAACATATCTAAACTTTGATTCTCTCCCCTGAAGATGGAACTGCTTTCAATCAACGATGAAAGCATTCGACAAGAGGAGCATGAAATTACTCCGTGAGATCCGCACAATAAAATCCTTCTCTTGTTCAAGTCCTCCCGTTCCGACAGAGCTGGCGTACATCCATCGGCTCCCAGCGGAACTTCTACAACAGGTCTTCTTGCTCATTGTTAACGACATCCCAGGCTGTCCCAGCATCTTCTCATTAGAATATAACACTATTTCGCTCAATGTTTCCAACCCTCCCTTAGTCTTCACCAGAGTGTGCCGTCTCTGGCGAGCCGTTGCATATTCAACACCAGAAGTCTGGTCACGCATCCTGGTCGCGCTCCCTGGGAAAGTTAAACCATGGAAACCATTTCTTCCATATTTCCTCCAGTGTTGGCTTGCTCGCTCTGTCAGGCTGCCCCTCACCCTTTGGATTGTTGACGATTTCCAGAACCGCAAGTGCAATTGGATTGAACCAGTGGCAGACTCTCGACTTCTTGATATCCTCCTTTCTGAGAGCCAGCGTTGGGAAACGGTGTCTATGTCACCCGTGCAAGGCTGGAATCCTGACTTCAACACACCTCAGTTGAAAGCCTTGGAGTGCAATGAATCAAATCTCAGGAACATCGATGCACCAAAGCTTTCCTACCTACGCGTCGATGGTTATTTTTGTTTGACCGTCCCAAACGGACAGTCGACCCTTACTTGCAGAGATCTATGTCATATCCGCCTGCGGGCCGCTTCTGCGCCTGCTATATGCTCCACTATAGCCAGTTTCGCTCATCTGGAGACCATCGTGGTTGATAAAATCATACCCTTTCATTTTGGGGACGTTCCTGCCCCTATAAGTAATTTGGTGCTTGAATCGATGACTCTCCCCCTCCCCTTCTATTTTCTAGAGGACACCCGACAAGAGTTTATCAAGATATTCACTCGACTTCACCTTCCCATGTTGCGGAAATTGACTCTGGTGGGGGCGCCGGAAAAACTACAAGTGGATTGTCTTTTAGCGATGCTAGCAGTTGCATCTTTCCAGGTGCCAGTGGTAGAGTTTCGGACAGGCACTGCACCGCTGAGCACAGTTCATAAGAACAATATTACGTCGTTGCTCTCAGTTGTGAGAGAGGTTACTTATTATGGGTAGGTGCTCTGCTATCTCGCCCCACGCACTTGATCATGCCTTGTTTAGATATTCGCTTCAGATCGATTGAGTATCGGAATTCACAACTGGGGAAACTGATATGTATATGTACACGCCGATGAATTCTGTCATGCGTTCGCGACGGATGTGAACATCCTGAGATTACACGACTACGACTACAGAAATACTATGCCTCACTACAGATTTCGGCCTTCCGTCTCTCGTCTTGTTCATAGGGTGCCTATAAGTATATGGGGGTGTGATAAGATTGCGATTTGTCAGGTGCAGCTAAAGGTGGAGCTTTATCTTTATCTATAGCGTGCGATGTCAAGATAACGGTGAGTCGCATGTCCGATGCCCTTTGGGGAGCGTAACATTGGTGATTGACTAGCCGCATGTTCGATGAGGGTGTGGGCACGGCGATGGTGGTGCTTGACGTACATGGTTGACTTCTCGAATGTGCTTGTATCAAGTATTAGGGTACAAATTAAATTAGAGTGGAAACCGCACTCAAGTGGAGCGTGAATGACATCATGTGAGAAAAGTCCGGTTACGTTACGTCCACCTCTTCCTCAAGTACTTAGTCCAGTAGATCAAACCATGAGAGCTAAAATATTTCCTTTAGGTGACAACGTCGGCGACGGTGACCGTAACCGACGCGGACGGTGAAACGAACAATTAGTGATTTTGCAATTCCGTGGAGTATCATTTGAATAATCACTAAATAATCATCAACGGGTGCGTATTTTCTTTCATGTCTTCACCGTCGCCTCACCGCTCTAATACGATGCCAGTCAGCATCATGTCACCAACGCCTGGCACCCGTACTCCCCGTCGCGTGCAATGGGCAAGCACAGAACATGTCCACGAACCAGAACCAGAACCAATCAGTCCACACGCACTGGACGAGATGGCTCAGGATGTGAGTACCCTCTTGTTTTTTTTCAACCGTTGCTTACATGAAACGTCTAGCCGAACGCGTTTGAAACTCTCAAAGACGCTCTCGAGCGCCACCGTTCCTCTCGTCCACACTCCCCATCTGCCCAAGTCGTGCCCCCTACGGTAGACATACATACCTATCCCCCAAGTACACCTTCTTCATCCGTGCCTACATCCCCTACATCTTCTACCCCCTTCCTCCCACGTCGCACACACACCGTCCCAGGCGAAGTCTTTATTGACCCCCTAGAAAGCGCTGGCCTCCCTCTCTCTTCAAGACAAGCAAGTGGGGACTCTGAAATCCCGGCAGATGGCCGCGTTGAGCACCTTGCCGTACGCGAAGCAGCAGGCGTCGTCAGAGCACACACGAAACGGTGGGGTATCCTCGGTCGTCGTCACCGCTCAAAATCACGATCACGAGTCCCAATCGTAGAACCAGACTCTGAAAAAGAGAACCTGGATGCAGACGGCAAAGTCGAAGAAGAAAAACGCCATCCAACTCCCCAGCAACCACCCAAGAAATCATGGTGGCATTTCCACACTCCCCCCTCAGTCGCTCCTACCCCTCACCACCCCCCACCTTACGCACAATCAAGCGGTCCTTACGACCCCGAATCTCACCCTCCGACACATGCCTCCCAACCGAAACTCGGGTCTGGCGTGCTGAGTGCGTTGTTGGCGCTCTACGGCCAGGAACACGATGAGCACGATCCCGCGCATAGTGAAGACGAGTCAGACCTCTCCAATCCCGAACGTCCATGGCTCTCCCACTCTGCCTCTCGCCCCAAGTCTGAATCTAAACATAAAAAAACACCCTCCCAAACCCTAACCCAAACCATCCACTCCGCCTCAAGCAGCACCGTCTCTCTCCTCGCCTCCCTCAAACCCAAAGATAAAGGCCCCTCGAGTATGGCTGCGCTCATTACAGGTGCGGGGACCCTGAGCGGTGCTGCTGCCCCGATGCAATTGGGGTTAGCGCCTGATTTGAAGACGAAGCGAGGGTATGGGCTTGTTAGGTATCGATTTGAGGATGGATTTGAGGGGGAGGGGGCTGGGGAAGGGAGTGCAGAGGAAGGGGGGAGACAACGAACACCAACACCTCCACGTCTCAGCCTCCGTCTCCCCCGTCGTTCCAAGAGCACCGATACCGATTTTACGAGGGGGGTCGGTGGGCGTGTTGAGGAGGTCCACGAGGGTGAAGGGGAAGTTGATTCTAAAGCTGCTATCCAATCTCAAAGCGACGCAACAATTATAGACCCCGAGGAAGTGATAGATGTCAAGGAGGAGGAAGAGGAAGAAGAGGCTTCACCAGATACACTCGCTCCTCCAACGACCGCGACTACTTCTACCTCTACTCCTACTTCCACCCCCTCTGAATCAACTCCACCAACCCTCCCCCAAACTTTGACTTCGACCTCCACCACGAAACCAAAGTCGAAGCACTGGAAAGGGGTTCTGAAAGACCTCCCACTCCCACATCACTTGCCTAGCGGGCACTTCAAGGGGTTTTCGCTGAGTTTGCCCGGGACACCTTTAAGGTATCCGGTCAGTGCGAGTGGGGCTTCTACTCCTGAGACTAGTGGGACTGGGACGAGGGCGAGTAGCATTGTTGGTTCGCCTGATGAAAAGGACAAGGAAAGGGACGGTGGAAGTGGTGAGGACTATTTCGGTGCGAAGTGGATGGAGGAGCAGAAGGAGAGGGAGAGAAAGGAGAGAAAGGAGAGGGAAAGAAAGGAGAGAAAGGATAGGGAGAGGAGGGAGAAGGAGAAGAGGAGGAAGAGGAAAAGGGCGGAGGTTTATGTGCGTTTCTTTTATTTTTCCCTCCTTCATTCACGTCTCTACCTCACCTCACTTACACCCACCCCACAGATAACCCGACACGTAGCAGCCATTCTCCAACGTCAAGAATTCATCCTCAAACTGGCTCGTGCAATGATGATGTTTGGGGGTCCTTCACACAGACTCGTCGCGCAGATCCAAAGCACAGCACGTGTCCTCGAGCTCGATATGAGTTGTCTGTACCTCCCTGACGTCATGTGGATCAGCTTCGAAGACAACGCAACGGGGACGAGTCACGTCAAGTTTATTAGGCAGGCGAGTGCGTTGGATTTGGGGAAGCTGGGGGAGGCGCATGGGTTGTATTGGGATGTACGTTTCTCTCTTCCATTCGAATGCTAAACAAACTAATCTCGTCAATGAAACCAACATATCTTACCACTCAAAACGCGCAGGTCATCCACGATGTCATCTCTGTATCCTCAGCCAACACCGCCCTCGACACCCTCATGCGCAAAAAGCCAATCTACTCCTTCCCCAAACTTATATTCCTAGGCGGGTTGTGTAGCAGCAGCATCTGTAGCGTTAGCTTCAACGGGAGCTTCATTGACACCCTTGTCTCCTTCCCCCTGGGTGCGCTCCTCGTCACCATCCAACTCCTCAGTGTGCGCAACGAGCTATATGGAAACGTGTTTGAGATAACGGTTGCTACGCTTCTGAGCTTTGTGAGCGCTGCGCTTGCTAGTACAGAGAGGATTTGTTATGAGGCTGTTGCTAGCAGTAGTGTAGTTTTGATTTTACCTGTGAGTTTAACGTCCTTCATCTGTCTTTCCTCACCCTGCTTCTTTCCTTTCCATCCATCCATCCTTCACGTCGCATCCCACCGCTAACGAACCCCACAGGGCTTCATAGTCCTGAATGGCTCCCTCGAAATCTCCTCCCGGTCCCTAATAGCAGGCTCCGTCCGTCTCTGCTACGCCCTCATGTACAGCCTCTTCCTCGGTTTCGGGCTGGCTATCGGAGCTGAGCTCTACCAAACAATACTCGGCAAACGTCTTGTAGGAGGCACAGATTACATGTGTCTCTCGAGCCACGATCCCAAAGGCGGGTGGTGGCAGCGCACCCCGAGTTTGTGGTGGGCGTTCCTCAGTGTGCCGTGTTATAGTCTGTTTTTAAGTTTGAGATTTGGGGCTGTTGTTGGGAGGAGGGAGTTGGTGAGTTTTTGGTACTGGTTTGGTTTAGTTTGGTGGGGGTTTTGTTCCTGTTTAAGATGTCAAACCTCTTTTGAGATGATACTAATTCCGACACGTACTAGTTCCTCCTAGTCGCCATCTCATGCATTGGATGGGTGACGAACCACTTCGTAGGCGTCAAGTTCCCGAACCAGAGCGATATATCAGCTGCTGTTGGAGCGTTTGCTGTAGGGTTGGTGTCTAATCTTTATGGGAGGTTTTTTGAGGGAAATGCGTTTGTTGTTATGGTGCGTTCTCTTTTTCTCGTGTTTCTCGCATCGAGGAATTGACAAAACTCTTACCTTGCGCACCAAACTCGCATCACAACACAAACGCACACACGCAGATCACAGGCATACTCTTTCAACTCCCTTCAGGCCTAGGCAACGGCGGACTGTTCAACTTCGTCGTTGATCAAACCTCAGGGTCGAGTTCTTCCTATTCAAGCGGGTTCAACACTGCGCTCCAGTTGATCAGCACGAGTGTCGGGTTGACTGTGGGTCTTGGAATCAGTTTGGTGCTCGTTCATCCTGTTCAGAGCAGGAGGAGGGCTGCGGGGGTGTTTAGTTTGTAGGCGGACGTTGGTGTTGGTATACGTTCCCGCTCTTCGCGTCGCTTTGCTTCAAATTCGTACGTATACTTGCATCGTTCTCGCTCAAGTGCATATCGCATTTAATCTCAATATAAATCTAATAGATAGATATCGATGCCCAGGTGCATCCATGCTTCCCCAACTCATCGCTTAATTTCTTTAGATTCAGATGCTCATCTAATTACTAGCATGGTCGTCGTCGTCGTTTATGTCTACGTTTTCCTACATGGACATCGTCTTCATTTTCATACATTCATTTGTCTCTGCGCACGTTCATTCTCATTTTGATCGTTAATCCACGACACAATCGCACGCAATGAACATTCTCTTCATTTTTTTGTCCCAGCTCTTTGTCTGGGCTCGATTACTCATTAGCAATGTATGTATACACCACAATTCATTGGGGAGCTGCGTTGATGTGTGGTAGGTAGACTCGTGAGTACTGTCTATGCGAGCCGCCGTAGAATAGGGGTCAATTGCGTGAGGACGATTTGAATCATTCGAACGAGTGACTGCACATTGACACGCTTGGGGCGCAGGTGATGTAGACATGAGAAAGTGTCAGGTGTACGTAGCCCACAAAACTTCGCAAAGCAACTCCGAGTGAGCTCGGTAAAACGACTGCAAAGAGTTGACACAAGATATTATTGCCCTCAAAGTTATATCTTCCATAATATTAATGTCGGGGTCAGTATGGGGTCCATATAAGTGCAAGTGAGATCTAGTAAGTTGCGCCGCTGAGCTTAGAGTAGAAGAAGACTTACGGATCACGATAGCTTGACCTGTATGGATCCCCGGATTGGAGGTTTGGAAAAGGCTTCGTGTCTTTCAGGAGAAACATACGGAGTCTCCTGCCTTCTGTGAGCAGATACCGCTTCTCTCTCGGGGGAACTTCACGGGATCTGGTACCATTTCCTTCTCCATCGATAACACCGGTGCACCGGTATCGATATACGCTCATATAGCAAAGGCGAACAGTGCCAGGAGCAACATAAATTTTGGACTTGGGAAGTAGGTTGACTAGATGACCTGTGCGAGGATCGAGGAAATCAGAGTGGTGCGTAAGCGAGGACTCGGATCCTGCACAATCGGTATACAACTGATGGACCCCCGTAAGCGAGATGTAAGGTGGCATAAGTACCTGCCACCTAGAGTGGCGGAGTACGAGTCCGCATCAATCACCCAATAGACCCCAACCCAACAAAACAAAGCGAAAGAAAAAAGCTCACGACGAATTAAATGTCCAACTTAGGGTCAATGACCCCAGAGAACTACAATCTGAAGCGAAAAAAAAGCTGGCATAAGCTCGGGAGGAAACCACGTTTTACTCATGTCTATTGTACGACCATCATAACACAGTTAAGTTGTGATTCGGAATCAGTGCGTGACATGTTAAAAAGGTGGGCCCGGCGATAGTCCTGGAGTGAGTAAGTAATTGTTCGTCCTGATACGATGCGTCAGCTTGAAAGAACTGCAGAGAATACGAAACAGACCTTCATAACTGCCAGCCATCGCTACTGGCCGTGGCTCTGGCGGGCCATTATCTCTGAAATCTACAAAGATCAAATACCTACCAATTGGGTTCGTATTCCATATGTGTCCTGAACCTCTAGTAGATGTATTTGAAGCGATCGCGAGTATGAAAACCGAGTTTAGAGCTAGTTGACGATCGTGACGCGCCTGTGACGCAGCATTGACGTGACTTATGTGACGCAGCAATATCACAAATCAGACCAATACAAGTTCTTCCTAACATCTTGAATTCGCAGCCTCCATATCAATATAGGAGTCCTCCACACTCACCTATGATATATTATATGACGCGTCACACCTGACCCTGCATGTCAGCACTTTTTAACTCATCCCTGACATGTTCTTACGCTGTGAGCTCTGTGCACAGACCGCCTTCGATATAAAGTAATGAACGATAACGTTATCAACGGCACTATGACACATTTGCCTCTGGCAGTTGCTTGATATTTCCATTGTTCAATTTCTACTTTGGTATTCATGCAAGAACCTTGAGACGGACCCTCCTATCCTCAAGAGCACTGGTAATGAGGATATTGTCAGGGAATTGGTGTCGGGGGAAGTGTGTCGCAGATACAAGGAACGTAAAACTCGTGTGAGTTCCCCAACAGCTTCTTGACAGCCCCCATAGTGAGATCAACTAACAATCTGACACATACAACTGGGAGAAATTATTCTTTCCAACCTATTTCTTCCCCACATCTGACTTGAACATTCCTCCGCGAATTCTGTTCTAACGAAGAGCATGGAAACAAAGGTTTACGACTTAGTCGTCGGTAAACATGAGACAAGGGACGCTGCAACCACAGATCGAGCGAGCGACGCAAGGATTTAGCCGGGCTCCTCAAGATCTGGGTTTCAGCTGTTGATGCGTGGTTTGCGGAGGACGAGTGGATTTACGTCCATCTCAAGGATGCTCAGAAGGTCGGTTGACCTCGCCCCAACCCCAAGTTTACAATTGCACGATTGAGGGCTAAAAACGGCGAAAGGCCACAAACCAAAGGGTGTAGTGTTGTAAAGAGTGTTTTCAATCTCGATTGATCTGATCTAGGATCACTCAATGCGCAAATGTGCAAAGTGGACGTTGCGACGTTGAGAGTGTGCATCGGCAACCCGGAGAGATGTGCGTTGACTAGTAAGTACTGTTACTTTATAGCATTTTCTTCTTCATTTCTGACTTTCTGATAACGTGCAAGTAGTCACGGGTTTGCGACTCAGCCAGCTGGCGTTAATCGAAAACCCCACGAGTCATCGATGTTCATGACATCATGGTGCCTGTCCAACTTCAAGGCTGTGGTCAGATAAGGGCAACGCCCAACCTTGGGTCTTCTTTTCCACTAGTCCCTCTCTTACAGCCACTGAGTTCGCCGCTCACCCATCCCCATTCTCTACCAACATGACCATAGTCTCAAATGATCCCACTTGGTGGCCGGCCATTAATTTGTACTGTGTTGTAAACTATTTTGTAGGTTCGTGAGGAGTAGTCGGATGTTGACGCCGAAGCCTCAATCTGACATTGATAGCGGTTTCGCAGTTAGCGCCTTTGCTGGAGTGATGTATGATTGGGTTGAGCATGATGATATTAAAGGACTGCTGATAGCCTACAAGTATTTTCAGCACTCACATTCGGACAAGAGGTATGTTAATGCTATGACTGGAGCAGCCATCTCGCTAAGAATGGTTATATAGGTTGAACTGGTCTGGGTGAGTAGAGTCTCATGTCAGAGGAACTCACATGAAAATACGCTTATTTCCAGAGGCAACGCTGGTCCCTAATGACAGTTCTGTATCTCGGTGTATGTAGCTTGCCTGTTACGATTGTCATGTTGTGCTAACTTGAAAGTACCCTAGGTGCGCTATCTTGGAATGTTATATACTGTGTATGCTCGGAAAGTTAAACAATCGGTGTTGTGCTAATCGTCTGTCTCTCATAATCAGCCTCGGCATGCTGGGTATGTCTTCTTAGTACATCATTCACTGTCTTTGCTTCTTCTCACTAACGGTATGCAGGCAGTGTTCCGACCATCTCGCTGACAGATACAGTGAGTCTTCTGCACAGATGCCTGCTACCCCCCTCCAATTGACCGTGGTGCCCTGTAGGAGTGAGTATGATGCCACCCGAGGCTGATCACTGACTGGATTCTGTTTGGCGTATGGAATTGGACGGGTGTTTTGGTATTTCCAATGCTGTGGGGTGAGCTTGGCACTTGCGAGCACTGAGTGGTATTGACGTGACTGAAACATGCTGCAAGTCATCATTATTACTCGGTTGTATGCCATGTATCAACGGTCCAGAAAGATCCTGGTATCTCTCATCGTCACCTCCCTGGCTGACAACATTTCGATGTAGTGGTACCGTAATGACAACAATGCATACTTCAGGAGGTACGCTTAATTGTGGATGACAAAAAATATGAATTTCATTGATGAATACCAGAGGAACTCATTCTCTCCGGCACCTATCAGTGCTCGATGGGCTATGCGGAATATGACCTACTTCTGGGCTCCGTTGCTTGGATACTTTCCACTGTGTCTCGCAGTCTGGATTGTGGTAAAACACTTCTGTGAACTGCGACAACATTCGGCAGGAGGGATTATGAGGAACTGTTTCACTGGTGTTGATGAAAACTCACGTGCTTTACTTTGCGAGGTGAGCTCATGTTGTGAATACGAGTTCCCATCCCGCTAAAGGATCGAACATGCCAGCCAGCTTTGTTGCTGTTTCTTGCTTCACCCTCATTCTTAATTTCTCTCCAACGCTCTCGGCGGTATGTCAAATTTTCACCTACCTCTGCATACGACCCAGATTCATCATCGTTACAGAGTTATTCACTGGATACTCAGATCGATATTGGGTCTCTTCAGGTTGTGAGGGTGGTGCAGATGTTCGTGCTAGGACCCCGCCTGATCCTTGACGTTCGGGAATATCACGCCAAGCTCGTGACCGAGTCTGACGCAGCACCCGGCATGACCTCAATCGCTTTCCAGAAGCGCGTGCATGTATCGACTGGCAGAGGTGTGTAACACGGGAGATGTTAACGGTTGTCTGGAGCTCTATGGGGAGCAGGAAAATTTCTTTTTCGCTCCATTCCCAGCCTCGTTGCGGTACTTATTTGGTGTCCCAAGTAGATTTCAGGGAGACATAGGTCTGGGCAATATTTTTGCTGAGTATGTATACGAATCGTTTGCTATAGGTCCTGACACTGATAATGTTTTAACCAATTATCCTGGATATCCCTACTGTACTAATGAAGAAAAGCTGTATACTGAATGGAAAGGTCGAGGAGCGAGAGATTTTTATAGACAATGTCGTCGGAACGTCAGGGCGCAAGTCTCAATTCGCTCTTACTTCTCATCCTCAAGGATAACTCGTGGCTCACCTCTCGTTGTATCGGAAGCATTATGGGATATTGGCTTTCGTCATGTGATGTGATCGCCTTGTATCATGTATAAGTTCCACGTCTGGGCACGCATGAGGCATGAAAAAACATGATAATTCACACGCGTGAACCCGCTGGCGTGAGCGGGGAATGGAGGTTGAACGTTGAATATTTTGAATGATGGTGTAGTACGCAAGTAGATCGTGAACATCGATACGGATCCCTGGGTAGGCCGACTGGGGCTGCAGACTTTGGTGATCATATGGCCAGGCTCTGGACATCCTCTTCACGCACCTCTTCAAGGTTGCGTCGGTTAGTGTACTCGAAAGCGGTCGAGGATGGGCCTGATACCATGAGGGAATGTGATCTCCGTGCAATATTCAATGGGAGGATACGTATGTGGTTGCGGTATCAAGGGGTAGTTGATGAGTTGTCACTGGTGATGGGGACAATATTTCGGAGCTGAACTTGAAAGCCTGTGAGGTTGAGGCGGGGACTGTGAAAAGATTTCAAGGCCACTCACAGCGATCACCACTCATTGATATCTCTGCAATGTACAGCACACTAGGACTGCTGGCGAGTAGGGAGAGCGATTTGACAGCGTAGATATCATATGAACTTGGACGTGCGTCACTGGTAAACTCGGCCGGTCTATTCAATTGAGTGGGCGTAGTTCCGTCGATTCTCGAAGAAGCTCGCAGTGATAATCAATTCGAGGGTACTTATTGAAGGAGACGGTTGAATGGCTCTATGAGACCGTATAATATTGTGAGAACACTGGAGGATTTGGTGACAAAATCTGTCAGTGGGAGTAGGCAGCGCTACTAGCCATAGCCTTGCTCTCTGACATCTGCAGCGGTTAAATACCTACCGATTTGGTTCGTATTCCACCTCGTATACATGTGTCCCGGACTTGTCGTAGATGCACCACTATTTGAAGCGATCGTGAGCTTGAAAATGTAGAGCTAGAGGTTGGCTTCAAGCCTTCAACGAGTGGGCGCTTGTGTATCCGGTTGCTATAAATGGCAGGGTCTCCGCGAAAGGAGTCTGAACTTGAAGGCGCGTCTTTACAACTTCAACTCAAGGATTCTTGCATCGTGCACACACTATATGTCAGTTAGAGTCTTCCTGAGATAGACCCAAGCTCAAATTATATCCAAATCACTAAGTACCATGCCCGCCACACGGAATGCACGCAAGAAAAATAAATTCGAACCATCTTCAAGTCAAGGCTCCAGGAAACAGCCTCACAAGCGCGTCAACTTGAAGAAACAACCTGGCGAGAATGTCCATGATAAACAAGTTGCTATGTCCACGGATGATGCCTACAAGTTATCAAAGCTGGCTGACGCACAGACCCCTATATCGTCGGTACCGGTGGCGCAGCTGCTTCCTTTGACTCCTTTGATATCTTCTTCATCTGCTTCCATGGCACCTACAGCAAAGCTTTGAAAGGCCGTAAGAGATTCAGTGCTGATCTTCACGAGCTGCACACGAGCTGCCCATCTGACCTTGATAGGGGAACATGGTCTGCGCAAAGTAAGTGTGGTTTAGCGCCTCCGATACTCAGCACCACTAATATTGGTATTCTTAGGTTTCAGAGCGGGAGATGATGATGGCTCAGTAGAGTTTGACCTCATAGAGTCTAGAGATCGGACAAGGATAGTGATGCACCTCCTATGTTCTGGTTAGTCGTTATCGAGAGGGGAAATGTCATCGGTATTGATCGTCATCCATATAGATACTTCCGAGTACCCCAACACTCACTCATTCTTCTGCCATTCCCCAGAACCTGGCAGTTACGGGGAACAGGTGAAGGAGATTTGTGACGGGGTACTCAACGACAGTCCCAGTACGATTCACGACGTGGCGAAGCATTTCTTGATCAGTATTTCTGGTGACGATGACAGCGAAGATGACCACAATTACGATATGACTGCAGATGAGGACATGAGTGCGTTCACCAGACCAGAGATCTGTCGCTCAGTCTTGCGCAGGTGCTCCAATTTCTACACAGATGACTATTCACTTACATGATCACAGAGACTTTGAAGGCACTCATGCAGCTGGTTATACCCCAGGAGCCATTTGGAGTGGTAGCAGCGAGTTCTTCTTGACAATCTCTGTCCCTGTGGTGGAATTAACTGACAAAATTCCTGCTCACGTCCTGATGTCTTGGGATAGCCAATTCCTACTTCCTCGCCAGCATCTCGTGCTGGTCACCTCTGGTTTCTGTGGCGTATATCCGCCTGTTCAGAGCGATGGGACACTCTCCCCTGCTGCAATCCATTCTGCACCTCGTTAAAATTCTATGTCGGCCTTTCTCGACAGTACAAGCCGTCAAAAGAACACGTCGTCGCTTCGCTCCGCCGATATGGTCTCCAGTCCGACCAGCAGAACGGTATTGAAGATGGCGTGGTTGAAGAATATATCGACGTTGACAACGCGTCTGAAACGGGATCGGCAGAGGATGACGGTACCTTTGATAAATTTAGTTTGAGCAGCTCGCTTGAATCGTTACTTGATGAGCACTTTCTTCAACTGCTTCGAGTTCGACGACAGTTCAAACTTGGATGGGCTGCAGCTGAAGAACTCCTCTGGAGATCACAGGAACTTCAGAGATCGCCTGCAATTCTTGTGAAGGAGATGCAGGAGGTATGTCTTAGATCGACATAAGCAACTGCCATATACATATATTCATCTTTGTTCCATTTCTACTAGGAACTTCGTCAAGCTGAGGAGGAGGAGCAATGTCTAGCTGGCTCTCGCTACTTACCGCATGATCCCTTGGAAACCCAAGATGGTCACGTCAACTTACTCGAGACTGCTTTTGCGTACCTTCTCCGCCGATTCACAGTCAGTATTACCATCGAGATGGTCGCATTGACTTGCGCTGATTTAAGAACAGCTATGCAATCGTTATTGTGTCGTCTGTCACAAGAAACTCAATACCGTGTTCGAGGTCCTAAAGCCTTATGTTTGCAACTCTGGTCTGTGTGCATACCAATACTATAGCCTCAACTTTGGGCCCTCCCTAGAGGTCGGCGACTTTTCGCTTGAATTATCAATTGCCTGCTTATTAACTCATTCAGTATGATATTTGCAAGAATACTGAGACGGTAGATCTCTTGGTTTCCCTCGCTTATGTTGCTGCCGCAGAACAAGTTCTCGATGAGCCCCTTCCGCAGTGGCTTATTATTGAAGGTTCCAGACCCCGTCCATAAAAGTCCCATGCGTGACTTCGATAGCTTGACTGTCAACGAAATGCGTACTGCAATTGTGCAACTTATCGACACACTGCCTCCGGTTCGAACGTCCCTCTTCATTGCTGACGCTAATGCTAAGTAAATGCAGATTCAGGGACATGAAGAAACACCTTGAAAAGAAAGTCATCGTAGGGACTAACAAGCCGAAGTTGAAGGATATGGACTCCAGTATCTTGCCCGCCGCATGGTCCATCTTGCGTTGGTACGTTTCATGCCTTTGAGTCATTCACCTAATTTAAACTCCACTAGGTGTGTTGCCTCTTGCACGGCACACCTACAAGAGTTGACCGAAGAGGAAGATCAAGTACAGAACATAGGTGCGTGCGATTCATTCACTTCCACTTCATTTGTTTATTCGGTGATGGTATAGGCTCGCAGTGGCGACAATTCCGCTTTATGGTCGGTGCCCCTGATAAAGAAGCGAAGTTCAAACATGCCTTAGAGCAAGAAACACGTGATGATTCTAATGCGAAGAATTACCCCACTCTCTATGTATGCTTTTTGGTACTTTCGTCAGTCGCGATCTTTTTGATGATGCATATCAGGCTTTCCATGGGTCACCCTTGAAGAACTGGCATTCCGTAAGTCGTCCGAGACGTCTTTGAAAGATACCACTAAGATATTCGATAGATCATACGGCACGGACTGTGGTATAAGACCGTGGCACATGGCCGAGCATACGGAGATGGCAAGCAGACTATCTTATAATCGTCAATAATTTGTCTTATTCTGTTCAGGTGTTTACTTCGCCAAAGACGGTGTGATTTCGATGGGATCCTATGCTACGGCTAGCTCACAATCTTGGAGGAATAGCACGATCGCCCCTTCGGCCTGTGTAGCTCTCGCGGAGATCATCAATCTCCCGCAAAAATTTACCTCGCATAATCCGTATTATGTGGTCAAGCAGACAGAATGGATTATGTGGTAAGAGTCACGCTTCAGTTCGGTTATCAAGGGCTGACGGTCTGCTTGTAGTCGATACTTGCTAGTCAACACATTCGATTACTCACACTCTAACAGTATATTTACCAGCATCAACACCACTACCTCCACCACCCCCTCCAAGTCAAAGGTCCGAAATGTTCCTTTTATCAAACACGATCCAAATTGTCGTCCCCTACTCTCGAATGCACAAGTCGAAATCCCACAACCTTCTTACAAACTTGAGAAACTTCTTGGGCTTTGCCAGGACGCATATGTCCCTCCTAAACTCGATGAGGATGACAGCGCTGTTTTTAGCGCACCTGATGAAGTGGAAGTGAAGCCAAAGAGCATCGCACCGTACATCAACGGAAAACCAAAGCAAGATTGGGTACATGATGCCAGTTGGGTGGAGAAGAACATCAACCTCTTGTTACCTCCGCCTGCTGATTCGACCCCAGGAGCGACAATGGCACTACAGAAAGAGTTCAGGGCGATGATGAAAGAACAGGGGGGCGCGGAGTCACTTGCTACCTTAGGATGGTACATGCCTCCAGAGTTCAATGAGAACTTGTTCCAGTGGGTGGTAGAAATGCATTCGTTTGATCCTGATCTGCCTATTGCAAAGGATTTGAAGTCAAAGTGAGTTTGGGCTGCGTGTTATGGAATTGACTATGTTGATAGATTGTTTCTCTTTCTTAAAGGGGTGTCAATTCGCTTGTTTTCGAGATACGTTTCCCGTCGACGTTCCCTCATTCTCCCCCGTTCTTTCGACTTGTAATGCCTCGGTTCCTTCCTTTCATGCAGGTACGATGTGAATTTTCCAAACGCTCGGTGTAGCTGACTTTTGGTGTCTAGGGCGGAGGCGGTCACATTACTGTTGGTGAGTATCGCTAAAGATTTATTGTTACTCGCTGATTTACCGGTATTTATGTAGGGGGTTCTATCTGCATGGATCTTCTAACTTCAGCTGGTGAGTCGTGACTGTCGGTATGATCTTGATATCTTGATAGCATGTACCGACGTGTATCTAGGATGGCTGCCAAGTTACAAGTGTGTATCTCGCAAGGTATTATTATAATGCTGATCTGACATTCCCTCTATGTAGCATTGCTTCTGTACTCTTACAAATCAAGCTCGCCATCTCGAGCACCGACCCCAAACCTGCGCGGCTAGACCAAAATTGGGAACAGTACGTTTTATCGCCTGTCAGATAGAGGGTCCTAGTTCTGACTCTTAAAGACCGTATCATCCACAGGAGGCGTTGTCAGGGTACACGAGGGCGGCAGCTATCCATGGTTGGAAAGTACATTCGTCCTTTGTTTATTCATCGGGCCTTTTAATGATTGCCTTCAGGTTGCAAATCCGAGGGAAATGGAAAGACTTGTCACCCAGGGTTGAAGTGGTCGTTGCATGGATGTGTGTGATCTTGGGACATTGTATTGGAAATTGTGAATATACCGAACCAACCGAATGTCTTCAGTCTTCTGACAGTAATTGATAATATGCGTGCAGCCCTGTCCGTGGGACGGGAGCTTGGGATGCAGGGTCCTGGGCTGATCCATTGTGGTCACGGGGATGTAGTACTTGCTGAGCCGTTTTTCTGCACTTCTTGCTGTAGTCAGTAGTTTGTTGTTAGTTTTCTTTTGGCGCTCCTCTTCCCTCTCTCTTCTCTCCTTTCCTAAGTGCTGCAAAAGTTAAACTCGATCTGGATGAGGATGACATCAGGAAATTTGCATATTCCTTATTTTGCCCTTCAATAGACTTACCGGTGTCCATTTCCCAGACAAAGTTCTTACGGCATGCCTCACACCCAAAACGGCCAACAGTTGTATGGTTGGAATTTGGGACGCGTATTTCTGATAGTACTACATACTACTGCCCGTATTAGGATAGGATGGATCGCAAGCACGTAGCAGTATTCTGAACGGCAGCCTCTGATTGCGAATTATCCCATGCTCTCATCATCGACATCCACTTCTCAAACCATTCCCAGAATGGACCTGACAACTTCCCTCTATTCCTGTAGAGTTCCTTCCAAAGATCGTCCAAAAAGTCCTGTAGTTTGGAGACAATCGTCAGGAACGCGGCGCGCGGTGCTCGTTGTTTCCGTCTCTCGTCAAATAACAATTGTTGGACTGTTGAGCGGAGAGTACCGAGGGACCTTTCTACCGCACTGCTAGGCGTTAGGACAGACCATCAGCATTTCGCAGGAATGAGCACGTACTTCGGGTTGCTTGTTTGCAATACTTGTAATGCGTCGCTGATCATCTTGATGTCTTCGACGAGAACATTATACGTGTGACTAACTACCGCGTTTTCTGTTTCCTTGGAATCCCACTGAGGTACGACATGACTTGTGTCGAAAATGTCGTTTAAAATGACAGATACAGCGGCCTGAGCCTGTGAATGAGAATCGACAGCATGTGTTACTCTTCGCGCACCTCAGCAGCTTTCGTAGGATTCCGCGAGCGACGCAAACCGACTGCCAAACTTGCCTGTATATCTGGAGAAAAGTCAATCTTAACCGTGATGACAGTCGTCGAGTATACTAGCCTGGAGGTAATGTATCGCCCGGAGAGAAGTCTCTGCGGCTCAAAACCAACCGAGGCTTTGAACCGTCTGTCTTGCTCGATCTCGAGTGCATTTCCGCTGTAGTCAAGGAAATAGCCCTGAAAGGGACGTAGAGAGCGAGATTGACATCTACAAACTCGAGAGCTTCGTTCGTTGTCCTGCGATTCTGGGGGATTTCTAGCCAACACCCTTGGATGAACTGCCACTGCTCCCGAGTGATGGATTTGTTCGAATCGGAAGGTGATGCCGGGGCGACTCCTATAAGCAACTCGACAAGGACGTCACTGTCCTTCAAGGTGGAATATGGTAGAGAGCCCGAAAGGACCTGCATAATTTATTGACAACGCGCGTATTTGCGTGGTGACAGGCTTACGAGATAAATGATACTGCCCAGTGAATACCTATCACTGGATATACTTGGCAGGGGCACTTCTCCGCGACTGGACTTTTTGAAAAGTTCGGGGGCAGTAAACCGTATAGTGCCAGATGTTGACAGGCGAAAGTATGACATGCCTAAGATTTCTGGAACTAGCACACTGAGACCGGCGTCCGCTAGACTAGCTGTACCAAGGGCATCTACCAGCACGTTATTCTTCAGACATATATTAGATTGATTTGCGGGATTAATGGGAATTACCCTTACACCAGAAAGATTTCCATGGACAATGCCATGAGAGTGCACTGCGGAGAGGAAGCATGGCTCAAGCTCACGTCAAATATTGAACGGAAATGGCTGAACGCACAATAGTGAAGTCCCGAGACGATGTTTTCAAGCTATTGTTTGACAGGGGTAAGCAGGAGGTCTCAGTCAAAATGGTAATGCAACGAGAAACCGACACAAACGAGTTTGAATTTATCTTGTACAGTTAATGTTGCATGTTTGCATGATAAATAAGTCGAGAGGGTTCCGTTTTCTTTCCAAGGATGGACTATTGATACTATTGGGCCGAAGTCCATGACAATGCCATATAAAGGAAGTATATTTTCATGTTCAAGCTTCGCCCAAGCATAGATTTGCTGTGACCATCTCTATCATATCATGGTTTATATCAAGGCTTCTGAGAATATAAACATTGGTACGTGCTTTGTGTGTTTTGGCGAGTTCACCCTGGTTTGTGCTCTCGATCCGGAACGTCTTCACTGCAACCTGTACCAGCCAGATGAGTCTCAAAACAGTTCCGTGTAAGCCAAAACGAACCTTCGTGGAACCGGTGTCCTTGAACCATGTACATTTCCAAACATCCGTGGTACCTCCTGATGTTGTCAGAACGCTTGTGTCTGCGACGACATCGCCTGATAAATCAGCCACATGTCTTTCATTGGTAGCTGAACTAGAAGATCCAAAGCACCGTACGTTGCTGGACGACGACGAAGCAAGTAGAGGAGCTACTGGTGGAGCATAAAATACGAGGCCACTCATGCTGACAGTTTGGAGCGGAATTAGCATGCCTCCAGTACTTTAAAGGAGATTTACAAGCCCCCAGCCCTAGTTCATGAGGTGATCCGTTGACCACGCGTGAGCGCCAATACATGGATATGTTGCATGGTTGGAGGCACCCAACTAATGCCTTATCAGCTAACATTCATACATGCTTTAACCTCGAGCCTTGGTGGCTAAGGAAGCAAATGATATCAAACTTTCCGAACACGAGTTCTGCGCTCACCTTACCTTGTGATCCCACAAGTTGTCTGACCAGACAAGTCTGTGAACATTAACTATTGCTTTGGCGTTTTAATTGTTGCCATGGGCTGTTTGGGGGTCTTGTCTGAGTTTTAATATCAAATACGGGATGGACGCTGGCGGCCTCCATCACAACCAGCCCTATTCCCACTACTACTTATCTCCTCCCGCCATTCCTTTCATCCGACCGCGCGACACAGCGGATACGCTCTTTTTCAGAAGGGGTTCTTATACCCAAACTTATAAGAAAAAAACTACATTTCAACGATATGAACAAACGAGGATTGACACACGTTCGCGTTGGGCATGCTGGTGCACCACAAACGCACCAAAAGCGTTCTTGTAAGTTTACGAATGAATGAAATGTGCATTGCACTAGATCTGATCTTCGCAGCATGCGCCACGGGCGGTTTTTATATCAGCCCCTCTCAGGGTCAAACCGTTTCCAGCAGTAGTCCCTTTAACATCACCTGGGATGCATCCTGCTTGTCCAATACACAAGCTGTTGATATCTATCTTATCGCCCCCAGCTTGAGTAGCAGTCGTATTCACGAGTGGCAAAACGTCAATTACGCCCTGGGGACCTATCAGACCAACCTCGAGACCAAGTGGTGGAATGACACCTCCACAGTCAACCTGCAGCTTTCCATCGTCACTTCCAACACACAACCATTCCTTAGCCCCTTTCCCGCGGGCCCTGTATTTACTGCTACATATACTGCACCATCCGATGGCTCTACCCCAGCCAGCGCCGATCTTAGTTCTCCTGGCGGTGTCACTTATGTCGGAAACTTCCCTTCCAGCAGCTCTTCCTCTAGCGGCAAGATCGCTGCAGGCGTCCTGGTGCCGCTGATTTTCATCGGATTGGGCGTAGCCGTCTATTTCAAATTAAGTCGCGCCAAATCCAAGGAAAAGAGCAGGCGCTTCAGCGAGGCCATCGACAAGCGTATGTCGACAATCTCCGTGGACTGGAAGTCCATGTCTGCTGCTGGTGCTTCAGCAGCTATTCGTCACAGCATGGCAGTTTCAACTGGAGGAAATCGCAACTCATCGTTTTCCTTTGGTCCAATTCGTCCCGTCAGCACTGCTGCTGTCGAAGGCGTTCCTTCTATATCAGACAAAGCCAGTTTGGACGTGCCAAGGATGTCTCAACTACGTTCCGGCTTGCGTTCTCAGACTACCTTGGGCGAGCGGGTATCACGAGTATCATTCGCTACAGACATTCGTCCATCAATCGAATCTCGTCGCACCGTCGGAACCAGTCGTGCCTTCCATACTGGCATTGTACCTCCTCTTCCTTCTAACGATGATAAGGAAGAGACGGAAGAGCTCTCCCCCACACAAACCAAGGGACCCTTTACTCTCACTCCGGATGATATTCGTGCCCGCATGTCCATTAGTGGAGCATCGGAGGTGCGTCCGAGTATGGATGAAGTTTGGCCATCCTTGAGCAGTAGGTTTCTTAAGTTGCTTCTTGTGTACTTGAAAATTGACTTTAAAAACAGTGATGCGCACGGGAAATGAAACCAGTGGAGACGATTACTTGCTGCCCCAGGAGCAGCAGAGCGTTGACATGCCTCTTCCTCCCGTCCCAGCACATCCTGCCCCGGAATCAGGTCTCACTATGATGCCCATGCCTGCCAGCGTCATGTCTCCCGACGAGATGCTCCGCGCCTATGCTGAACGGAAAATGAAGTCCCCCACTAGTTCCTTGGCATTCCCTGCCCCAGCTGCCAGCTACAACGGTAATGGTATGCGGACGTTGTACACTCCCAGCCTCTCCACCCAGGAGGGGGGAGAGCAAAACAATCGTTACACTCAGGTGTATGATGACCCCTACGCTGGCACCGCTACTTGATTCTGCAAATCTTTGGTCTGATAGTGTATCTTTACATAAGATAAAAATGTCGCTTCTTTTGGTCTATCGCGTTTCGGTTCCGTGGCCTCGGTTTCATGACGCTTCTGTACTTTTGCAGTGTTACGTTGCCTATCTGATTCCCCCTTTCCTCTTCCAGAATCGTTATCGATAAGTACGTGCCCTCCGTTAGTGGTTCTTATTGCGTATCTATTTACCTTCATACCCACGTCTCCCCATTGAGGACCTTGTACTCGCTTTGTCACGGCGCGCCGCTGGACTGGCAGCCTTCAACTATGATTACCCACTTGTGATTTGTCGGCCTGGAGCTCAGATAGCCGATCGTCACCTTGACCCAAATTTTACCATTATGCGAGTTACATATTGAAGTCTGTGCATGCATGATTGCATACGTGTGCTGTCGATCATCAATCTGAAAGTTTCTTCCCTCCGTCCTTGAGATCCCCAAGTTCGTTTTGCCACGGCTCCCATACTTTTTCATATTTCTTGAGCAGTGCCACCAGCTCCTCCTGCTGTTCCTTCTGTGGCCAAAATGAGTACGCGTCACTGACTGATCTATATACTCACTATATTCCAAGGCTCCTCCGCGTATACATCAGTGAACATGTCCTCTAGGCGAGGCTTTTTGATAGTTTCTGCGCGCTTGAATGCCTTTATCACATCACGTCTCAGACGGGACGCGAGCTCCTCCTCATCCGTCTCGTTCCACCATCCCCGGGATTCCATGAATAGGCGGAATCGCGTAATGGGGTTGTCATTCTTTTTTCTGTCTTCAACTTCCTGGCGCTCCCTATAGACATATGAGTCGTCCGATGTCGAGTGATGGCTAACCCTATAAGTCATCAGTCTCCACTAGAACTGCTCGACCACCTTCCAAGCACCGCTTTCGTGCCTCCTTGACAGCGTTCATTACCGCGAGCACGTCATTTCCGTCTACACGAACTGTATCCATACCATAACCTACAGGTGATGTTCGATTACTATTCACATGAATGCGCGAGGCGTGATCAAGTTACCTGGGCCTCTTGCACTGATACCATCGCCGTGAAATTGTTGCGAGTTCGGGGTACTGATAGCAAAACCATTATTTCTTGCTAGAAGCAATGTTGGCGAGGGTAGCGTCGAAGCAAGGAGCATTCCAGCATGAAAGTCCCCCTCTGACGCTGCGCCTTCCCCGAAAAACACGCAGGCTACATTTTTGGAGCGCCTCGCTGGGTCACGTTTAAGTGCAAATCCAACACCAGCAACTTGTGGTATTTGAGTTGCGAGCGGAGAAGATATGGTATGGAAATGATGTTGCTTGGAGCTGTAATGCTAAGGGAGCGTCAGTAGATACGAGCAAAGCTGCGAAAGGGAAAATACAAGGCGACATACCACACCTATCTGGCGGCCTTTGCTAGAATCCTCATGATTTCCAAAAGCTTGCGCCATGATACCGTCAAGAGTGAAGCCACGCCACAAGAGCACCCCCGTTTCGCGGTACTGTGCTGTAGCAGAATTAGCAAAAACATAAATAACGCAGAACTTAGTCCGACATAATACTCTGAAAACAAGAGTGTCTCGTTTTAAGTCAAATGAGACTACGTGTCTGGAGAAACTCACTCGTCATCATCAGCAAGTGCAGCAGCAGAGCCAATTACAGTGGCCTCTTCTCCATACTTGAGAGACACGAAGGTCAGCGACTAGTATTCATACCCGCACGACCAATTATCTTACGGAAGTCGCCTAAATTTAAGTTATGTAAAGGAATATCTGAGGGGTATTCTTGTCCACGTACATAGAAGGGTATTCTGCCTTGGCGTTGACCACTGCAAAGTATATCATCCAGCGTGGGAAGCAACTGCATGTTTTCGTATCTTCAAGACACTGTAAGACACAATCCCGAGTCATTGCGAAAATAACCCACAATTGCCGCGCGAACTGCTTACTGATCTGAATGAATTTTGATGTCAATGAATTTGTTTGGAGATGGAAGGGCACAATACCTACCTTAGGCACTTCAGCACCTTCTACTGGAACACCAAGCGTATCGAGAACTCTATAATTCGGTATCTTGCTACCGTCGCCAGTTACAGAATTGAAGAACGCGAGCTTTGACACGGCTGATGAATGCGTCGTGGGTACGCAGCCTACCGAAGTAGAAGCTGGTGAAGTTGAGAGCGTCCGACCATTCGAGCAAGCCCTTGTCAGCAAAGAGGAATGCCTAAATAACAAGGAATGCAGCATGTCTGGCTAGTTGCGCTGATACTGAGTAGGATCCGAGTCAAGAGCGTCACTTGGCTTGGGCCGGGTGTCGTCGATTGCGGGACGAATCCCAGGCTATCAAACGAATATCATCAATCTCGTAAACTTCGAGTCTGCCTGATAACTTCAAGATAACCTCCTTACGTCCGAACTGACTCGGCTTCATCTGTGCCGCTTTGTCAATCTGGAGTTAGTTCCAAAGCACAAAGTGTAGTTTGAATGATACTCTATTGGACCTGAGATTTGACTCACGAGTGTATGATCATTGAGACAGACTGGCTGAAATTATTCAGAATGATGATAAATGTTTTTTGGTGAAATCTTTGATCGCAGGAGGTCGATCATACCCCGCAAGGTTGAAGGCAGGGCCGCCATCGTGGTAGCATCCACGATCTTAATTTGATGGAAGAGGGCTAGCGCAGCCTCCAGAAAGGTCCGTGCGGCTGAAAAGGCTGTAGCCATAGCCACATTGTGGCCAAAATAGAAGAGGTAGAATGTCACACACATGAGGTTTCGAAGCCAACTGACTGGGTGATCTAAGTTACCAGAGGAAAGAAAGCAGCTCAGAATACGTACAATTATGTAAGTTTGAAGATTCGAAAAACAAGGGGCCAAAACACTTGGTCAAAAGTCGTTCTCCTACCCGTGTCATACCATACTCAACCCGCCGCAATGCCATAGTGAGGAGGAAGATTGCGATGCTCATATATGGGAGCAGCACTACATGCTCATATTGAAACCCGTCGGGCCTCCGACTCCAGGATTGATCGAAGATCATTGATTTCGCTTAAGATCATCGAGGTAGAATGTTTGATCGTCGTCGACGCTTTTGAGAGCCTGGGAAAATGAGGCGATGCAATAGACACCCAGGCTGGTGGTGTTCTGGACCCAAACCGTCACCTCCTGCCAATATGTCGACCAGGCTACCAAAACTGGTCGCTTTCGATCTAGAGTAAAGGATGCCTCCCATCGAGGCTTGATTGTGACTGATCGCAAAACATGTAGCTATACGCTTTGGGATTTCTGGGTCGACACTCACGTACATCCCCCATTGAGGCGACATCACGTCACTGGCAAAGTCACCGATAGCCAGCGCAATCCCAAGACAATCGAATTCTACAGGGATGTACCACAGATCATGCACCGTCTACAAGCAGCAGGCGTGATGATTGCTGCATGCTCACGGACAGATGCGCCGTCATTGTGAGTGATCTGGACGATTCCACTACCTGCTAGTAGCTCTGCACTAACATGTTGTACCCAAAGAGCTCGTGAAGCCTTGGATCTCATACTTATACCCCCAAGGACTGGTAGCGACAGCAGCGCGAAACCAATCCCCGCAATTAAGTTTTTTGACCAGCTAGAGATTTACCCTTCTTCCAAGATTAGGCATTTCAAGAAACTTCACGAGAAGACTGGGATACCCTATGACGAGATGGTAAGCAGGTGAACGTTATGCATGGAGGTCGCTGTCACGCACGTTTGGGTAGCTGTTCTTCGACGACGAATGGAGGAATCAGGAAGTAGAAGAACTTGGTACGTGAACTTACGAGCTGATGAAATACGTTTACATTAACATCAATTACACCAGGCGTGACGTTCACGCTTGTCTCAAACGGTCTCAATGACCAAATTCTAGAGAAAGGGCTAGAGGAATGGAGAAAGAGGCACCCTGTTCAAGTCATCGAAGACGTGGTAGGAGCAGATGGCACTCTTATCTAATAGTGTTTCATCAGGATAGCGTGATCGCTGATATTTCAATTGAATACATGATCTCGATGAGAGAACACTGCCTATCTGAGTTGATCATATCGATGAGCACGATGGACGATCCAGATTCTATGAAGGGGGGTTTCCCCTGCGATGAACTTATAACTTGATATCTATTCCCCGTATGACAAGCCTAGAATGCTCTCGACCGGACACAATGAGTACTCGCACCGGGGCCCTGTGTTCGTGCTAGGGACATGCCATGGTGATTTTTCGGGGCGGTGTGAGGAGTAATGTTAACATGATTGTGTCATGAGGAAATCATGTTCTGTAAGCACCTCAACAATTATTGTCAAGAGTCTATAAATGTGACTATGTTTCGGGTCTTTCCCGTCAACAGCGAGGCAGACTGGAAGCTAAAATCGCGCAATCCTAGCTTCCACGTAGATAAGCGAGGTCACAAGGAAGGACACTTCCACCGAAATGAATGCGCAAGGGGAGAAGTCACATTAAAACGCCCGTGCTACGATGCGATTGGTGGGGATGTAGAGGAGTGATTAAGAATGATATTTGGTATAGGTGTGGCCTATCACAAGGTGAACCATCCGGTTCAGGATGCAGATCAACAACCAAACTGCAGAGCTTGTGATGAAATATAGTAAGTTTCGACGTACATAGCTCCCAGATAAGGGGAAAGGAGTTGGTTGGGAGGATAAGCTCTGCTGGCTTCATTTCCGCAGTATCTTCCCTCCAGCAAAGATCATTGAAACTGCCACAAACAAACCAGAGCGTAAATGGCGCGAAAATATCCCTGAACTGACACAGTCCAAACTCATCTTGGACATCGATAGTTCCGGAACTGGATACAGCTGCGAAATTTGCGATCCACAGGGAGAAACGGTACGAACTCTGCCGAAGGTGAGGGCAGGGCTGCGCGAGGACTATAAAAGATTGTCTGGTTGTACTCCATTCGACTACCACAACCACACCCTCGCTCATACTTTTCTCTCGTGCAAATAATACACGATGGCCGCTGCAAAGAAAGCTGCTAAGACTGGTATGCCTGACCTTTGTCTCTATTTGGGTGACGTCTGACAGGCGTTTGATATTTTACAATCTTCGATTACTTTGCTGGGATCACTGTTGATACACAGGCGCTCCCACTACTGGCGGTGCTGCTTCCGGAGCTGTACCAAGCCCACCCACCAAGGGTGCCCCTACACCAGTGTGTGACCTGTCCAATGATTATTGACACCAATAAATTTCGTCAATCTTGCAGAGTAAAGGTGCCAAACCTCCTGTACCTGCCGCAGAGGCTCCTGCCGCCAAGGCAAAAACCAAGGTTCCGAAGAAGAAATAAACCCCGCGCGCTTTGTGGTTTTTGTTTGGAAGCACCAGGACGATGGCGGTAATGATGACAGACCAAGCGCCCCTAGAATGCACATGTACACCTGCCGCGATGTATGAGATTTAGTAACATATGGAATTGAGGCTGTACCACAAATGCTCCCTGACGCCTGTGCTCAGCATGTCAACGTTTCGACTCAGTGGGTCCTGAAGCTTGGCCTTTAAAAACAAATAGTAGCGCTTATGCACAATTAAAAAACCGAAAAGAAGTGCATGAGCGCCAGTTGAAGTATTCGCTTCTAGCACTGCTGGAAGCAATCTGGAAATAGACGACTTGATCAGCTGAAGCCCTATGCCAAAGAAGTCGTAGGTCCATGGCGCGCTAGTATAGCCTTCAGAAGAGTTGAACGTTACAAAAGGCAAGAAAAATAAAACAAGATCAAGTGTGTCATAACATTACGTAAACATGCATTGCTTTGTGCAAACAGTCTGCAGTCCATTTTCGCCTCCTCGAACGATTCAAGCGCTTCAGCTACTGGTTTAGCTTCCTCTTATACCCGCCGTTGTAATATCCGCTCAGTGGAACACCAATTATACTGACACAGGCTTTTACCACCACAACCTATTATGACGCCGACTTGCCCGTCCGATAACACTATAGACGTGGACCAATCCAGCTTCTGGAGCTCTGGCAATCTGAACTGGGACGAACATCGAATAGGATGGGCGATTGCGGGAGGATGTGCTATGCTAGTATGTTCATCTTCATTGGTTCATATATATCCCAGGTGGTTTATCATCAATTCCACACAGACAGTTCTTATTTCAATGGTTTCGGTCCTGGGGCATTGTCGGTAAGGCGTCATGAATGTTGGAAGTATCTTTCGATTCCAATTCGTTACATCAGAAATTATACCAAACCCAGCGAGCAGCGTCAAATGTGCGTCCGTCACTTCTTCCTTGAGTGCTTTTCTTCATGCCTTGTCCTACTTTCAGTCTGCGAATCCTGTACATGCCACCAGTATACGCTGTTATTTCATTCTTTTCCTACCGATATTTCCGGAGTTACACATACTACTCGCTCATCGAAACCGGTAAGTTGTCGTGACAGCCCTGTCGCATGCTGAGTTGATAGCGCCCTAATCCTTTTAGCATACGAGGTAATTGATTGCCGTATACACTATCTTTGACCATTGTCTCATAAAAATTTCATCAGGCTATCACCTTGAGTGCATTCCTGTTTGTGGTTTGTTTTTGATCGCATAGACACCCCGCTTACTTGTCGACCGTATGATAGACTCCTTTTGATCGAATTCGTGGCAGACACGGCCGCAGGTCGCGATGCCACAAAGGCAATTGAACGAAAGGGTAAAAGGAGTTTACCGATTCCTGTGCGTATTTTACTTCACATTCTCTACAACTACATGTTAATCTCCCCATAGTTCTGCTGTTGGAAATATCGACCAACAAAGGTATGCTGTTGCTGATGCCTTGGGAGTCTTTCCCTCACACACTTCTTCAGCCTTACTTCATGTACACCGTCAAGGTAAGTCAGTTACTGAGTGCTTTGACAAATACCCATTTTTAGTGTAGTGGTCAGTTTTACAATACGTTATCTTCCGACCAGGTGAGGTCGAATCAGTCCACACACAGATAGACATCTCACGTTATAGCAGCTGTATCTATCGCTGGAATCGTCTGTGAAGTATACAACGTGCTTTGCGAGTCTGGCCCTTACAGCATATATTTTGCCAATGTCTATCTCGAGGCCATTGATTTCGTCAGTATCAGGTGCGTCCAAGCCTTGATGTGATAGAGATCTGACCCATAACGTATCGTCGCTTGAATAGTGTGGCACTCTATGGTCTTTTGCTGTTTTATGGACTCACCAAAGAGGAATTGGTTGGGCGACGACCAATGGCTAAATTTCTCTCCATCAAGCTCATCGTGATGTTCACTTTTTATCAGTCCTTTGTCGTGAGCTCTTCCCTCCTTTATAGTTGTTACCCACTTTACGCCCGAGTCATTTTCAGTTTAGCGCACTGGAAGGCCGTGTCATCAAAGGTGTGTCTTTTCAGAACCCTAATTTACTCGATGCTGACATGAGCGCCGAAGCTACCGAATACTGGACTGCGGCCAATATCGCAGATGGTCTTAATGCGCTGGCCATTTGCATTGAGGTTAGTTACCACCCCCTGCATACAACGCGGGAGCCTCGTGTTGACTTATCGCGCCACAGATGGTTTTCTTCTCGGTACTGATGATGTGGGCATACACAGTCAATGAATACAAAGCGGCAGAAGACAAGAAGACAAGCATATGGCGTCCATTATGGGACAGGTGCGTCTATATCCCATGACAGATGAATATTTCAATTGCTGATATCTTCATAGCGTCAATTACTGTAAGCGCTCCATGATATCTTTCTAATCTATTGCCTAACACACTGCCAGGGGATTTTATCACAGAGATAGGAGGCTCATTCAAGTTCTTCTTTAACTACACCCGTGGCGCCTCGTCAACTCACTCAAGTAGGAAGATGAATTTTGCACAGGCATTTGGGGTCGGCGGTAGGTCAGTGAAAGATGGTGATAAGTCACTCACCGAGGAATCAATAAGGCTAGCTCCATATCCCTACAGTGACCCCCACAACGCCAACAGCGCCAGTCCCGTGTTGTCATAATCAGGTCAAACCAGTGTTACATATCAAGGACATCTTCATTATCTATCTCACTTTACTTGCTTGCTTTTATATATCCACACTCTTTACCTGCGTATAACTGTGTTATCGACCTTTAATACGTCTGACTACGCGACACCACAGAAGTTCGGCAGTGCCGAACATGTCTGCATGTATAACATTGTACTATACCATTTTGTACATAGAACGCGATGAGTATAACGTGCCAGCTTTTATAATTATATTTACAAGATATCTCATCTTCGATGAAAAGTGCGCGTCTGAAACGGCTGGTAGGAACTGCGGACTGGTGGAAACACGCTTCGCGCCTGGGCATTTGCAACTTCTGAATGGACTTGGGGCAAAGCCCGATGTAGACAGTACATGCTATATACTATGGCATTCTATTGACATTGCTAGCATTGGTATAATTGAGACCATTGACTCGCACTCCGTACGAAGGTTTGAGGTGGTGGAACATCGGAAACCAACCTAAGGCTGACGGGGATAGGGTGTATGCGCGGTTACACTAGGTTTTCACGGGTACGGTTCTTTGCAGGTGCGCTTGGGAGGTTGAGTCTGGGTATGCGCGAGGAACGAGAGGACTTAGTTCCTTTTCAGTCGTTGTCTGTGACGTTCCCGAAATCTCGTTCTAGGCGTTTCGTGGCGGTAATGTACTTGAACAAGTCGGAGATGTGCTTGTTGCTACTGAGAATACTGCGGATATGGTAAGCGCGGTTGGGGAATGATCTTTGTAGGGAGCCAAGGTGCCTAAAACCTCAGCGTGTACAGAGGACAAACGAGGGTTAAGGGGAGCCGAAATTGGGGATTCGAAGAATCAGAACGATACCTTACAAGAGTGGAGCCGCGGCGTTTAGATACTAGTAACGCGATGTTGCAGTTTCGCAGCTGCTTGGCAGATGGAACAGCGTCTGGTCCTCGACTATCAAACCTACGCCACCGTGACAGATGTTTTTGAGAAGATCGATCGCATTGAATTAGGAAATTAATAAAGTGAGAAACATAATGCATGACATTATGAAACCACCATGGGTATAATTTCTAGATGGCTGGGAGGTGAGGCGTCGTCAATGACTCAACAGTCTGATCATGAGGAACACGGACCTCTCCCTTCTGCCCTGTCATCGCGACCGCGACAGTTTAACACCCCATTTACGGTCACTCGCGCTAAGACGAAATTTCGATTAATTCATAACTTAAACTATAGTGGGATAGTGCGACTACACTCTGTATATTTGCACCAATGAGGATCAGTAGGGAGTCGGCTCTCAATCAAGTAGCTCCTCTTCATAAGGCGTGCGAGTCTACTCGGGACTCGAGACCTGCATCTAGGTGACCAATTTTGCATTGAGGCGTCTGGGCAGAGGGGATCCAGAGTCTCGAAGGTATACATCAAGAAGTGAGTTTAAAGAGAGCTTGACTCTACTGATCTTTGTTAGATGCACCGGTGCATGCTTCCCGATGCTCCAACATCTCGGACATGGTCCGCCTGAGTTCAGGTTATTAGCCTAGGATATCAATGATCAATAGTCGGAAAATGCCTCACGTCATTGAGTACCAAGTGGATACGACGTCTTCACCCTCGGGTCGTACGATCACGAAAAGCGATATCACGATCGAGCCAGTGGGTGGAATGTATAAAAAGGTATGACGAAGCGGAAACAAAATATGACTGGTGCAGTAACAAGGGATATGATGAGCACCTCGGACATGAGTAACAGAAAAATGTTCACTAACGTGGAACTACTTTGTATACTTGGAACTTGGAACTTGGAACAGTGACTTCACGACCTCGTTCAAAAGCTCTGCGACTTTTATATTTCTTAAAGGCTGATAGTAAGGTTGCTGACAGGCACGGATCGATCAGAAGGGCCGGGGATAGCGCAAGTGTGGTGCTCAATGGTTTCATCCAGTTCGAATAGGAAGCCCCACTACTGGAATCAGTATCGAAACGGCTGATGGCAATGTTGTTCGAATGGCAGGTCAAGATTGCCACTTGAGGCCCTGACTCGGTCAGTCTACCCATAACTTGAAGTATCGGAAATCATACCAACTAGATATCGCTCATCAATCGATGGAGGGCACCAGTGACGCGAAACCGGATGACCAGCTCGGCGAGGAGTATTTCAGTAGTGAGCATAAACCAGATCAAGATAACGTGGACGCGCCAAATGGATCGAAACTTGAGCAAAGGGCGAGCTGAGTGATGGTTGATCCCACGATTATCGACTTGAAAGCGAAAGGCCCTACTTATTGGGAAATTTTAAAAGACCACATGCTCAATTTGCGACTGCGTAAATTAGCCACCCTGTCCGAATCTCAGACCGGAACTCTCCCATGGCCAGCCTCGAGGTAGTGAATTGCATTGCGGCACTTCGGAAAGGCGATGAAGCAGGAACCAACCAGAGATATTCACAGTAAGAGGCGCAGCCCGATTCAGATTAGGCAAAGGCACTGGCTTCCATCTAGGCTATGACCTCATCGATGTACTCAATGTGCTGTGTCGTTCCAGCAAGTTTTGATGACTGTCTGTTGCGGTCGCACAGCAGCATACTGCCTTGAGCAATCTTTATATATACCTCCAGTTTGCGATTAACGTTCATTAGCAACTTGACAGCATACTACTTGCCATGCAAATGTGGTCCTGGAACACGCAACCCAATTCGCATGCGCAACGCAAGTTCATCGAACTTATATTCGATCGAACTGGAAAGTATGCCAACTGGGACCCACCCTCCGAAATTCAGGTGCGTGCTATTGTGGCTTAAATACCTATCTGTTGCATGCTAATCTCGAGCAGGTTGGGTCGTACGGAAGGATTGACAAGGCCACGGGGAACTTGTCGTCGAAGGCAACATCTACTCAGATAAATTCAGGCATTCTCTCATCAGTGCAGGTATCGACCCTGAATCTGATGAGCATCATGCTAAAGACTGTCCGGATGAGACTGAATTCACGACTTGGTCTAAGAACGTGAAACGCATCGAGATGAACGTCGATTCTTATGCGTGAGTTCCCAATTCCCTAGTGTTCAATCCGCCTGTCTTGATACTAATATCGGGTTCCGATCGTTTCTATCAGAGGTGTACCTGGGATTGCCGCAGCAAGTATCAAAGGGACATGGCAGGTTAAGAAAGGCACCACTGGCGCTGTCTTGCTCATGAATAACCCTCGCATGAAACACATCACGTCTGACGTTCTTGGGAAGCTCGCGAGCATCAAATTTCTTCAGACCATGCATCTCGTAACAAAGGTGTTTTATTGTCCTGCGTTCTCTTGTACCTCTCAGATACAAGTGAGAGCATTATCCAATCGCAAAGAAAATCATTGCTGATACAGGTGCAGGCGGCGAGAAGATCAGTATGGCTCTTGTAGCTTCCGCACCCGTTGTAGCGCCCGTAGGCACTCTTGAAACAAAGGCTTCGATGAGATGGTGGAGTGACACACAAACTGGATTGGCACGTCACGGATGCAAGACGGAGCATTGCTTTACCCCCTTGTATGAACTTTTACATGTCAGGCACCCTCGTAACAGGCGGTCGTCGCCATCCCCAGAACGCACAGGCGAACAGTTGTGAGTGCACCAGTGCTGCGGTCAGGCTGACGTTTTGGCTGACTGAGGGACATTCTAGGTGGGTTCCCGCTCCCGTCCCGTGGGCACCTCTCCTCGAGGACGGCTACAGAGGTGCCAATATACATCAACGTGAGTTATCGCTATCTAACTGGCCAAATGTGTAGTTAAGAACTCTTTGCACAGGAGAATACAGATTCCAGTGACTCTGAGGAAGAATGAGGTCGTCAAGAGTATACCAGAAACAACACGACTGTCACACGGACTGCACATTGTAGATAGTTTCAATGTAACAGAATATCATGCTTCTATAATCTCCATCAGGGTTCATGTGTCTCAACAAGTTATATAGACCACCCAGATCTGGACAGCTAACAAGAGCGATCAACGTTTCACTGTTCCAGTGGAATCTGCCTACGCACTGTCTATACAGCCCGATACAACGCTACCTGCAGCGCGCGTGCAATCCAATCGCCCTAGACCACCAATTATGCTGTAAAGGGGAGAAACAACCTGGCATCGACAGACCACAGAGAGCCTATTATAATCCAGAGAATTGCATTGCTAGATCTCCTCATCGGAGCTCGACACATCGCTCATGGTAGTGTGACAAGGTGATAAGAAAATATACCCCGATTCTTCCGATGAGATGGGAGGGTATCCTCAAGAAAGGTCGTCCCATGACTATGGATCGTGTTAAACTGAGGCCAGTATTGCCCAGGACTGTTGGGGGTAACACCGATGAGCCAAAACGATGCCGGATGTGACATTGGAACTGACTTACAGAATGTTCCCTGCGTTCATAATTAGCAAACAACGTGTATTTTTGTGATAGGACTTACTTCTAGATGAGTTCGGGTAATGAGAAGAGATCCATGAGTACTCGAGGCAAATGGAACAGCGTGAGGCAGGATAACGTTGTCTGGACTTCAACCTGTCCTATGATGTTGTAACGGAGGCAGTAATGAAGCTTCCCTATCATAGTTTGATCTGGCCACGATTGTTCGTGATACCAGCAAGCTATTTCACTTGGATGTGTGCTGTGAGCTGGCAGGTCTGCCAAGTAAATCAAGAAGGACGGTCAACATTATGCATAATTAGAGGCAATCAAACTGTTCGATATGTTGAACATCGATCATTGCATCGCTACGCAAGGCTAGCTGATAAGATTGCACTGAGATGGAAGATAGTCTGATGGACTGGTAGGCCGATAGAACGACACCCTGGAACTTGTGTGGTTGCGGAAGTTGAGAGCCGGGTGGCTGGAGTTCAACACCTCGTTGCAAAGGGGGTTCAGATGAGCCTGGTCCAGAGAAACAGTCGAATACATAGTACTGTTATATATACGCACCTGGAAGATTTTACACATGTGGCCAGATCGAATCATATACAAAGCTCAGCACCTAGCGATGATACTCTGACGAGTTAAGTTTTGAATGATATATGTACAGTTAAGGTGCGGCATTTCAAATTCAATTTGAGTGTCCAATGTAGCGCCCTTCTTACAAAGCCCTCATCTGTCCATATTTCCATAATATATAACTAATTCAATAGAATGACACCCATCTTCAATATCATGGCTGCGGAAGTTGCGAGCCGGTTAGCTGGAAACTCCACACCTCGTTGCAAGAAATCGGCGGGTTCGTGCTAGGAGGCCTGAGGAATCAGAATCCATCAACTTGGTTCGAGCCTGCACTTTGATCGATAAAATATAAACTTCCAACTCCAACCCTCCAAGCTCCAACAATCCCTGTGTCTGCGAGTGACTAGCGATCACTGACTGGCACGGCGGTCCATGGAGGGACAAGTTGAAGTATGCAGCTCGGAAGTCGAAGATCGCGGGATATACATGTCATTACCACATGACGCACAGTCATGTTACAACCTCATTTGGCGCATGAATAAGAACTTGGAACGAGAGCTCGAAAAAGTTGGTCGAAGAGGAAGGGAGGGTTACGACAAGGACCTTCAGAGATGGAAGGCTGAAGCACACGATCTCGGCAACTGCAAACCTCGGACTCGAAAGCTTGCCTTTATCGGTAGGACAGGAGCTGGCAAAAGTACAGCTATCAATGCCATATTGGGCGCGCCAGTGTTATCAACGCGAGCAGACGTGAGTGATGATTGTTACCTGCTACTACTATTATTACCGTTAAGTTTGAGCGCTCACTGATTGGAATTATCGGACTGCATCTCGCAGGGGTTAGCTTATTCATTGATACTTACCTTATTTATTCTGACGCTTTTGGCACGTTGTGCGGGTAGCGCGTGCACGTCTGTTCAGACTGAAATAATCTACGAAGATTTGCACCCTTCAACTTGGAGAGCAAGCGTTAACTTCATCGAAAAAGATGAGTGGAAAAAAGTGAGTTTTCGTGACTTTCTCTTATACCCAACATATGGGCCGATGTTCCATAGACTCTGCAAATTCTTCTAGATGATATCGCGTAGGTGTTCACCCAGAAAGCTTTTTTCCCACATCACATCTATCACACGCAGTCCTGTCTGTGAAGTTGGTGCTTTGAAGATCGAACATGATGATTTCAGGCCTGCGTTGGATGCATGGGGCATCCTAAAAGAGGAATGATCTTTCGATGCTACTATATGAGCTATGCTGATGTCATTGTCGATATAGGTCTATCCTCAGTAAGTCGTGACTTCAAGCTGAATTTTCATTCACGGTTGCTTGCTGCAGCCTTCGTGCACTATCATTCCCACCGCCTCATCAAGACGTACATGCACTCCTGCAACACGAACCCGTGGTATCCATACTTGGTACCACCATTCAGACGACAGGCACAGGCTTTGATAGCCTGGAATTGCAGGAAAGTCGGCAATGAATATTTCGTACTCCATTGATCTAAACCATGCACAGCTCCGGCCATATTTAACTTCGTATGTAACAGAGGAACAGCCGGTGCGTCACGCAAGTCTTAAAATCGTAGATGACCCTGTGATTGTTCAAGATCCTCCAGTTGGAGCCATCTGTCTGGCATCTGGTAGACAGGTATACATCTCAGCGACACTAATCGTGTAGTATCCTCACTTTGCAATTTAGTGTTCGTATTTATGGAGCATTTGAAGTGCTCGCATCCGGTGCTGTCACACTCGTGGACATCCCTGGTTTCGGGGATGCCAATAAAACAAGGTTTTGTAGCACTATGGATATTTATTTCCTTGCACTGACCGTGTTTTCACAGAACCAAGCGTACCAAAGAATACCTCAAAAATGTTGAAGTAGTAATACTAGGTTTGAAAAACGAGATGAACGGATTTGTCTTACCACTAATATTTGCATCAGTTGCAGACATCAAGCGCGCAGCTGATGACCAGGTAAAACGGATGAACATACTGATCTGATTTGACTTATCAATTCCGTTGCTAGGCCATGCACAACTACGTTGAGAAATTGTAAGTGCTCAACAACTTCCCGGAACTGTGTGCTCACGTTTCAGCTTGCATCAAATGATTGCAATAGATGGCCGCATAGAATCGCTGTTAATTGTGCTCACCGGAGCGGACGTATGTTGCCATTTTTCTCCAGTCCATGTACCTCACACATTCAGACTAGGTACGAATCAACGAGGACCAGCTGCATCACCTCAGTTCAAACCAACGCCAGATAATCCAGAAAATGCATCAGGTGCACAAGCTAGATTGAATTGATACCAGCTTCGCAGCACTTATGCATGCAGTAGGAGATCGTCCATCTCAGCAAAAGCCTGGATGAGCAAGAGAAACAATTCGACATGTTCTTTCTCGACTTCTATATGGCTCCGAAGGATAGTCCTGAGTTTGTGGGGCTGTCGGAGCGCCTATGCTCGACCAAAGAGATGGTTCGACGTTCATTTACTTCGAGCATGAATGTGTCTGACCTAATTTGCGATCCAGAAGGGCCAGACAGCTAGTAGACTGCATTTGGCAAAAGCTGCCAAAGACACATACATTGCAGTACGTATACCTATTTGATGCCTTGATATCTACTCACAGGCATTTTGTCAGCACCAACGATCTGCTCGGGCACGAAGTGTCTTTCTGGAGCTCTATCGTCAAGTATACTGTAGTATTAAGCAGGTGTGAAGATCAACTTCCTGAAATGTACCATAGTCAACTCTTCTTTTGTTAGGACTCTGCCAGTCAACCCCCTTTGTTACCTATTTTCTGCATTGGAAGTGTGGATTACACCCAACTTTTGGTGACAGATAGACAATACCGAGCTCCGGTGGTTTTTACTGACCTCGAAGATGTTTGTTTCCCCTCTGGCTAACCAAAATCTTTTTGCTGATGATTTTTTGAGTGTAGACTGGTATTCCGCATTTGTGTCGTTATATTCATGATTTTGGTTCCGAGAAAGCGATCTCAGATATCAATGCCCACGTGCACAGGTCAACATTGCTGTGGGAATCAATTGAGAGCTACTTTCTTTCTTCACGGCGAGATTCGAGGCTCGCAGCCTATGAGGATGCAGCAAGAAACCTGGTGGAAGCTCTCAAGGATGTAAGTCAGAAGTTATTGCTTTATAGTACAAATGTACTAATTCAAGCAAAAGACTGTCAACGAGATACGCAAAATTTCAGGAGCGAAGATCGACAACAACATGAACGAACTGGAACAAGCTCTTCGAATTGAAGCTGAAAAGGTGAGCACCACACTCCTCGTCTGTAAATGACTGGTTAATAAAATATCGACCGTCCACTAGGTAGCTGAGCGCAGTCTCAACACCATCAAGATGCTCGGAGAGAATCGTCAATGGTGCAGCTACCGTTCTCTCATGCGCCGAGAGGGTGAATGGCGATCAACAGATCTCAATGAGGACCTCGTTCACGGAATGTTAGAAGGCAATGCATCAAGGTTTGTCACTTCACGACAGTAAAGCTGCTCGCCTAAATTATCGAGAAAGTGTGTGGCACAGGTTATTCAACGATTTTATAAGAACAGAGCTCCATTCGCTCGTTGTGGTGAGCACCGTGGCGCATGATTTATAATCTACTCTGACTTGATTGAAGGATATTTCGAATCTTTGCAACGACACAGTTCAATCTATCAGTAAGTCACCTACTCCATGAATGAGACAACCTGAACATCAACCTCATTTCTGTGCAGAGAACAGAGCCCAACGAACGACAGCAATTGCACCACACATTGACAATGCATGTAACTTTATACATCCATCTAATACCATCAATCCTGCACGAGACCAATACTTGTCAGCCCTTTTGACAATGCAAAGGTAAGGTCTTCTGTCACCATGATCTGTTTACATTGACTGTATCATCGCAGGGAATTTTGCGGTTCGTTCAAGGGACTTCTCCGCGCTGCGTTGGAGGACCACTATCACGTTGTTGGAAGGGAATCTGGTGTAGGAATGTTTTCACGAATGAAGGTGGGTACAACCCTGACTCTTTGTAAAAATCACAACTATTGTCTCACATTAGGCCCAGGATCTGAATGAAGAACAATTTAGTCCAATAAAGGCCCGAGAATTATATACTAGGCTCGTCGATCAAGTCATGACAGCTGTCCGAATGGCAAGGAATAAGGGGGAAACAGCACTCGACGAAGCACTTGCCCGTTTGTACGCAATCATTGACCGTTCTCTTGTCTGTACGTCACGCTGCCTTCAACCTGAACAGGCATGAACTGATTTCGACGTTAGGCGTGCAGGGAGATGATCAAATATGCAAGGTCACACGGAGGAATATGCAGAAATTTCTCGACAAAGAATACAGTACCCCACTGGCAGAAACGATGATGATCATGGATAGGTATCAAGAGCGCAACACAGCACCAAGATAGGTGATAATATAGTAATCATAGATCAATGTATTGCACTGAGGTTGGAATCGTACGTCATGATACGGTTTAGATTCGATGCCAAGATCCAGCTTTGCAAATACCCAAGGTCTTAGCTACGAGTGAATACCTACTAGTACAAACATAGCAATGTATAGACAGCAAACATGAAAAGTGTGAAATGCTGGACAAGAAAGCAGTCAGGACTTAAAGGATGACATGTACAGCTAATAGCAGAAGTGTTACCCAGGGCCCCAGCATGCACAAAGGACTTTGCAAATGTAGGTGAGAGACAATGGTATGAGGTGAATGACAATAGCATGGGCAGGGTAGGAGGAGCAGCGGTCCTAATGGAAGGAGACCAACTAGTGAGGGAAAAGAGATTCTATCTGGGAAGTGATGAGGAGCACACGGTATATGAGGGCAAGCTAGTGGGAATGATACTTGCAGTCAAATTGCTGAGAGAGGAGATCAGAAGAAGGGGAGGGGAGATACCAACCATGGCCTTGGGAGTAGACAACCAGGCAGCGATAAAGGCAACCAGAGCATTCCAATCCAAACCCGGCCATTATCTGATGGACATCTTTCATGACAACCTACACCACCTCCTACCAAATGCAGACAACAAGAAGCTCATCATCAGATGGTCCACAGGCCACATCAGCATCCCAGGCAATGAGGAGGCAGACGAACAAGCAAAACACACAGCCTGAGGAGAGACATTGGAACAGGACAGACTCCCCCCATCCCTCTGCAATAAAGACGGCACCCCCCATGCACTCCCACACAGCAAATCAGCAATCAAACAGATGTTCAAAAAGAAGATCAAAAGCGAGGCAATCCGTGTAGCCCAAAAGTCACACAGACATGCAAAATTCAAAGACATTGATCCATCACACCCATCCAACCACTTTGCCAAAATGTCAGACAAGATTCCCAGACACCATACCTCACTATTGATCCAGCTCCACACCAGACACATCACCCTCAACAAACACCTGAATCGCATCTTGAAAGCACCCTCCCCAATCTGTCCATCATGCCAAGAACAAGAGGAAACAGTACACCACTTTCTACTAGCATGTCCAGCACACACAAGACACAGAAACACCATGCAAGCAGAGATAGGACCCAAAGCGAGACAACTGAAACACCTCCTAAGCAAAGAAAAAAGCCTCAAACCACTCTTCAAGTTTATCACATGCACCCACCAATTTGTCAGCACCTTCAGAGATGTACTCCTGGAAGACAACAAAGCAGAATGTAGAGAGAGAGATGGTTAGCCAGAAAAACCACCAAAAAAACCCCAGCCATGCCTTAAGACAGCACCCATCATCCCTGCACAAGCCCAGACCAGTACTATAGTCACCACCACAACCCATTGCACATACAACCATAGAACACAGTAGATTACCACATGTAATGTCCAGCATAGGGCCCTGCCCCACCAGACAATAAACAAGGATTAAAATAAATAAAAAATTGCATGGGCAGTGAGAAGGTTTGATGTCATGGTAGGTTCGTCGATAACTGGTGCATACGCTCCGTGAGCGCGAGACGACATATAAAGAGAATGCAACGAGGAATCCGACGGCGGTTGTGCGAACGAGAGCTAATCTCGACATCTCCTCACGTGATGTTTTTAACCGGTGCATCGCGTCGTGATTATAGTTGCAAAGTTCCTCCACCTGTCAGGGTTTATACGTATTAGCCCATGGGTCAGAACAGGATCCTTATCCATGTCTCCAGATATGGACCACCCACTGGGTTCAGTTTCGTGCCATGGCGGAGTATGGCCACACTGCACGAGGCGGAACCGTGGAAGCTGTCAACGAATAAACAATATATCAATAGAACAACTTGAACATTCCTACTAGAGCATGCATGCATGAATGGTTGCCGAAGCTGGAGCCAGTTGGCTGTAGATTGAACATCTCGATACAAAGAGGTTCAAAGATGGACTGCTTACCTGTATCGAAAATGACTGAAGCAATAATTATTGGTGGTCCGGGAGCAAGCTGAAACACCCGCCATGAACTTGGTTACTGACGTGACGGCCGCGTTCCCACCAATTTCATCTTATGAAGTCAGCGATATCAGTAAAAGGTCTTTGAATGATTGTATTGTCAGTGATAACGTTTCGCAGCACTAATCTTCAGCCTACCAGTGAGTTGTATTACCGTACGTGACATCATGCGTCAGTGCATTATAACCCATGTGAGCGAAGAGCCTAAGACTCGTCGAGCGCACGACTCGGCGTGGAAGCTTTTCGGTGATAGACCTATGTCATGGCAAACGAACATGAAAGAAGCAAATAATCAGCGTCGTCAGGCGAGAATATGAGGAGTGGAGTGACTGTGCAGTGGCCTGGGCTCATTCGCGAGTCTATCAATCTAGCAACCAATCATCAAAATCCAGAAACGAGCCACTGACTAGACTCCGACGGGTTGCTTTGAAAGTGAGAGCTCTCATCGTACTTTTCCTTCAAATAGACAAAACGCTTGGGACTGACTGGTTGTGGTGAGAGACTGCGCATATCCAAATTTGTCGCAAGAAGTCTAATCTCAGTATATTACTTCTACTGCCATGCTTACACGTATAGTATAATCTAATGCAGTCCAATCCCAAGATTGTCTGCAACAAATAAGGAACAGCGTCCTTAAATAGTCGGCACAATCTTCCGGATATGAGCTGGAACAAGCGCGGCAGGTAAAGGCGCGATCTTGTCAAGTGGGGCGCGTTTCGCAAGAGCCAACAACGTCAACCTCAGCTTCTTAGCTACAGGGTCCTCCTCTGCCTTATCCACATCCATCGCATCGTCCTCTACCTTTACCCTGTCATTTTGCTGCACCTTCCGGTCGAGCTCTTCTAGCGCTTGAACGGCACACTCCAATGCCTGTTCCAAAACTGCAGGACCCTCGGGAATTCCAAGTTCACCTAAGCCAGCTTTCTCCAACTCATCCGGAGATCGGATGAGCGCTGCCATGTCTAACTGCTCGTGTTGTAAAGCCTGTATCAGACGGAACACCGTTGGTCGGAATGTGAGGCTGGCTGCTATTTGTGCTTCCATCGTTGGTGACAGAGGCTCTTTCAAGATTGAGTGCAGGTACGCCGCTGTGGTACAGAGCAACTCGTGCCGGCCGCGAGTGACGACGTCAACCAGATGTTGCTCCACATATCGAGCCACGGACGTGCCAAGGGGGTGGGTATGCTCTGTGTGATGCTGTATGTCGTGTGAGCGGTCAAACAACTTCGGGAAAGTAATAATGGGGTGACTCACAGAAATCTCTTCTGGCGGGCGTACAAACTCGGCTATGCTTCTAACGTAGGCGAAGCCATTAACTCCACCGTATACCACATCCCGTATGTAGTCCCATGCCTCCTCGGCTTTCTCATCCGTCCAGTACTCACTGTCAACCCCCGCTTTCAAGCTTCTTTTGATGGGGCGGTTCTCAATGCTGGCTCGTATAGACGTAGCCAGTTTCTCTTCAGAACATGCCGACGCACCTAACTCTGCCCCAAACGCCGCAAAAGAACCAAAGTCAGATGGAAATGGATCGCGTAGAAATTCTATTGACTGAGGCTCGTCGTCCTCTTTCTCTTTCAGTTTTGCCCGTGTTGAGGCATTGCGGACGATTGTCCAATGCCTGCGCCGTGGTGTGGATTGCGAGGTCGAGGCCGCAAGAGTGGCCAGTGTTAGAGGGGGACGTGTGGAAGGCACATTAACCGGCCCTGGAAAGAGGGGTTGCGCCGTATTATTTACTTGAGGAGAAGGGTAAAGTGGATTAAGTTGGGGTTTAGATAGCGGTTCGGGCACTAAGACGTTGAGTAGAGAAAACGGATCTTCCACTAATCTATCGTTAGAAGTGTGCAGCACGCATGAGTAGAAAGTTTCGCACTCTCTGTGTAGTCGAGACTACCGTCATGAAGATGGGGCAGGCCCTCCTTCTCAATTCTCAGCCGTTCTTTCTTAGTTCTATAACGTTTGCCTTGACACGCAAATTATATCAGGGACTTTGACTCAAAATGCTGCTCAGAGACAATACCTTTTATTTTCAACGCAATCATCATTTCTGCCCAGTCAGAACCAGGGGGAAATGCTCCAACACCATCCTTGGAGCCAGGAAGTCTCCCTTCTGCATCAATGCCCTCAGAGATGCCCATTGATGTACCCTTTTTGTAAGGTCCTCGAGGCCCACGCTTCATATACTGTTGGGGAACGGAAGAAGGGGCGGGTGACGCGGCAACTTGGCTCCCCTCAATCTCTCTCGGAGTGGACGATGTGACATGATCCTCATCCTCATCAATATTCAAAGCAGCATCCTCGTCCTGCTCTACATCGATGTTCCAATCCGTCTCGTATTCAATAACATGCGCAGATGCCTTGGCGATATGGTCAAGTCCCCATACTTCAAGGCGATCAGCTTCCGTGTGATAGATCGTTCCTGGAGGATTGAACATTTTGGCATTGGTGACGACTAGGCGAAAGTCTGTCTGAAGAAAAGAAAAAATGTAGAGTTCAGCTCGTGTCGCGTGAGGTCCCCTCTGCAAGCGTTTCATGCACCCGTGCAGTCTAGCCACCGTGTTTTTCGAAATTGTTCGTGCAAAAACATAGTTGTCTGGGTCGCAAGATCGCATGGAAGGCGTGGAGATAATCCACTGTAGCAGGGTTGAAAGACAAAAGGAGTGTTACTCACTGTAAACTCTTCCAATGAGCGATACTTTCCCCTGGCAACTTTCGTAGACATAGTCCCAAGATCCATAGGATGTTTAATCATTTCCGCGTATCCTTGAACTCGTGATGGATCCACAGGGGAAATAAAAAAAGCATAATCATCTTTCCTGTCATGCCACACATCCATCAGTATACGCATAAAAACCAATCACCCCTGTCACAAACGGCAACTCACTTCTTCAACTGCACAATTAGCTTCATCAATACCTCCTTCAATGGTTTGAGCTTCATAGGCCTTGGCGCTTTCTTCGCCTCTGTATCCTGCGTGGAACTAAGGTTTTTCAGTTTTGACTTCTTACCCATCTTCGCAGCTTTGATAGCTTTGAGCGAGGGCAAGACAAGCGTAATTCCAGATGGGACATGACCGTTCTGCCTAGTTTCGACAGCTGATTGCGACGTGGAGGCACCATCTTCATCTGCAGCAAAAGAGTCGAAATCGTCCATGCTCGAACAGTTGGTGAACTGATTATGTAATGCTGGCCGAGATAAGCAGGGACGATGATCTGAATCTTAGCGCGGCTGGCATAGCCTGCCAAGCATCGTCCATATGGCTCGCCATCGATACATCGATGCATTCCTGGTTTCATACACAAGTCAATTCATTCGTGTTTCAGGGTGGGTTTCTATTTATGCCGTATCGATTTTTACCGAACCTCCCGTGCCCATCGCCAGGTAACGACTTCTTGGCATCTTCAAGTTGCAGTGACAAATTCTACTTATTCCCGCACTATTGATCATTTCAAAGTGGTCGTTTATGACTGTGGAATTTAAACGAACCTCCTGCAGCGGATGTTTGCGATATATATATATATATGCGCCAACCTGTAGGCGAGGTGACCGAGTACTAAATAATCACACTTCATTGTGCGGTCACCGCGGGACCTCAGTGAGGGATCTTCGTCCATGTCGATTTGGCTTTTCTCACTCCCGGGCCGGCTCCACACAACAGCAGTGACACGAGGCTGCAAACGTCATGTGTTGCTCTGCTATAGGTGCGCAGTGAATTTCAAAACCATAACGCTTGAGGTCAATTAATATTTTATGACGGTTCATTTTGGAATCGGAGCGGAAACCTATACGGTTGGCTGCGGAGTACCCCGAACGAAGCCTCAGGTCAGGTCATTATTACTTTCAAACGGAATATTATTAACGCGTGTTTTAAGCCACCGAAATCGGTTTCAAATTCCAATGTTGTGGTCGGGACGCCCTTCAGGGTTGATATGTCTTCCACAGGCGTCGTGGCGCAGCGACATTACGGGGAGATTGCCGCTGATTAGCTATCATCATCGTCCCTGTATAAGCCTCATACTTGACTATTTTTTGGGTGGAAGGCTGTATCTGGGCTGTTCTCATCGTCTTCGGACTCTGCATCATGACGCACATTGCAACACTTCACACCGGAGCGGTGAATTCGCGGCTATCGACGTTCAGTAACTATGTGCGCGTGCGTAAAGAAATGAGGTTGCCTTCGTTAGGCACGCGCGTGATTGTTTACAGACTGGACATTTGAACATTAATAGAGTTGCTTGTCACAGACGACAACCGTCGGACAAGAACTCTAGCCTGTGCACGCATCGGGTTCGTTGCGTACCGTCGTTCCCCTTCTGCGGCGTCGAATCGATTTCACGTGAGTCTTTGGCCCGCGCTAGGCAAAATGGCTTTTGCGATGACTCACATGTCAAGGCTCATATGAAGTTTCGCTGTACGTGTGCGACTGCGCATAGTATGTCACGACGAGATGGTCGGCAAAAGCATACTACATATCTGGCAGGAGTGTGACATATTGCAACATATGAGAAAATGGGATCCGCCTGTCGCTATATAACCCGACGGGTGCCTTTCAAGCCACAATGATAATGCTAACCTGGATGCTAGACTCTATGTATTTACTAGTGTCGTGGCATCGAGTAACGACCAAGATTAAAGTTGGGGTATCGGAGGATTACGGGATATGATGATTGCTCATGATTTTTGACTCGTTCCCATGGACTAAACGTCATCTCGGGGAAATGAATGCTTCTCGATATCATTTTCACAGCCACGGAGCTTAAATGAGAGTTCGTGCAGGAATTAATGGACCTTTAATATGAGCCAAAATAGGATTGTTCCTGAAGAAAAAGCATGTAACTTTTTTTGCTGCAAGAGATTTCTCGGTTGCCATTGACGGCGAGGGAGAGAGATTTTTTGTTGCCGTTGATGCCGGTGCAGGATTAGTCCGGGAATGACACGTAATAGTTTATTTGGAAATCGGGGGCGGATACAGTAATAAACTATTACTTTTACAATTGTCAAGTTCGCAAGTGACCGTCAAATTTTGACCCGACTCGTTCGTTATCCCTCCTCTCATTTCATTTGAGTCCATGTGTCTTTAATCTTGATCATTTCACGACTAACTAGCAGCTTTTTTCGTTCTTTTATTTTCGTTTATTCAATGTCTAATCCTCTCACTCCGACAACGGTTAATATTCCATCAAACTGTCATACGCCCCCTCCGATTCCTTCACGACGCATTCAACACGAGAGAATCCATCCTCTATCCACTCCTCCTCATCATCACGATACGCTACACACAACCAAACGTCCACGAAGGAGCAATTCAGGAAATATGACTGTCGAGAATCTTTCTTCTGCCTCTGACTCTTCATCACAAAGTGGTATGGCAGACAATGAAACAGAGGCAGAACAACAGTCAGAAATATCTGCTCTTACTGCTCCAGCTCCTAAGAAGAAACGCACACGCACTCTCACGACTCCACACCAATCTGCTGTCTTACACGCACTCCTCTCACAGGTATATTTCTTCACTCACAACCATCCTTATCAGAGCGTCTAATTGTTTTACTTTAGTCTCGCTTCCCGACAACAGCGATGCGTGAGGAGGTAGGGCGCCAAATTGGTCTCAGTGCTCGTAAAGTCCAAGTATGTAACATGATCATGTGAATATCATATCTTCAAGTTACTCACAAATCCTGATGACAGATCTGGTTCCAAGTCAGTTTTTTCTAGGTTTTTTTCGAGCCCTTCCGTTTAGACTCATAAATTCGTAATAGAATCAGCGTCAGAAAGCCAGGCGTCCGCAGAGTGATTCTGCACCATTATCCCGTCCAGCTCAATTTGGGCCCTTCCCAAGCGCGCCACAATCAGCTTCTTCCTCCCATACAGCTCCTGATGTTCCTATGTCGGAATCGTTTCCTGACATTTCAGAAGCTTCTGCTTCGCGGAACCCCGTGCCTGGATCAGGCCCGTCACTTGACCCTGGACTTTCAGGTCCTGGTATACCCGGACGGCGCACGTCACCATACCCCGCCTCGTCAGAGTATCCCCGCATCGCACAGAGTCCCGACTCCACCTCATCAATGCCCAACCACAGTTCTCGCGGCCTCGAGGAGTTCCCCAACCTCACGCTCTGTGAACCTGTTCCCCGCATGCTTGCGTCACGCTCATTTTTAATGCACGAGGGCGCACAGTCCCCTCCCTCCTCGCGAGTGCTCCCACCCATCCACTTTAGTGCTTTGGAATCACGCATCAGTACTGACCCTTACGTGTCACCAACGTCCTTCCCACTGCCTTCCTCTCAACCCTCATCCTCTGCCAGCATCATGCATCACCACGAGCCCACACGCCATACAGAACACCGCATCTCCACAGTGCTAGGTATCCCGCCCCCATTCGCACTGCAACCGCAGCCGCAGTGGGATCCGAATAGCTTCGCGCCATTCACCCGCCCCGAGTTCGCTTCATTTTCGAGTCCATCAAGGTCCACACAATTTGCGCCAGGGGGCTTCTTCCCCCCTAGATCTCGTGACCGCTTTGCTCCCCACGTTTCCCCAGAATTTCCCCGTACAAGGGAATATCATTCATCCTCAGGCGAGCGTCAGCTCAGCTCATCCTTGGTTCCGCGTCCTCCCAACACTTTCCGCGATATAATCGATCCCCAAGTGTACCCTGCACGCGAGTCCTCATCTGCAGACCACAGCCGCATGCGCTCAGACGCTGACGAACCCCACCACAACTGTTAATAGTCTCTTTCCTCACCCGTGCATGATGCTGACGCTGACGCTTTTGCGCATTTCGATTCACGATTGAAATATTTACGCATTCCATGAAGAAAAAAATGATGAGTTTCCTAGCAAGCCCGATATACCATGCTCGTTCTTTACCACAAACACACCGTACAAAAGTACAATTTTTAATTGTTCGCTTGTTTCTCCGCACTCTCGTTCGTTCCCGTTATTGTCGTCTATTCGATCGTTGCCGCGCCCTTTTTATCCATATCATCTCTCGTGTCTTAATCGTCCATTTCTACGGAACTCCGTCATACTAATTTCAGTACAGCCTTTATAACCACTGTTCTTTTACCACCTGTTTGTCATTCTGTTCGAGCGCTTCCCCATCTTCACGGAACTATCTCTATCACCACTATCTTTGGCGTCCTGTCAACAATGCATCTAATTCTAGCATACAGAACTCTATTTCTACCAACACTACCGATTTGATACCTTGCAGATACCAACTACCGTTACCCCTCAGTCTTGGCCATTAATGTTGATTTATTACCCGGTGCGACTCTGAAAAGGTACTATCGATCCAGGCGCGCGCGGAGCCATTTACTTCCAGAAAAGCCAAACGCGGCGGTGAACGGGAAGAATTCCGTTACGCACGACACCGTGTTCTGCGATACGCGATCCATCCACCAAGATATTTGGCGAAAAAAAGATTTGCAATCACGTCGGGTCCAACATCAATTGAACCATCCACTGACTGGGTGACCGGGTGAGGATGTACCCCACGGTCTTGCGACTAATGCCCCCGCCGCCCTCTTCTTCTCCCTCCTCCCGATCCAGCCAGAATAAATGAATTACAATTCGATCAGAGTGGTATTGGAACTACTTTTGATCGCCGCGAGACGGACGCGCAATAAGGCCCGGGTTCGCAGCCTCGTTTCTAGCGCAGAAGCTTCCTCACCACCGGAAGAACTTGTCGACGGGGGCTCTACAGTTAGCGACGCAAAGTGCGAGGTCGGGGTCGTGACATCTCTCTGAGCTAACCGTTGCTCCTCTTCAAGTCTCTGCAACAGCACTGCCCGCATGTCCGTGGAAGTGCGTGCTGATCGTTCGGTATCTCTGTTCCTGTATTCATATGTCGCAACTTCCCGATTGCCACGCCGGAAATGCTCCGCCACATCCAAAAGGATATCGACATGATTAGGATTAGAGTAGTGCGGCGTTGAAATAGGGTTTGAGTTTGGGGGTGGGGCGGGATGCGGGCCAGTGGTTCTAGGGTTGATGACGGGGGACGGCGATGTATTGGTGTGCTGTTCTTCTTTACTTTTGTTTCTGTATTTATCTGTGCCTCCACCCGGCGTACCGCACGGACAAGCGATAGTTTTCCCTCCAACTAACGTGTTCTCTTCATCGGTGCCTTTAGCGACAGAATCGGCAAGCAAACCCCGGATTCTTTCGTGTTGATGTCCTACCGCCGACGTACATGCTTTCCTGAGAGGCATCAATGCATCTGAGTGCCGCCCGAGAGAAAGCGAAGATAACGGAGCAGGCGTCGCATTGGTGGGAAGGCCCGACAATTGTGAAAGAAGGATAGGCGTACCATCACCACTACCATTATCATCACGGGCATCTCGTTGTCGTGGTAAATGAGATAAGTATTCAGAAACAACAACATTTTTCCGTGCTGTGGTACCTGCGTGATGATTGTTTCTCGATGATGTGGGTTGGGAGAGATGAGCCTGGACTGATTCTAGTAAAGTACGGTTTCGAGGGGGGCGACCGAGCGTGCTTGGGCGTTTACGCGACGTAGGAGCTACGGGCTCTGGATCGACGTCCATCCTGTCAGCACCTACTGGGACATGAACCGGCGCGGGGGCGACAGGGGAGGGCCTAAGACTGGACTCTACAGAAGGTGTACCGAACTTCCGATTTCCGGGGTTATATGACTCCGTTGTCTCTTTGGATTCGACAACAGCGTTCGGCACAAATTCACCTGAAATGCGTGGTGGCGTGCTACTCGAAGGATGTTCACTCTCACCCCGAAGGGATGTGTCATGGCCTTCTGGTTCTTTTCCTTTCGCCTTTGTAGGATTATTCGTCAGCTGGTCCTGAGTGTCGTCAAGGTGACTCTGTTGGTCATCCGAGGTATCAGGTACATCTCGACACTTGCTGAATGCGCTGCGAGTTCGTCGGCGGTTCCTGCGATCTTGGGAGAGATGGTCTGGAGAGCTTTCTTGAAGGTAGGTTGCGGGAGGAGTTCTTCTGTGCTCAGGACGCAGGATTGAGGAAGGAGGTTGAGATAACGGAGATCGAGATCGGGACCGGTGATGACGGCGATGAGGCGACCGGGATCGAGAACGGGACTCGTAACGCCACCGATCCTCTCTTTTTGGTTCATGGAGCGGACGATCTGGGGAGCTATCATACTGCCTAAATTCAGTGCGGATCCCCGAGCTCGTTCGGAGAAAGTGTCACACCTGCACCAGATTATCATAAATCGATAGATCACGGCCACTCCGTATATAACAGTATATTTCTAGGAGCAAGTCAATGAGAGAAACATAATAGCGTTGCATATGGGTGAAAAATACTACTGACCATGTGCAAAATGTTCGGCGTTTGGGTGCCTCTGGCCCTCGATGTAAGGAGTATCGAGGTCTAAGAACTCGGAGAGAAGTTTGACAGCAGATTCAGCTCGTATGTCTATCGCCTTCATGAGAGAGATGATAAACGTCGTGAGGAACTAGAACATATATGTATCAGCGATGTAAGGCGCAGAGGCATGCATAAATCTGCCAAGCGGCTACGACGCACGTACCTCAACATCAAGATTTTGCCAGACGCGCAGTTCACGACGGAGAAAGATGGTGGCTCGACTTATCATGTTCGGAGATGCTGTAAACTGGGCTGGACTGGGGTAAGGACGGTACCGGGTGAATGAGTTGGACGCGACATGCTAATCCATGACGAGATGAGACGTGTCTGTAGATGCGAAAAGAAGCACATACCTTGGCATAAAGATGATTCTGGTACACCCAACGTCTTCTGGCGATTGCTCGTTCAAGTTCATCAGCGTCATGACGAACCCTGCGGCCCCAGTAGCGATCCCTACGCGCCCGTCGGGCCACTCGTACATGAGATTCCCCTGTTGGCAATAACCGTGGTGACGAGGAGCGTGGTGGGGGTAAATAATGCTTTTGATAGTCGAACTGCGAGCGTATATGATGTATAACATATTCACCGATTAATTGGGAGCACAATGGACACTTTCGTGATTGCTCTAAAAAACATGGTTACCAACTACTGAAGTAGAAACGGAACAGGCTCACCTGCCCAAATCGAAATGCATTCAAAGCAAAACTCATGGGAGCAAGTTGGGATAACAGTTCGGTCTACCAGGGATTGCAGACAAATGACGCAGTGATCATGACTCAGGTCTTCATCATTCAAAGTCGAAGGGTCGTCTGCCAATCGTGGAGAGGTCGGGGACGACTCGAGTTTGATGCGCTTAGGGCTAGGCTGGGTAGGGCTGGCACTCATTCCAGTAGTACAGGTAATAGAGGCATTCGACAGACTTGCACAAGTTCAACCTTTAAGTATTCGTCGATTACTCATTGGTACCGGTATTAAGTCAATCATTTAGTATATAACCAAACTCATTGAAGTTGAGAAGTATTTCCTCGTGAATAGTTTCGTAGTACAGTACACTATCTCATAATGCATACTAACGCTGGGGCCCCTTCATTAGTACATATGTCACGCTCGTGACAAGTTGTGACACTGTATGTGAGCATCACTTGCAATGGAGTATCTAGTGATCTACAGGCGAGCGCAGACGCGAGAAGTGAGCTAGAAGAAAATGTATTATCTCAATCTCGATGAAAGGACTCATTGTACAGGAGAAGAGAATCTATTCTAATGGTATTGTTAGCTTGATGAAGGTAATAGAAACTAAGAGGCTCACATGCCAGTCTCGATAAAAGGACTGAGATGTTCCTACGACGGGAGACGTTCTTTTATGTAAGATACGGGTAGAATGGGAATTGACGAACATATTTTTGTGAAACATATGAGAGACGTTTTGGCCGAGTACTCGACTCATTGCGCTCGCATTACTCCGAGTTCTCTCTGTGTGCGTCGACTGCTTCCGAATCCAACAGAGTATATATCTAATGTGTCAAGTATAGAAGCTCCTCGTGTTGCAGTTCAGCATGGAAAAAGATAGATTCAACTCAAGTGGAAGTGTTGAATCAGCATCTCCGTCGCAGCAGCACAGTGCGGGAGCCGAGAGATATTCAGTCTCCGACTCGAGGCTCAGTAACATTGATATTAATTATAATCATGTAATGCTCCCATGTTCAACATCTAGCACTGAACGCCCTGGAGCCTCCTGATTTTCGATGGTCAGTCCCTCTTCCTACTATCAAATCTGTAGAGTCTAAGGCGAGCTGCTAGGCAACTGAATCATCTCCGCAAGTGCCCGATCATGTCGTAACTCCCACACAGTCCAATACCAACAGTTTGCCAGCTGAGACCGTCAACTTTGCCCACCGAATGTTTGACGCTGCGCGGGAGGGAAACACAGAGCTCCTCTTTCAAGCAGTTGATGCGGGCTTGCCAGTCAACCTCACGAATGATAAAGGTGCGTCTGAGTATCGACATCCCAGCCCCCTGAATGACGCACGACACGTTCATTTAGGAAACACGTTATTGATGCTCGCAGCATACGCGGGCCACGCGGAATTGACTAAAGGACTTCTGCAACGGAAAGCAGATCCAAACAGGCTCAACGATCTTGGTCAATCTATTATTGCTGGCGCTGTGTTTAAGTCGCACGATGCGGTTGTGCGTATTCTGGCCAAAGCTGGCGCAGATCCGAGAATAGGCAAACCTACCGCAATAGAGGCGGCTCATATATTTGGTCGGAAGGAGTTGATGGAAGTACTGGGTGCACAGCAGGGTGATATCGGCACAGATGTGCCCACCCCTCCTAGTGCACGTCCCGAGAAGTGATCGCAGTTAAGCAAGTTTGAAGGTTCCGATAGCTACCCATTCAAGTCGATCGTGGCAGGTCCATAGATATTATGTATGACAATAAAATAACTCTCGCAAAGCAGACGGAAGCATCCATTGCTAAATCGCGCCCATCTCCTTCCCAAGAACCTGTAACGCCTTCCTCGCAAGTGTTCTTGCATCTACCTCCATTGCATCGCCACCCTCTTCCAGAGCACCGATATGAGGCTGCAGAGAATTGTCTCTCCTCTTCTGGTTGGTCTTGGGTGGCGAGGAACTCGTGATCACCCATGCCGATGGTGTCTTCCGTGGGATAGAAGCGATTTCACACAACACCAAATAGAAATAGAAGAGATGAGCAACTGGTGACCGTTTCACCACATCCGCAATGAGTGCAGACGGTGAAAGAGTAACGTCAACAGCTGGGCAGACGTTCAGTGTAAATTAGATCACAGAGCAAGAAAACAGGTACTGGGTTGAGAATCGCTAAACTTCGATGGCGATTCTGACAGTGCGGCCCACAGAGTTCCTGACCAAAGCTGTAGATCCAGGACCTTGCGAAGTACATACAACAGTTCATCTTCACGGGCCCTGTCAAAATTCAGCAACAGAAAATAATGCGACGCGATCACAATTTACCTCGGAAAAGGCATATAACCCCGAAGAGTCTCGTCAGCAATATAGCTCACCATCGTAGTCTTGCATCGATCAAGCAAGGTCGGCAGACACAGTGCAGCAATTCGTTTCCTTGAAGACTCTTGATCTAGGAGAATAGTTAGCTCTGAAAATACGCGCAGAGAGATTGGGCTACCGCTTGTAACAGTAGAACATATCAAGAACAAGAGATCAAAACACCAAAACGAAAATCGCTCCCTCGGAACCAGGACCCCAGGTGCAGTTGTTCCGATGTTGAGGTCCACCTTCTCGAAGTCGTGTGATTCCCGAGAACCGTTTGACACATTCGTAGTATCTGTCGAGGGCGAATCAGGGCATGAGAGATCCATACTTGACTTATACAGCTGGCTGCCCTTGTGCAAGATCTTGGCCAACTGTGCGATGAGGTGATCAGGGACTCTTGTGTCTCCCAGGTGTGGTACGAGATCAATCTCCAATGAGCTGATGAGAGAGAGATCGAAGTTTTCCTCCGCTTCCTGATCTTCGAGTGAGAAACCCTCTGTCGCAGTGCTGCAAACAAGTTAGTTGTTGGGTACGAGAAAACGACAGAACGAAAGGAGAATAAGATGCATACCAGTCAGCCAAAATGCCACCTCGGAAGACTTCAATGATTTGTCGCCATATGCCCTCAACTCGAGTATCAGATATACCTGTATTTTATGATCAGATGAAATCAACCAGATCACTGACTACGTACGATCGCCGAATGCTGCCATCCTTCTGACCGAGTCAGTGACTATACGGAGAAAACTTGTTGTGGCGGTCTTCCACAGAGGAGGATCTTTGCCGAACTTTGATGGAGCAGGGCACTCGTACTTTAGCTTTATCGGTATTGAATAGGCCTGAACACGAAACCACATGAGCGTCCGAAAACCAAGGATATCATCAACGATACACACCGAGAAGACAGCTTCCAAAGTCCCATCTTCATAGATCTCAAGCTCATCCTTAAAGCGCATGTACAACTCAACGATAAGCGGCATGACCTTCTTGGACAATGCAATGTACGTGACTTGTTTTTGAGATGATACCGCAATAGGCGTTCCCGGGGAAGCGGGAGACAAGATGGGCACATGAAAAGCAGCCAGAAACGGAAGTGTGCTGAATTCCGAGAGATCTCGTAAGACGAGAGATGGGACACCAGATCCCGTTAACTTAATATCCGCGATGGCATCCAAGACCACTACCTATCATATCAATAAGACGGTGGTGTTCAATGAATGCTGAACATTCACTCACTTGAACGGGTGACAAACCGTCAATATCTGGGCGGTAGTCCGTCGAGTTAGGATAAGTAAGAACACCTGTGCATGGTTCAGGAAGAGGGACGGCGACAGAAATAGAGAGACGCACCCTTGAGGATTTCCATCAGACGATTGAGGCGCTGAAGCGGCCATTCCTTTGACAGAGTTAGACTAATAGAACGTGTGCTCCGTATGACATCGACAAGAGCAACCAAACTCTCCTGAGTAAATGCGCGGTGGTGCTGTGTCGTATTCGTACTCGGAGAGAGCTGAGAACTCCCACCCTGGAGAACCATGCTCCCCATATCACTGCATGCCTTCCATACACACTCCCAAGCCTCCGACACTTTGACTTGCAGAGAGGCGTCTGCGCCAGAAAGCGCTTTCACCACTTTCCCCAAACAAAGCAGTGCAGGCGGACTCAAGTTTCGGCGGTCCAAGGATACGGTATCGTGAACATGGTTAACAAACACAGACCATGCTTTCGAGAAGGAGTCCAGATGCATGATCTTGATGACCAGGAACTCGCTGATAATAGATCCGATCGACTGCAATGCGAGACTCTTCGATTCGTCCCATGCATGCTCGGGAGATTGCGCCGCCAGACCAGAATTCAGCAGAGCTCCGGGCTCAAAGGCACTGCGCCGGGTTTCGATAGATATTGCGTCGAGTAGAGGGAATGTGATCTTCCATATGCAGTCATTCCACGTATCCAGCGTAAGCGTGGCGCCGTAAAGTTGCATTGCACGGAAAAGGGTCTGGATGGCACCTACACGAACTTCGTGCCTAGCGTCAGTACAAAGACCCAGAACTTCTAGCAGCAGACACATCCACAGCGCGCTATATTCAGGTTCCATTTCTGCATCCTTCCGCTTCGCCTGGATCGAATCCGACACACCCCAGAGAAGGCTTTCTGCGGCAGTAAGCGCAATGTTCGTGTCGGCTTGTCGACCGAATTGTCCGAGAGTTTTGATGCAAAGCCGCAAGTCTTCGGGGGATAACACAGACACGGAGTCACAGACAAGTTTGAGGGACTGAAAAGCGATCTTCACCAGTGCTGTGTAGCTGCGGTCGCTAACGTACCCCAGGGGAGGTGGTTTTTGACGGGGCGTTTCTTGAAGCGATAAGGTGCTGATAGAATCGACCGACTGAGATCTGGAGAGAGCCGCGGGTTTACAGATGCTCCCTAGCATCTCAAAAATGCTACCCCACCCGACGACAAAAGTGTGTCCTGACGCCTGTAGAATTTGGTGCAAGGTCTCCAATCCCATTCGCCGGAGCTCGATATTTGTGCTCGTCGCTGGGACGTCGGATGATACGGGTACTATCTGTTTAAATAGAACGTCGAGAACACGACGCTGAACTTTGGCCTGCAGGTCTCCAGTGGATGACAAGTTACGTGGGACCACGGTAAGAATTTCATCGAGGACGCGTGCTGCCTGCACTCGTATTGGCTGCGGCGCCGAGGATAGACCCATGATCCACAGTAGATGATTTGTAGTAGTGTTCCATGCAACCTCAGGCGCACGATAGATGAGGCGATGGAAGTTTAGCATCGCTACTGAACCCAGCCGCTCTACACCGAAATCACCCTGACGCTGAGAAGATGTTAGATCTCAGTGTGACGCATGAGGATTGACCCTAACTCACCAGCGTACGCGGCAGGTGAATCCCACTGACGCGCCTTCTGTGAGGAGAAATCGGTACAGGACTCAGGGAATCATCCGATTCCATCAGCGTGCTACTATCAGATTGCATCCCGACCATCTCTGAGCTAAGTTTACAGAGCGCAGTGACAAAATCCTGGAAAGCTGAATCCTCCAGGTTTTTGGACGCATCAAAAAGGCGCTGCACGGCAGAAAGCACGCTCTCTGAGTCAATATCCACGAGGAGGGGGTGACGAGCTACTTTCCCCTGTTCAGCAGAGCTCATCGCTGACACGGATCGACTGGGTGTCATGGGTGTGTTCATCCGCCGGTTGGTAGATGCTTGCGCCGCTTTGACATTCAAGACGTAGTCTGCGTTCTGTAGAGCTTCCAGAATTCCATACCAACTCTCTCCTAGGCTCCCGGCGAGGAAAAGGGCACTTGATACCAATACTTTGAGACATGCTAGATTTCGCTCAGAAAGTCCTGGAGCCTGAATAGGTGCTGTTAACCCCAGGTTATCTGTAAAGGAGGTTGACGTTCGGGGCGTTGGAGGTTCAACGTATGACTCCAAGCTGGACACTACTCGCGAAGGTATCGCAAATTTAGAAAGTGAGTTGAACAATGCATCGCGAGGAGTGCTGAGGGCGAGCATTCCCGCAACATTCGTCAAAGCTTGATAACTGCTAAGAACGTCTATGAAGAGCTCGTCTGACAGATTTGTCGAGATAATGAAGGAAAGGGCTGCGAGAAGCGCAGGCCAGCCATTCTCAACCATAGAACGCACGATGACGAGGTGCTGAGTTGCAGGATCATCCTGCGAGAGTGTGGAGAGGTTTAGAGCGGCAGGTGCACGAATGACAGGCTCGCCAGCGGCTCGAGGACGTTGAACCATGATGGACGTGTACAGGGGGCCAGTGAACGACGCGAAACCTTCGCACAAGGATACAATACACTGCACAGCGAGAAGGTAAATGTATGCTTCGGGGATTGGTGGCGAGTCCGCTTTGTCTAATTGATCGATACTGGTCAGGAAAGATGGCTCAGGGTAATCTGCGAGATGTGAAATGGTGACTGTACCATTGGAGCTTCATGGCCGAGTTCTGCACGCTCAGACCAATACCAGACCCAATTATTCCGACAACTCCCGATACAGTAGCACTTGCAGCCGTAGCGACCATTCCAGCAACCCCACCGACATCCAGACTGTAATTGGATCCCGATGGTGTAGCACTATCACCTGCATGAGAAATCCCGACCCCCATCATCTGCGCGCTCACTCCAAGTAGAGCAGGTTTCTCGGTAACAAGGCGTTTCAACGCAACTATAAGAGAGCTGAAGACCTTGGAGCCCGGCTGCTGCGCATCATAGCGATCCCATATGTTTCGCACAAGTTCGGCATCGCTGCATACCCTGAAAAGAAACATTAGTGCAGGCTTTAGGGTGTCAAACTTGAGACATACCCTCTCATTATCTCCATCGCAAGGACCCTTGTCCATATTGGACGTGAACCAGGGTGGTCCGGATTCGAGGCGTCGGAATCTTCTGAGATCATTCTTATGAGAAGCATTAGGAATACCTCAGCTTCCGTCTCTAGCTCGAATGAGAACTGCTTCAGGATCAGGAACACAACTCGTGTGCATCTGAGTGTCAGCGGAAAGACATGTCGGTCGGAGAGAGATTTCAGAATGAGTGGACAAAGGTGGTGTTGCAGCAACATCAAAAGCTCCGTGTGCTTCGATGAGCATCAGTATGAACGTAGCTGAATGGGACCGATAAACTTGCCTTCCTGAACAGCTCGTGGTAGTTCGTGAGTACACTTTCAATTAACTCCAAGGCAAAGGTCTTATGTAGGTAGTCGAGCTTCAAGAAATTGGGTTTCTCAGAATTTGCGAGGAGACAGAGATCTTCGAAGACAGAGAATGCATCTTTGGCACAAGGCCCCAACGCTTTGGTGCTGCCGTCCGGCAGCGTCGCCTCAGACAACTCCGGAGTACCGTTGCTCTCTTGACGATCCCCGTTGACCATTTTTTCAAAGATAAACATGACCAGTTGTCGGAGGGTAGCTGCAGCTGTTGAAGAGACTACTGCGATCCTGGAATCCTGCAGCTTAAAACAGAGAAGCAATGCCTTTGACAGGTGATCAGATATGTACCAGAAAGTATAGACAGAGTATACCTCTCCCAGAAGCTCTCCGTGTATGGAAGGAAAATTGGTGATCAGGGAGACCAAGGTTTGTAGTATCCGAAGTTGAATGTCCACGCCTTGGCTCATGGCATCGTTCATCGTGCTTACGATGAGTGCGACAGCAGACTGTGGTACAGCCTTGAGGGCTATCAACCGCTGCAGCGACCCCAATGAGATGGCGACGACTTTCGCGTTCTTGGTCGCGCATCCCATGAACACTGGACGAAGAAGATCATCTGACTGTGCGCTGTCTGTGGGTGAACGATGAAGAAAGTGGAGCGCACGTTAGTGGAATCACGTACCAGATGCCAAAGATGCTGTCGCTTGCTCTGGAGAGGACCTAAGTATCGCAAGCGACTTCTCTGCTGCCTTTGCGTGGACATAAGACACCAGTACGTGGGATGAGTGCTTTCCATCGTACCTCGCGTATTTCTGGATGCTTTCTTCTGGACTCGCTGGCAAGGGACTTTAGACGAAGGTATGAGTGGACGCTGGCGGGTTATTATTGTCAACACAAACACACCTGCAATTCAGTCACTAGAAAGGCTAGTGAACTCATCCCGTCCTTGAGTTATTATGATATCCTGAACGACTTGGAGATTTGGAAGAGCCCCAACAAATTCCAGCAGGTGTCTGTCAATTATGGGGGAACACGACCCAGTGCGCAGAAGATCAAGGATTGAAAGAAATGGTCAACCGAAGAGTCGAATGATGAATTGTGTTTGGCGAAGTGTATGGGCGCTTGTAAGTTGTTCCTGCGCAGTGAGCGCTGAGCTTGAGGTTTATACATAGAGGGCATCATCACATATGATACATCGCGGCTGCAGTTGTTACACAGTATCATGACTTCAATAGCCTGTACGTTCAAGTCTTTTCCAAATCAAACATTGACCGTCATGATATCACGTCACAAATGGGGACTCCGAGCTCGATTGTGGCTGCCAGTTATGATTCGGAGCGGTGCGGGCCTACCACTTTCCATCATGCCTCACATATTTTTGGATACCTTTTCTTGAGCTCGCTGGCAAGGGCATGCAGTAAACTAAGGTTTGAGTGGATCATCATCGTGAAACACGCCTGCAAGGTGCAAGACCCTATTTCCGGAGCTATAGTAGTATGTAACTGGAGGCCAGTACTTGAACACATCGTGTCCTCGTGTTATCCTGAATGAGGTTTTGACGGGATGCACAGCTGCGGTGTGGTTCCTCATATTAAAGTTGCACGTGGACTTTACAGGCTGCCGTCGCAATGCCCCAACTCCATGTCACAGTTCTCGAGCAGAACCTCAAACCTCACCGTGGCCTTGCGGCTCGCCGTTAAATTCCTGGGATTGCTGAGCACTCACCGCGTCATTTCCCTCTCACTAACAGGTCATCGGTGTGCCTGTTCTGCAGTTGTAGCTCCTTAAGTATGTGTTCGCTCTGTTCTCACTCCATTTTGCACTCAATCGGAGATCTTTCACAGCGAGATAGGGCAGTGGTTATCTTACCTCACTAACCTAGCAAACCGTATGATGTATCAAGCTGGGTTGAAGCTTTGTCCTCCATCTCATCGATCCTGGCGTCTCAACAATCTTGCACTCAGCCTTCGAAACAGATTCCTGCAAGGGGGCATCGTGTCAGACCTTGATGGGGCCATTGTGCACCATCGGGCTGCGCTGGAGCTTCTCCCTCCGTGTCATTCTAATCGTTCCATGTTTTTCAACAATCTTGCACTCAGCCTTCGAGACAGATTCCTGCAGCGTGGAATTATGTCTGACCTTGATGAGGCCATTGAGCTCCATCGGGCTGCATTACTCCGCCGTCCCCCCGGTCATTCAGATCGGTCCTCGTCTCTGAACAATCTTGCTGCCAGCCTTCACGACAGATTCCTGCAGCGTGGAATCATGTCTGACCTTGATGAGGCCATCGAGCTCCATCGAGCTGCATTACTCCTCCGTTCACCCGGTCATTTAGATCGATCCTCATCTCTGAATAATCTTGCCGCCAGCCTTCAAGACAGATTCCTGCAACGTGGAACCATGTCTGACCTTGATGAGGCCATCGAGCTCCATCGAGCTGCATTACTCCTCCGTTCCCCCGGTCATTCAGATCGATCCTTGTCTCTGAACAATCTTGCACTCAGCCTTCGAGACAGATTCCTGCAGTGTGGAAACATGTCTGACATTGATGAGGCCGTTGAGCTCCATCGGGCCGCGCTGGAGCTCCTCCCCCTGTGTCATTCTAATCGATCCATGTTTCTCAACAATCTTGCTGCTAGCCTTCAAAACAGATTCCAGCGGCGGGGCATCATGTCTGACATCGATGAGGCCATTGAGCTCCATTGGGCTGTGCTGGAGCTCCTCCCCCTGTGCCATTCTAATCGATCCATGTTTCTCAACAATCTTGCTGCAAGCCTTCATGATAGATTCCTGCAGCGTGGAATCATGTCTGAGCTTGATGAGGCCATTAAGATCCACCGGGCTGCGCTGGAGCTCCTCCCTTCGTGTCATTCTAATCGATCCATGTTTCTCAACAATCTTGCTGCCAGCCTTCGCGATAGATTCCAGCAGCAGGGAATCATGTCTGATCTTGACGAGGTCATTGAGCTCCATCGGGCTGCGTTACTCCTCCGTCCCTCCGGTCATTCAGATCGACCCTCGTCTCTGAACAATCTTGCTACCAGTCTTCAAGACAGGTTCCAGCAGTATGGCATCATGTCTGACCTTGATGAGGCCATCGAGCTCCATCGGACTGCGCTGGAGCTCCTCCCCTCGTGTCATTCTAATCGATCCCTGTTTCTCAACAGTCTTGCTGCCAGCCTTCACGACAGATTCCAGCAGCAGGGAATCATGTCTGATCTCGATGAAGTCATCAACCTCCATCGGGCTGCATTACTTCTCCGTCCCCCCGGTCATTCTGAACGATCAATGTCTCTCAGCAATCTTGCTGTCGGCCTTCGAGACAGATTCCGGCAGCGTGGAATCATGTCTGACCTTGATGAGGCCATCGAGCTCCATCGGGCTGCGCTGGAACTCCTCCCCCTATGTCATTCTAACCGATCCGTGTTTCTCGACAATCTTGCGCTCAGCCTTCGAGACAGATTCCGGCGGCGGGGCGTCCAGCCTGACCTTGATGAAGTATTTAGCTTGTGTTCTCAACTCCCCCACCTATCACATGCAGCATCTCGCACAGATCTTAGTGTTGCCAAGTCATGGGCAGCCTCCGCCCACAGCCTCAATCACGACTCTACATTGCTTGCCTATAAGACTGCACTGAAATTCCTAGATCAGCAAGTTGCGCTCTTATCAACTTCTTCGCGTCATCTCGACGTCATCAAGGAGGCTGTTTCCTCCCTTGCCACAGATGCTTTTTCATGCAGTGTTCGTCATAATGCCCTGACGACTGCTGTGGAGCTAGTGGAACAAGGTCGTGCAGTATTCTGGACCCAGTTAGCACACCTCAGCACACCACTCAATGAACTTTCTGCTTCAGGTGACACTGGCACGGCCTTGACGGAAGAGTTCAAACAGTTGAGCTTTCGCCTTCGTAACACGTTCGATCAGTCTACTGAAGACCCGTCTCCGCAAACCCGGCAATTGACCATGCAATGGGATGACGTCGTCACGCGCATTCGCATGCTTCGTGGCTTTTCGCGTTTTCTTCTGCCTCCCCTGTTCTCCGACCTCCAAAAAGCGGCAGAAGAGGGTCCGGTCATTATTCTTAATGCAAGCCAGTATAGCTGTGACGCCTTGATTATCTATAGCACGGGAGATCCTATCCATGCTCCGCTTGTCATTACACAAGCCGCAGTATCCGAGTTATCTTCCGAGTTCCAGTTACTTGCAGAGCAGTTTGGTTCTGCTGATTATCGAGACGAACTCATCAGCATCTTCCGCAAACTTTGGGCTGTTGTTGTTGGCCCTGTGGTCCAAGTTCTTAGGGAGACTAAAGTTAACCCTGGCTCGCGCATCTGGTGGTGTCCCACTGCTGAGTTCACGCTGCTTCCCCTCCATGCAGCAGGACCCTACAAAAAGAAGAGAGAGAATTTGTCTGATATTTACATCTCCTCTTACACCCCCACTTTGGCGACGCTCATTCGTGCCAGACAGCGGGCTTCTCGTGATGTGTCCCCGCAACATTTTGTTGCCATTGGTCAAGGAAACCCGGACAGAGGGAGGGAGCTCAAATGTGTCACTCCAGAGCTAGCCGTCGTAGCTGAGTGTCTCAAACCCGTTGTGTCGTCCTTCACATCGCTCGAGGACAGCGACGCAACAGTGCAGGGTGCACTCGATGCACTAAATCATAATCAATGGCTTCATCTCGCCTGCCATGGAATGCCAAATCAGACACAACCGTTCGAATCTTCCTTCGCCATGTGCGACGGGCCATTGATGATCAAGGACATCATCCGACCGGACTGGCAGAATCTGGAGTTTGCGTTCTTATCAACTTGCCACACTGCTGTGGGCGATGGGAGCAGTCCTCATGAGTCGATCCATCTTGCTGCGGCCATGCAATTCTCCGGATTTCGCAGTGTGATAGGTTCCATGTGGTCTGTTGATGACGATGTTGCGTGCCAGGTTGCGTCTGCTTTTTATGGTCACCTGGTTGATAGTTCGGGGAGATTGGACTGCACACGGGCTGCGGTAGCGTTGCACACGACCATGAAATCGTTGCGCAAGAAGATTCCATTAGAACAGCAAATTGTATTTGTTCATATAGGTGTCTAGTTAGACTCGATTCGCCACATTTCTAGTTGTTTTCATTCCCTCGCTCTTCTGTTGGTTAGTTGTTTAATGACATTTCCGCATGATCCTTTGTTGTTCTGTTCTGTAGTAGTACTGCACACCGTTCCGTTGGATGAATCTGATTTACTCCTACATCATCACAGTTCTACGGCTGTAGCGGATGATTCAGTGTAGAAGTGTTGCCCGTGAACTACCCTTGCTGTCCCCATGGCGTATGTATCTGCTCATGTCCTGTACTGATTATGACTCAGACACCATCACGCTGTACGATACCGATTCCTCTGATGAAAGATCTGACTTTTAAAGAAGACCCGACAAGAAAACGAGCGAAATCGACTATAATCATATACATAGCTTGAGCGTGTAGAGCACTGAACAAAGTCGTAAGTGAAAGAATATTACTTCAAGAACCGTTGAGGGCGCTCACAGGCTTAGCCACCGTGACACGGGTCGTACTCCAACGTTTTAGATGATGACGATATCACCGATGTGTTACGAACGACAAAAGCTACAGCTGGACGTTCCTGCCGCATCGTGAAGAAAATGACGAGATCACTAACTGTTAATTCGTCGCTCTCTCCGTGCCTTTGGACCGTCTTGCTATCGCCGAGTCGATGATTCAGATACGCATTTCGTAACTGGCACTACCAAGTTATAGATATTAAGACAACGTTAGCCAAACGACTCGAGGTAGGTCAAATATAGCACACCAAGCCAAAGTCGTACCAAATGAAGATGAAGTGACGAATGAAACCTCGAGAAGTTCTTAAGGATGGCGATAATGTCTGAGTCATGGTAATCTTCAAAATAGCAGCCTTCCCTCCATTGTTATTACTCGTTGTTCAATGCACCTATGACCCTATGAGAATCTTCAAGTTGAACCTGTTTTTCCCATCGCTCGCTTAGCAAGAGCTAAATGTTGGCAGGCTCAAGTATAGCCCATGGCGGCCGGGTGACCACTACTCCGGTACGCACGCTTGGTCCTCTATGTATGTGTGCATTCACATTCAACCTTGTCTAGGATTTTTGTACTGATAATGAGTGTAACATGATAGTCACAACAATATACGAGTCGTCGTCTTCAATGCCCAGTTCCGCTCTTCGGCTTCATGCTCAGCGTCCTTGACAACCTCCTGTAACTTCTTTGGTAAAATAGCATGGCAAACAATTATCGAGTGGCCCCACAGAGTTGTCCCCCCTGCGATTATTCTTATTCCACCTCTCTCTATTATCTTGCTACCATCCTTTATTGCATATTCGACCAGCCGCAGGGCGTCCCATCTGACCTTGATGGAGCTATTGCGCTTTATCGCGCTGCGCTGGACTTCCTACCCCCCGGTCATTCTCATCGATTCACGCCTCTCATCTTCCTCGCTATTGGCCTTACTCGCAGATTCGAGGAGCGGAGTGACCCGTCTGATCTTGATGAGGCCATTGAGCTCCATCGGACTGCACTACTACTCTGCCCACCCGATCATCCTGATCAATCTACATCTCTGAACAATATTGCAAACAGCCTTCGAGACAGGTTCCGGCAGCACGGCGTCCCATCTGACCTCGATGAGGCCATCGAGTTCAGTCGGGAAGCACTATTACTCTGCCCACCCAAGCATCCTGATCGACCCATGTCTCTGAACAATCTTGCCCTTAGCCTTCGAGAAAGATTCCAGCAGCGGGGTGTCTCATCTGACCTTGATGAGGCCATTGAGTCCGATCGAGCTGCACTACACCTTCGTCCACCTGGTCATCCTGATCGATTCGATTCTCTCACCAATCTTGCACTCAACCTCGTTGACAGATTCCAGCAGTGGGGCATCCTATCTGACCTTGATGAGGCCATTGAGCTCAATCGGACTGGATTGTCACTCTGCCCACCCGGTCATCCTGATCGATCCATGTCTCTCCACAATCTTGCCCTTAGCCTTGGATCCAGATTCAAGCAGCGGGGCATTCCATCTGACCTTGATGAGGCCATTGAGCTCTATTTGGATGCACTACTACTCCGCCCCCACGGTCATTCTCAGCGATCCTCGTCTCTCCACAATCTTGCCCTCAGCCTTCGAGACAGATTCGAACAACGGGGCATCCCGTCTGACCTTGATAGGGCTATTGGGCTCAATCGGGCTGCATTACACCTCCGCCCCCATGGCCATTCTGATCGACCCATGTCTCTCAACAGCCTTGCCATCGACCTTAAAGAGAGATTCCGGCAGCGTGGCATCATGTCTGACCTTGATGAGGCCATCGAGCTCCATCGGGCTGCGCTGGAGTTCCTCCCCCTGTATCATTCTAATCGATCCATGTTTCTCAACAATCTTGCCCTCAGTCTGGTATACAGATTCCCGCAGCAGAACGTCCAGCCTGACCTTGATGAAGTGTTTAGCCTGTATTTGCAACTCTCCCACCTATCACATGCGGCATCTCGCACAGATCTTAGCATTGCCAAATTATGGGCGGCCTTCGCTGACATCCTCAATCACGACTCTGCATTGCTTGCCTATAAGACTGCACTCAAATTCCTAGACCAGCGAGTTGCTCTCCTGTCATCTTCTTCCCATCATTTCGACGTCATTAGGGAGGCTGTTTCTTCCCTTGCCACAGATGCTTTTTCATGCAGTGTGCGTCATGATGCCCTGACGACTGCTGTGGAGCTAGTGGAACAAGGTCGTGCAGTATTCTGGACCCAGTTAGCACGCTTCAGAACACCACTCGATGAACTTTCTGTTTCAGGTGACACCGGCACGACCTTGGCAGAAGAGTTCAAACGATTGAGCTTTCGCCTTCGTAACACGTTCGATCGGTCCACCGAAGACAAATCTCCGCAAATTCGGCAATTGGCCATGCAATGGGACGACGTCATCTCGCGCATCCGCATACTTCCTGACTTTTCTCGGTTTCTGCTACCTCCCCTTTTCTCCGACCTACAGAAGGTGGCTGAAGAAGGTCCGGTCATCATTGTCAATGCTAGTCAGTACAGTTGCGACGCCCTGATTATCTTGAGTGGGCAAGGTCCTGTCCATGTTCCGCTTGACACTGCACAAGTCAAAGTGTCCGAGTTGTCCTCCGAGTTCCAGTCACTCGCGGGGCAGTTTGGTTCTTCTGATCATGAACACAAGCTTGTCGGCATCCTTCGCAAGCTTTGGAATGATATCGTTGACCCCGTAGTCGAAGCTCTCAGGGAGTTGAACGTTCGCCCTGGCTCGCGCATCTGGTGGTGTCCCACTGCCGAGTTCACACTGCTTCCTCTACATGCAGCAGGACCGTACGAGAAGCACAAAGACAATCTGTCTCACATTTACATCTCCTCTTATACTCCCACTTTGACAACACTCGTTCGAGCGAGACAGCGGGTTTCTCGAGACGCGTCCCCGCAACATTTTGTTGCCATTGGTCAAGGAAACCCGGACAGAGGGAGGGAGCTCAAATGTGTCACTCCAGAGCTAGCCGTCGTAGCTCAACGTCTCCAGCCTGTCGTGTCGTCCTTCACATCGCTTGAGGACAGCGATGCAACAGTGCGGGGTGCACTTGATGCACTGAACCATAATCAGTGGCTTCATCTCGCCTGCCATGGAGTGCCAAATCGGACACAACCCTTCGAATCTTCCTTCGCCATGCGTGACGGACCATTGATGATCAAGGACATCATCCGATCAGACTGGCAGAATTCGGAGTTTGCATTCTTATCAGCTTGCCACACTACCGTGGGTGATGAGAACAGTCCTGATGAGTCGATCCACCTTGCTGCGGCTATGCAATTCTCAGGATTTCGCAGCGTCATAGGTTCCATGTGGTCTGTTGATGACGATGTTGCGCGCCAGGTTGTGTCAGCTTTTTATGGCCACCTGGTTGATAGCTCAGGGAGATTGGACTGCACACGGGCTGCGGTAGCGTTGCACAAGGCCATGAAATCGCTGCGCAAGAAGATTCCATTAGAACAGCAAATTGTATTTGTTCACATAGGTGTCTAGTTTCATCCGTATTTTCATTCAGTACTGTCTGTTGCTTTCATCTCCTCGCTATCCCATTCCATTGCTTGTGTAACTGCATTGTTTTTGGCTCGTCACTAGCTTTGTTATTGGATATCGCATACTACTGTTGACTCAATGAGATTCACTCATACACTGATCGCATCTGCAGCATGTTCAGTGTGTGGTAAGCCCGGGATTGGTATGTGGCGAACAGCTTCATGAAAGGATCGAAAGTGGAAAAGTAGAAGATGACGAACCCTGCAGTCTCCTGGTCTGGTGAATGATCAGGATTGGTGGCAACCAGGAGTAAGCTACACTTTCCGCGGTGGAGAAAACAAAAGCAGATGAAAAAAAAAGCAAGAGAGACACTTCGACGACGACTGTTGGGGGAATGGCAGTCGCGGCACGAAGAGAAGTTTTCATTCTGCTACATCTGACTGCATCTGACTTTTAGTACGATCATCCACTCGGTATCAAAAGTTTCTGATAAGTATGCTGTTCCTCGCTAGAATAGCAGCAACGCTCTCTTCGAACTACTCTAACGAACGCAGTTCGGTGCCCATCTCAGCAGAACAAGAGAACCTCTCTAGGTGGCGTCGCAGATTCACATCTAAGAGGTGTTGACCCATCAGTTTGTGACACCGGAAAACAAACGAACCAAATTCTCAGCGCGGCCACTTGAATAGACGACGGCTGTGTGTATGAATGGTATCACAGGTGCATGTTCTATACACGGTACCAATGAAGTTTCCTCAGAGGTTCCGACATTCCTGGCTTGTACGAACGGACTGTATGCGTGGAATTGTCAACTTTTGGGACATTCAAGATCGCGTCAACAACTCTGTAAAACGGTGCGACCGCAACAAGATAAGTTTCCTTGCTCTGTAGTGAAGAGTTCGAGGAAGCGTGGCTAGATCGCGCGCCCAGTGAGACCATGGGTGATATCACAATTGGATGTATGACACACAATCATTCCAGCTCGATGCTGTCCGCTGCGAGGATTGGGATCTTTATCGATGGTACAAACCGAGGTACCGTTCTGGAGGAGTGTCAATGCTGCTACCAGACCGACTGGCCCAGTGCCTACCTGAAGAGGAACTCCGCTGAGGCGCAAACTTCCATTATCCGCAGGTTACTTACGACTAGTCTAGGTGGACGAGTGGAATTCATATGTACTATGTAAATGCTGATGAGTTTACAATTTTCGGATGAGAATAACATACAGTCACGTCTTGACACATAGGGGCACAGCCAATCAAAGCGGAAAGGTTGGGGGCAGGTAGCATGTACCGAACAACTGTGTGTCCTGTAACATTGGCATCCTGACAAAAACAACTCAAGGTTGCTGACGTCACACAACCTATCAGCTAATCTTTCAAAGAGCCCACCAGATACTTCATACCGGACGGCTGCGGACGTGCCTCCATGCTTTTGATGCCAACAAGATATGAGATTTGGCAAGATTGAATGTGTCGGGGGAAGAGACCAAGTTAATCTTCAAGTAGGAGATGGAAGAGGGAATAATATTTATTGAAGGAAACGATAGTAAATATCACAATCGCGGTGAATGAGAATTGTAAGGAGGACAAATAAATCTTCGTGTGGGAAGGGCTGGTGTTGCTTGATCGAGACATGTTTACGAAGCTCGATAGAAGTACCTGAAGGCGCGTGCACCGAGACAAAAGTCGACACGGATCGGGAGCCCTTCGGAGTGCTAACTGATTTAGTATCGGGAGCAGATGTTAGGTCTGAAGGAGAAGCAATACTAAACCAAAAGCACTGGAATATGAGAATGGGAGGCGGGCGGGCACACAGACCAGTGCCATTGTCGGTCTGAAGCAACAAGAATGCGAATCTTCAGTGATGCGCTCGGAACATACAACCGTGTTGAGCTTGACGACGTATTACTAAGGCTCTGTGGATGTTGGGAACGAACGAACCGGTACAGCCTGAGTAAGTCACGTAGCGGTGCTTGCAAGTTTTAATTCAACGCTGCCCCGGTTTTCTCCGATCGTCCATGGAGAACTGACCATCTTCATCTAACTTTAAGCTTTAAGCACTGCCTAGGGGAGACTCAGGCTAATGCTCGTAGGTTTCATTGCAACTCACTTGCCCAATCGTTGACTTCAAGCATAGTATATACACGACTCGGTTTCGAGTTGGTGGTCTACGAATTCAATCTGATTTCACTACGTTGGAAGACCCTTCACAGTGAAATCAGGTAGTCCGTCATCCTGTGCCAGTCTTTGGCTGGGATCCATGGGGTTGCTATCAACCTTCAAAACAGATTCTAGCAGCAGGCTCTGACCTTGATAATGCCATTTCACCCTCCCTGGTAATGCTCTCAACAATCTTGCTATCGGCCTAGGAAACAGATTCCTGCAGCGGGGTATCGTTTCTGATCTCGACGAGGCTATCGAAGACTTCACTGCTCCATTACCCCGATGATTCTAATAGATCCGGGCCTCTCAGTAGTCTTGCTGTGACCTATCAGCCTCAAACACAGATTCCAGCAACCTCACCGACATCCAGACCGTAATTGAATCCTGGTGATTTAACACTATCACCCGCATGAGAAATTCCGACCCATATCATCTGCGCGCTCACTCCAAGTAGAGCAGGTTTCTCAGCAACAAGGCGTTTGAACGCAACTATAACAGAACTGAAGACCTTGGAGCCCGGCTGTTGCGCATCATAGCGATCCCATGTGTTTTGCACAAGCTCTGCATCGCTGCATACCCTGAAAAGAAACATTAGCGCAGACCTTGAGGCGTCAAGTTTAAGACATACCCTCTCATTATCTCTATCGCAAGGACCCTTGTCCATATTGGACATGACTTGCGCATCTAAAACGGCCGGCGGGAACGGCGGACTAGTGGAGGTCACCCCTTCACTAGGGCATTTGCGAAGTCGGAGACGCGGTGGGGGACACGGGTGTCCCCCTTTCCCTAGTTAGTAATGTCCTACATAGGGTACCACACCCCAAATGGACAGAAATTGGATTTAAAAATAAAATAAATAATTGGACGTGAGCTAGAATGGTCCGGATTCGACGCATCGGAATCTTCTGAGATCATTCTTACGAGAAGCATTAGGAATATTTCAACTTCCGTCTCTAGTTCAAACGAAAACTGCTTCAGGATCACATCTGAGTGTCAGCGGAAAGACATGTCGGTCAGAGAGAGATTTCAGAATGAACGAGCAAAGGTGGTGTTGCAGCAACATTAAAAGCTCCGTGTACTGCGACAAACATCAGTATGAACTAGCTGAATGGGACCGACAAACTTGCCTTCCTGAATAGTTCGTGGTAGTTCGTGAGTACGCTCTCAATTAACTCCAAGGCGAAGGTCTTGTGTAGGTAGTCGAGCTCCAAGAAATTGGATTTCTCTGGAGACAGATCTTCGAAGACAAAGAATGCATCGTTCGGAAGCGTCACCTCAGACAGTTCCGGAGTGCCGTTGCTCTCTTGACGATCCTCGTTGACCAATTTTTTCAAAGATAATCATGACCAGTTGGCGCAAGGTGGCTGCAGCTGTTGAAGAGACTACTGCGATCCTGGAATCCTGCAGCTTAAAACAGAAAAGCAATGCCTTTTGCAGGTGATATATACCAGAAAGTAAAGACAGAGCGTACCCCTCCCAGGAGCTTTCCGTGTATGGAAGGAAAATTGGTGATAAGGGAGACTAAGGTTTGCAGTATCCGAAGTTGAATGTCCACGCCTTGGCTTATGGCATCGTTCATCGTGCTTACGACGAGTGCGACAGCAGACTGCGGTACAGCCTTGAGGGCTATCAACCGCTGCAGCGACCCCAATAAGATGGCGACGACTTCGCGTTCTTAGTTGCGCATCCCATGAACACTGGACGAAGAAGATCATCTGACTGTGCGCTGTCGGTAGGTGAACGATGAAGAAAGTGGAGCGTGTTTGAATGGAATCACGTACCAGAGGTCAAAGATGCTGTCGCTTGCTCTGGAGAAGACCTAAGTATTGCAAGCGATTTTTCCCCTGCCTTTACATGGACATAAGATATGCCAGCAGGTGGGACGAATGCTTTCCGTCGTACCCCGCGTATTTCCCGATGCTTTCTCCTGGACTCACTAGCAAGAAACTTTAGGCGAAGGTATAAGTGGACGGGTGAGTAATCATCGCATAAACACAAACATACGCACAATTCACTAGGAGGGCTAGTGAACTCATCCCGTCCTTGCGTTATTCTCAACGGGATTTAGACGAATCCCAAAAAATTCCAACAGGTTTCTGTCAATCATGGAGGAACACGGCCCAGTGCGCAGAAGATTAAGGATTGAAAGGAGGAACCGAATGATTTGTGTTTGGCAAAGTGTGGTCTTCGGTGTTCTAGTGCGTTTCAGCTCTCTAAGTGTGTATTCACTCTGACCTCACCCCATTTTGCACTCAATTAGAGACCCTTCACACTGAGATGGTGGAGCTGTCATCTTTCCTTGCCAATCCAGCAAACGATGTGGAGAGCTATCGGGTTGCGCTAGAGCTCTCCTCCTCGTCTGATTCTAATCGATCCAAGATTCTCAACAATCTTGCCATGTGCCTTCAAAACAGATTCAAGCAGCGTGGCATCATATCTGACCTTGATGAGGCCATCGAGCTCCATCGGGCTGCGCTAGAGCTCTCCCCCCCGTCTCATTCTAATCGATCCATGTTTCTCAACAACCTTGCCATGTGCCTTCAAAACAGATTCGAGCAGCGTGGCATCATGTCTGACCTTGATGAGGCCATCGAGCTCCATCGGGCTGCGCTAGAGCTCTCCTCCCCGTCTCATTCTAATCGATCCTCGTTTCTCAACAATCTTGCTGTATGCCTTCAACACAGATTCGAGCAGCGTGGCATCATATCTGACCTTGATGAGGCTATCGAGCTCCATCGGGCTGCGCTAGAGCTCTCCCCGTCTGATTCTAATCGATCCAGGTTTCTCAACAATCTTGCTATGTGCCTTCAAAACAGATTCAAGCAGCGTGGCATCATGTCTGACCTTGATGAGGCCATCGAGCTCCATCGGGCTGCGCTAGAGCTCTCCCCGTCTGATTCTAATCGATCCAGGTTTCTCAACAATCTTGCTATGTGCCTTCAACACAGATTCGAGCAGCGTGGCATCATGTCTGACCTTGATGAGGCCATTGAGCTCTATCGGGCTGCGCTAGAGCTCTCCTCCCCGTCTCATTCTAATCGATCCATATTTCTCAACAATCTTGCTACCTGCCTTCAAAACGGATTCGAGCAGCGTGGCATCATGTCTGACCTTGACGAGGCCATTGAGCTCCATCGGGCTGCGCTAGAGCTCTCTCCCCCGTCTCATTCTAATCGATCCTTGTTTCTCAACAGTCTTGCTGGCAGCCTTCGAGGCAGATTTGAGCAGCGTGGCATCATGTCTGACCTTGATGAGGCCATCGAGCTCTATCGGGCTGCGCTAGAGCTCTCCTCCCCGTCTCATTCTAATCGATTCATATTTCTCAGCAGTCTTGCTACGTGCTTTCAAAACAGATTCAAGCGGCGTGGCATCATGTCTGACCTTGATGAGGCCATTGAGCTCCATCGGGCTGCGCTAGAGCTCTCCCCCCCGTCTCATTCTAAACGATCCTTGTTTCTCAACAATTTTGCTACCTGCCTTCAAAACAGATTCAAGCAGCGTGGCATCATGTCTGACCTTGATGAGGCCATTGAGCTCCATCGGGCTGCGCTAGAGCTCTCCCCCCCGGTCTCATTCTAATCGATCCATATTTCTCAACAATCTTGCTACCTGCCTTCAAAACAGATTTGAGCAGCGGGGCGTCCACCCTGACCTTGATGAAGCATTTAGCTTATATTTGGGACTCTCCCACCTCTTACATGCAGCATCTCGCACAGATCTTCGAGCTGCCAAGTCATGGGCGGTCTCCGCCCACATTCACAACCACAGTTCTGCATTGCTCGCCTATAAGACTGCACTCAAATTCCTAGATCGGCGAGTTGCTCTCTTGTCGTCTTCTTCCCATCATTTCAACGTCATCAGGGAGGCTGTTTCTTCCCTTGCCACAGATGCTTTTTTATGCAGCGTTCGTCATGGTGCCCTGACGACTGCGGTGGAGCTGGTGGAGCAAGGTCGTGCAGTATTCTGGACCCAGTTGGCACGTTTCAGCACACCACTCGATGAACTTTCTGTTTCGGGTGATAACGGTCCGACCTTGGCAGCAGAATTCAAACGGTTGAGCTTTCGCTTTCGTAACGCATTCGATCAGTCTACTGAAGACAAGTCTCCGCAAATACGGCAACTTACCATGGAATGGGATGACGTCGTCTCACGCATTCGCATGCTTCATGGCTTTTCGCGTTTTCTTCTACCTCCCCTGTTCCCCGACCTACGGAAAGCGGCAGAAGATGGTCCAGTCATTATTCTGAATGCAAGCCAATATGGCTGTGATGCCTTGATTATCCATAGTACGGAAGATCCTGTCCATGTTTCGCTTGACACTACACAAGCCGAATTGTCCGAGTTCTCCTCCGAGTTCCAGTCACTCACAGAGCAGTTTGGTTCTTGTGATCGTCAACACAAACTCGTCAGCATCCTCCGCAAGCTTTGGAATGATATCGTTGACCCCGTGATCCAAGCTCTTAGGGAGTCGAACATTCGCCCTGGCTCGCGCATCTGGTGGTGTCCCACTGCCGAGTTCACACTGCTTCCTCTACATGCAGCAGGACCGTACGAGAAGCACAAAGACAATCTGTCTCACATTTACATCTCCTCTTATACTCCCACTTTGGCGACCCTCATTCGTGCAAGACGGCAGGTTTCTCCGGATGTGTCCCCGCAACATTTTGTCGCCATTGGTCAAGCAAACCCGGACAAAGGGAGGGAGCTCAAATGTATCTCTCCAGAGCTAGCTGCCGTGGCTAAACGTCTCCAGCCTGTCGTGTTGTCCTTCACATCGCTTGAGGACAGCGACGCAACAGTGCAGGGTGCACTCGATGCACTAAACCATAATCAGTGGCTTCATCTCGCCTGCCATGGAGTGCCAAATCGGACACAACCCTTTGAGTCTTCCTTTGCCATGCGTGATGGGCCTTTAATGATCAGGGACATCATCCGATCCAACTGGCAGAACCCGGAGTTTGCATTCTTATCGGCCTGCCACACTACCGTGGGCGATGAGAAGAGTCCCGACGAGTCGATCCATCTTGCTGCGGCTATGCAATTCAGCGGATTTCGCAGTGTCATTGGTTCCATGTGGTCTGTTGACGACAAGGTTGCACGCCGGGTCGTGTCTGCTTTTTACCGCAACCTCATTCAAGTCAATGGTTCGGGGAGATTAGACTGCACGCACGCTGCAGTAGCGCTGCACAAGGCTTTGAGGTCGTTGGGCAACAAGATTCCGTTAGAACAGCAGATTGTATTTGTCCACATAGGCGTGTAGTTAGAGACTCGGTTTGCCATATTAAGTTATTCCATTCGCTGCATGTATCGTTGATCTCACTCCCTCGCTCTTCCGTTGATTAGTTATTTGATGATGACATTTCCGCATGATACTTTGTTGTTCTGTACTGCAGTACTGGTGCTACACACACCGTTCTCGCTGAATGAATCTGATTTACTCCTGCATCGCCACAGTTTTAATTGAATCGCGGCCGTAGCATTGTTACCCGTGAACTACCCTTGCTGCCCATGGCATACGTATATGTTCACCGCTTCGATACTGATTGTGGCTCATAGATACCATCACGCTGCATGGAGCCGAGCTCATGCAAGTAGGCTTGCAGTATATCCTCAGGCTCCCAATTCAAGGTCTTTTGCCTGCTATTTTAATACGGTGACCCAGCATCATTAAGGTGAAATTTATACTTCCATAACTTCCCTTCTCCCCTTGCGCACGAAGACCACGAAAGGCTTCATTTTTATTCCTTCTGCAGGGCGAAACTCAGTTGCAGCACACCATCCACTCACTTGGCGCAGCTCGAATATGGTTACCACCAATGGAAACGCAATGTGATGGGACATTGTCAATTCTGTTAACGACTGCCCAACGCACATCGTATTCGACATCCTCGGCTTTGATCCTCATTTTGAACCTGGGCCACTCAACCTCTTATCGTCGGACAAGGTGCTAGGCATGTCGTCCACCCCTCACCGTAGTTATGAGCAAGAGGTCAGTGTTTGCAGTCAAGACTGACTTGAAGGGTGATGAACAAATAAGCTCATGATGCATCCCTTGAGATGACATGCCATCCTGCCCTGCTGATCAGATGCTCGCTTACGACTGCTGCAGCAAAGGTCGAGTCACTCCACAGAAAGACAGCAGGTAAGGTCACGTACTGAATGCTGCAGACAACTGTGGGAGTCCCTGATAAATCATACCGGCACGGTTGCAGTTGCAGTTTGACCGCTCTATTCTGAATGTGCAACGGGCCGCGGGGGTAGGTACAAAACACAATTTTCATCAGTAAATAGTACATGAATACCGGGAAAAGAAATGGAGGTAAAAGTTATCATCGATCGGTATAACAAAACGCTCTTCACCCGCTTCAACAACTAGGGTCGTAGATGAACCATTGCCCATAGACACCCCAGATCTAGACGTATGTCAGATAAAATTTAGGAGCGATGGCTCAAATGCACGTACACTATTTACGCACGAGTCTGCACCAGAGAATTCCCGGTCTAGGAAACGAGCAGGCGTTGTCGCACAAAATTCCTTATAGTCTGCGTTGGCCGGCACGTTCATGAGATGTTGCTCAATGTGCTACAATAATGATCAAATAAAGTCTCAGAGAACAGTGCATGCCTCTCACCCTCTTCTTCGAGCCTTTAGCGGTACATCCCTATGAGGTAGAACGGTGAGTTTAAGTGCAAGGTGAGACTTTTAGCTTACCCAATTCCTATATCCACTCCAGTAGGTGACACAGTCTAGTTCGTCATGGTCGATAGCGAAATGTCCGATCACCGTGCTTGAGCGCTATACCAAGTCAAACGCTGCTATCAGGACTAACGAGAAACGTCGACCAACATATTCGCATCTGGATGGCAAGTGAGACCGGCCATGGATAACCATCGGAGTACTCATACAGATTTTCGTCCTCTGGGGGTTCCAAGGTGAGACGTTGAGTTCTGCTACGTACTCCCTTGTTGCATAAGTGGTACAGGAATGAGATTCGAGATTGGTCCAAGTTACTTCATCGATGGGCATAGACGAGACGAATTGGATGATATAAAACACCACAACAATGAATATAGCTCCAATAATTGTGAAGCAGCAACATCCTGGGCCATCGTTTCTATGCCTTCTTCTCGGAAGGAGATGATCGGTTTCATTGTACCTGAAGACGAGTATCAACAGCCGCCCATGCTTTCGTGCTACGTACATCGTACCTAGAATGAATGCTAATAGCCTCTATTGAGTACTGATAGAGATATGTGAAGAATGGAAGCTTACACGATCTGAGACACAGGGCGGGTAGGTACCATGATCGAGGGCTGGTGTACATGTCCATGTCCGTAATTTCTATGACAATTATAGCCATGGGAGTGACCGTTATATGTGTGTCCTTGCGCAATGGAGTGAGGATAGTTAGGACGGAATGCTTGTGTTGGAGCATGTTGCTGGTATGGAGGAGGAGGACTAAACACCTCAATTAATATTATGAGAGCTGCAGCAGCAACCTCGGAATCTCACCTGGTATAATGCGACATCGTATCTCTCAGTATCTCGCAAGGTGGATTAACACGAAGCTAGAGTGCTGAGTTAGACGCCATCGGCACGCGGGCTTGCCACAGGCTTTGACGTAACTGAGAAAGCACATTTCCGTGGGAGACTCGATTTTTTGGGCATGTTGATTTCGTTTTTTCATCACAACTTGAGGACGACGTCTCCGAGTCCTGCAGTCAGCTCCGAGTTTGCGACGAGACTAGGCAAACGCAAAGCAGTCATAATAAATTCGAAGTAACATCTGCACGCGTCCCATCTCTCACACGACTCGGTCAGCATGCCATCGTATATATACCAGCTAAGACTATCATGACTCTGCAGACCGGACGTTCCATCGACGGCAACACGTAACACTCTTCGGGCTTACCTGTTATCATAGTCTATGATATTCGGGACAGCCGCGGAAGACAGTCTCAGATAGGACATTGCAGGACAAAAGTCAAAGTCCATGATCGATGACGGGCGTTCAAGTCGTGTTTTTGAGCGGTGAAAAATACCTTTTGTATTCAGCACATATCCAAAACGTCCCGGTTTTGAGTCTATGTATACACAATTTAAACAATCATGTGGAGCAGCGGAGTCGGGGGCTGGCGCGACCAAGCGTCACTACGATTTAGACGATCTTTCCACTGCGATAACCAACCCGTAGGCTGCAGCGGCAGCAAATCCGCCAACAGCCATCGTACTGACCGCTCCCCAAATGTACCCCCAGATACTTTTCGCTACTCCCGTGACTCGACCTTTGACGGCACCAAATATGAGGAGAACTATCCCAGTAATTATGCAAGAATATTTCAGTGCTTCAATTGCTCGAGGAATGAAGAAATATGGGAGAAGGGGGATGATACCACCAAGGAGGTATCCCATGCCGATAGTGAACGCGGAGATGTACAGTCGGCGAGTCGGAACTTCCTCTGAGCAAGAAAAAGGCAGTGACAATCAGAACCACGTCAAACGCAGGAATAATAACAAGATACACATACCCATCCCCTCTCCAAATTTCAGTAAGAAAGGCGTTAGCCCAGAGTCGCTCTTCATCCCCCGCGATAGTTTCTCCTCATCGGCAGGTGCAGTTTTACCTCCGTCAACACCGCGCTCATCTTCTATTTTCCGCAGGCAATTCGCAACAGCATGGGAGGTCGATTCATCGACACCGACGGGACTCAAAACGGCGTATACCTCTCTCTCCATTTCCCCCATACAACTCCGCATCACCCGTGAGTAGGTATGACGTTGCAAGAACCGATAATGATCCCGCTCAGCCTGGGATGCAAGGAAGCCACCTATTCCCATTGATATGGCACCAGCAATGAGTTCTGCAAGGCCACCGACAACGACTATTCTTGAAGTCCCTAAGCCAGACAGACCAGCTGTCAGCGCGAAGGGAACAGTCAGGCCATCCGACAATCCAATAATGCTATGGAAGGCGTACAAAATATGTCAATAACTTGCGAGAAAAGCACAAACAGAAGGTCGCGAGCTAGTAAGGGGAAAGCTCACATGTCGCGGATAACATCAGGATCTATCAGAATTCTATCGTCTTCGTCCTTGAGTTCCTTGCAACAAATACCATCCTGGCGACTAAGTCTATCGCATTTTTCGGTGAGTGGTGGAGTTAAGGTTCCGTTAGACTCCAGTGACCACACTGGTAGTGTTTTATTGACCGAACTGCCAGACATAGCATCTCTGCTCGGTAGGGGAACCACAGTTGCGGTAGTGCTGGTAGACACCTGGTGAGTTGAAGTCATGGCTGGTTAATGGTTGAATGGGTGGCCAACGAAGGCAGTAAAGAATTTATGGGAGCGAGGCAGGTTATATATAATGACATGACGGGCACGAAGGAACTAATGATTGGACATTAGAAAAAGGCTGAAATCAGATGGTGGCTATCTTACACTCGTCTGGCTGCCAGCAGCATGCCATGATGCAAAATTGAAATAGAGCTGGCTAGAATCGTGTTTTACTTGAATCCCCCTCCGCGACAGTCGTGTCTCAACAACTGCAGGGTGTGACGCGGAGCTGGTAGTATGACATCCAAGTGCGTGAGTGGCTCATCCCGGGAAGAGGGTCTTGCAATTGTCGGATCCAACCCTGACTGATCCGTGGGAACCCCCGAAAATATAGTTGATGAGGACTCAATACAAATTTTGAAAATGAATGATAGCGATGGCATCCATAGTTCGTCGTTGATGTTATCCAGAGTCTGTCATCTCTACAGTGAAAGTCTGCTTTATCCGTGCCTGTCTCTGCGTGGTGCTGCAGTGCGAGTTGGAACTAAAAGGTCAGGTGCGCGAAATAAGGAATGTGCCATGGTGTTAATGTAATCATGTCTCATTTCACTTTTGAACGCACAGAGTCTGCAAGTATGCCGGGCCCGGCTGATATCCTCTTTGGCAAGATTCTCTTGACGACACCCGTCCCGCCTGCTTGCACAAGAGCACGGGACATTTTGCTTGCTGCTGGGTTTTAGAACTTGTACAGCCTGCAGGTGGCCAATGCTCTACCGTGGCGTACTCCTCCTGTCATCGGCGCTATCGACTCAGCGGCTACACATCCCTCTAAAGCCATGTCCTCACGGTGGATTTCGGGATCTATTGATGATGTTGCTCTTTGTAACAGTTTAGAGAAGCTGAACCGCACTGACGTCCGAGCACAGACGTGTATTCGTCGATTTACGCCACGCTACTGCACACTCTACAACAGGCTCTCTCGTCGAAAAACATGTAACGAATCATGTTCGGCAACGTGTACTATACCTATTTCATGCCGGAGCAAGTGTTTTGGGCGACGCTCGTCTGCAGATTCTCGCTCGTGAGTTTAGTGTATTTGTTACCGAACGTCTGTCACAGGAACTTATCTCGCACTCTGTCAAGCTCAATTCAGCCCATCCAGAACGAAACCAGAATGCGCTGGCAAAGGTGAACGATTTAGACGTATAACGATATACTGCTTGCTGCCAATCACCATCATTTCTTGGAGTCGGGGACCGGCCCTTCCCAGCGCCACTACGATCCAATACTCTTATTGAAAATTTCCGACTTGCTACCCCACATTCGACGTCGTCAGTCATTAGTGACGGTGATGGTGCTACTCTCAACCCTAAAATTCAGTAATGACGAATCTCCGAAACTTCCTCGCTGTTGGTATGCGATGTCTTGGCGAATTGGGAAGGGGACTGTTTCTGTCAGATCGCCAGAACCCATCTTCCACCCCCAACGATGCTGAGGCGACCGCGGAGTTACGGATAGATATCAGCGGTGGTGTGAAAGACATCAGCAGCTCTCCCAGACCCAGCGCAAATGGCGATAGTTCTACGCATCATTTTTACAGAGAGCGTACGGATAGCCCCTAAGTAAAGAATGATCTGTAGTCACTACTGTCTTTTATTATCTCACATCGTGTGACAAAAAGATCCTGTCAAAAAGACTATCTCGGATCCCGGTGTGTGCACGCATTTTTGAAATTGTTGTGGGTTTTTATGCATATAGACGCAGGATAAAAACAACTGCGTCCCTATCACGAAAACGTTTGAATGATCATCGATTATCTCGTGTTTATTATCAAAGACCATCAAACCGCTTCAATTAACGCGGTCTTCTTTCGTACGCCTGTCCCCCACGCCGTTGTCGCCTCCTGGGTCTTAAATTTATGTTCGATGCGAGTATTTGTTGTCAATCAAGTGTCTTATAATAGTCAATCTTCCAATCGATCAATGTTTAGAGCCTGGGAGATAGAACCTCAGATCTGCGGACCCAGTCAATGATAGTGTGGACAATACTAGGAGCATAGAAATGACTGTTAGTTATACGTGATCTGTGTATCTATGAGAAGCCCGAGGGAGGTTACAACATTGTCCCTTGCCTGAGAATCTGACCATCCAGTGCTGTTCTCGGGCAACTGTCATTCCATGTTATGGCTGGTATGGAGACTCGGAGGTGCAGTAACAGCACCTTTAACTTCAGTTTCTCTGTGCCTTATTTTGAGACCAAGATCTGTATTTAACCTCATTTATACCATTGTAATCGGCACTCACATACTGCAGTTGCCACATGCATGATGAGATGCGAAAATTTTGTCATTCCTCTGACAGATAGCGCCAATTTACAATGCCGGGAAACGCTAGAGGATGACTGGCAGGTCCTGACGCCTTCCGCGCCTGGAAGCCGAGATGTTCGGGAGTTGGACTAAATTCTTAATTATTTGGCACTATGCCATCCAATCCGCGTCCAGCCATTTATTAGCGGAGATGATCATAGGACAGATAACGGTGGTAAAAATGAATTGCCTCCGCCAGCAGCCTTAAGTGCTCACTAAGTAACTTCATACTGTACAGAAATATATCTGTGTATTCCTCCTAGGCCAGGCCACTGGCAGTACTAGTTGTACCATTGAAAATGCCGCGGCGCACACGAAGGGAGTGAGTAGAAGTGCAGAATCTAATTATGCTTACATTACAGGTCGAAAAACAACGAGTACAGACTCGTTTGCGTCGCCGATAACGGGTCGCAGGACCGACCGAGGATGACTCCAGGAAATTTAACGGTTTGCCTGATACCATTCTGGCTTCGACTCTACTACCTCCATGAGCTCTGACTCCGAATCCTTGACTTCCTCTCAGGCTGCACGTGCGACATCAGGAAAATACACATACTGTACCAATGCAATCAATTCGATAGTCACGCGTCGCACAGCTGCCAGTAGTGCATTGTCTGTGTCGAAAATAAGTCTTGGTCACAGGCCAGGGTCTTCAACGCCCAGTTTTACAAACAGCCTCAAAGATAAACTCCGGGGTGTCGTCCAGGGGGATGATTGGAATTTATATGTAGAGGCTGATGAGTTTACAATTTGTGGATGAGAATAACATAACATACAATCACGTCTTAATACATAGGGGCACAGCCGATCAAAGAGGAAAGGTCAGGTAGCATGTGCCGTACATTGGCATCCTTACAAAAACAACTCAAAGATGCTGGCTTTACACGATGTACCAGATAATCTGTCAAAAAACTCATCAGACATTTGATAACGGACAGTCACAGACGTGCTCCCATGCTTTTAATGCCAACAAGATATGAAATTGGCTGACGTGCGAACTTTGAGCATGATATTGGTGTCTGTTCTCACTCTGAAGGCGCGCCTTGAAAGTTGTAGGGCTGCTTCTCCATGGGGAAAGGCAAAAAAATACTTTTAATTCTTCCACGTAGACTGCTGGCATAGTTCCACTTTCCAAGGGAACTAGAACATCACAATCACTTAGATATCGAAGTGACTAGTGATGGCCGCCACCATCTTGGACTGATCTTGAATTCGACAATGATCTATTTCACCTTGACATCTGTACGGCGATCTCCTGCCAGGCAAATGAAATCCACCAGTACACAGCATCAAGACCCTCAGTCTCCTGATTCGAAACATTATGAAAGGTGCAAGCCGTTGATAGAAAACTTGCGACTGCCCCATACGCCTGCATGCAGCACTCCAAAGGTTGCGCGAGTTGGGTGTGTTGATGATGAGCGAGAAGGCTCAGATGGAACGGGGTATGACAAGTAAAACCTGATTCTAGAGTAGCAACGATACCCGGGTTGTACCAAGTCCTAGACCGGAGCGGTGGTATCCGGCCGTTCATATCACTATCACCCTAAAAGGGTAAGCGTCTTGAAGTTTGTCACGAGAGACAATCGTCAGCTCACGGCGAAAATAAGCCTATCGCCCCGCTTTTTGAAGTGATATAAATGGAGCGTGCGCGCGAGGGAAGATGTAGGTAACCGAATAACGCGAACGTGCTACCAGTGGCAGTTAGCTTGCATTAGCTTGAAGTGCCCGGGATAGACACCGTCTCGTCGATTTTCGTTACGGATCCTGCAATTGATGGCGGATGGGATACAATAGAGACACTAGTGCTGCTGTCGTCATGTGTTACATCTAACGAAGGTAGTGTCGAATCCAAGTGTATGGTAGTAACCCCGTCAGTATGGAAGAAGATACTGTTGGTAATTCGATCTATTATGTGCGAAAGGTGGGGCCTGACCTTGACCAACGCGACATGTGGGGTATGTAACGAGGCACTGACCAGCACCGTATTGAGCTTGATGCGGCATGAATGAGGCTCAGTGACGTGTATAGTACTGATGCTCTGTGTTTTAATGTTGGGAACGAACGAACCTGTCATGGTACAGCGAGTGGTACCAGTGCCCAAGTTCAACGCCACCCCGGCTTTCTCCGTTCGTCCATGCATGCCGCGGAGTAACATATACTTGGTTGGGAAGAGTCAAGGTCTGCCTAGGGGGGACACAACCCGCTTGCCCAATGGTTGACTTCAAGGTTAGCACATACACGACTCAGTTTGGAATTGGCGGTCTCCCTTGCACTACTTTATTTCCGAAGCAGGTTGAATTCGGTATCCTAGTAGGTCCTCTTTCGCACCTTGCGTACAAATTCAATTTGATATCAATTTTGCAGTCATTAGAAGGCCCTTCACAGTAAAAATGGGGCAGTCGTCATTCTGCGCGAGTCCTTGACTCGGATCCGGGTTTCTCAATTGGGGTGACCTTCAAAACAGATTCTGGCGGCAGGGTCTGACCTATTTCGCTCTCCCCGGTCATACTCTTCCGATGCCCCCCACGATCTTGCTGTCAGCCTAGGAAACAGGTTCCTGCGGCGGGGTGTCGTTCCTGACCCCGATAAGGCCATCCAGCTTGATCAGGCTTCATCATTCCATCACCCCGGTCATTCTGATATGTCAGCAGTC